GTTCTGCATCCTGTTACGGGAGCTGACACGGATGTCATCAAGGGCCTGGTCTACAGTCACAATGATGGTCAGCTCAACTGGAAGCAGGTCATCGGCAATCCGCTGGAACGGGGGAAGAAGCTGCTGATCCATTACCCGGCCTTATCCTGTTCTCTCTGCGGGGGACATCATCATGATAAGTATCATGATGTGTTTGTCACTGAGAGACAGAATAATGTTGGTAAATGGAATCTGTCTTTGGGCAGGGTGCATCGTCTTAACGGTAACAGAGCTCTCCGCTATACTACGGTCGCTTTGTCTCACCTTCTTGCTTTTACTGACGCTTGCGTGGCTTCTCGCAGCTGCTTCTCTTCTCGCGTCCCCCCTGGTCCTCCCTATTCTTCGCGATCCTGCTGTTGCGCTGATCTCCACCGGTGGAAACAGGGAGGAATGGCTCTGCACGCAGTCTGCCTGTGGGAAGGCGAAGGGGAAGAGTTTCTTGGCGGCCTCGGATCATATTGCATCGGCGAGTCATCTGCTTCACCAGGAGAAGTTCGGCTCCGCCACGAAGCTGTCTCTCGAGAAGATGAATCTCAGCACCATTCGGAAGGAGTACGGTTTTTAGCCTGCTCAGGAGGGAAGGGGTGTGTAGTGGAGTTTAGCTTATGGTCAGCTGTCAGATCTATCGGGTCGATGTCTCTTACCAGCCTGTGGATGAACTGGGGCTGTAAGTCGGTTGTTAAATGAATCTTAAAAACCACCTCACCTTCGCGGCCGTCAATGCTAACGGCCTGGGAGACTGGAAGAAGCAGGTGTCAGAATGTTATAATTGTCTAGCCTGTAGTGGGGTACAACCCAATTAGGGTTTCCTATATGTATGCCAACTGCTGCTAGTGCAACTCTCTCTTCTTCATTCCTCATTTTTTCACATGCTATCAGAGCATCTACGCTCCTGGCCTGTGGGCCCACCTAACTGCTTCCGCTGCTACTCTGTGTGTTGCACGCCCCGTGGCGTGCGACTCACGTTTTTTTTTTTTTTTCTTCCCCTCCTAGAGGCCCCTCTCACGGCCCCTCGCGCGACCCTTAGCGGCCCCATCGCCACCCCTAGCGGCCCTGTCGCCGCCCTTCTCGGCCCCTCGAGGCCCCTTCGCGGCCCCGTCGCCGCCCCTAGCGGCCCCGTTGCCGCCCTTCCAGGCCCCTCGCGGCCCCTTCGCGGCCCCGTCGCCGCCCCTAGCGGCCCCGTCGCCGACCTTTCAGGCCCCTCGCGGCCCCTTCGCGGCCCCGTCGCCGCCCCTAGCGGCCCGTCGCCGCCCTTCCAGGCCCCTCGCGACCCCTTCGCGGCCCCGTCGCCGCCCCTATCGGCCCCGTCGCCGCCACCAACGGCCCCGTCGCCGCCCCTAGCGGCCCCGTCGCCGCCCCTATCGGCCCCGTCGCCGCCTCCAGCGGCCTCGTCGCCGCCACTTGCGGCCCCGTCGCCGCCCCTTTCGGCCCTGCCTCGGCCCGGCCCTGGCCATGCTCTGTCGCATGTCGCGGCGCACCGTGGGCCCGTGCACCGCCCCCCCCCTCTTTTCCCGTCGCCCGTCGCGGCTCCCTGGGGGGCTGGGGGGGGGGGCGAGCGTCGCCCCTTCTGCCGCCTGTTTTGGCGCCCTGGGAGGCCGCGCGTCGGCCCCCCCCTCCTCCCCCCCCCGTAACCTCCCTACCCGCCGTCCCGCCCTGCCCTGTGTTAGGGTCTGGGGGTGGCGAGTAGGGGGTTGCGGGTGTGTGGTCTCCCCTGCTCCTCCTCCTCCTCTGTCTCCCACTGCTGCAGCTGCCGCTGAGGGGGGTGGGTGTGTGGGAGTCGACGGAGTGGTGCTAGGGGGTGGGGTGTGAGTGAACCTAGGGTGCAGCAAGGGGTGTGTGAAAGGGGGGTGCTGTGGGAGTGGAACTAGGGTTTGAGCAGGGGGTGTGTGTCGAGGGTGTGGGGCAGCTGGAGGAGGTTGTGTGAAGGTAGCTGTCGTGTCGCCTGCAGCGCCTGTAGTCCGTCGCCCTTGCTTCGCTAGCCAGTGAGCCTGTTGCACCAGTCGCCAGTGGGTCCGTTGCTCCTGCCGCTCGTCTATAGCCGCGGAGCCAGTTACTCCAGTAGTCCGTCGCCCTTGCTTCGGTAGCCACTAAGTCAGCCGCTCCTGTGCCCGTGCCTCTGCAGCTTCAGTCATTGCCTCCCATCTTCTCTCCCTCCACAGTTCTTCCTCCTCCTCACTTGCCCGCTGTGATTAACTCTAGCTTTGCTCGCTATTGTGAACTCCTGCTCTATGCCTGCTTGCTCATTGTGCTGATTACACCCCACTTTGGCTATGGGGGTGTGTCAGAATGTTATAATTGTCTAGCCTGCAGTGGGGTACTCTATAGCGAGTACAACCCAATTAGGGTTTCCTATATGTATGCCAACTGCTGCTAGTGCAACTCTCTCTTCTTCATTCCTCATTTTTTCACAGCAGGAACGAGTCACAGACTGGCACAGATCAGCGGCGGACATAATGATCTTAGCGGACACTAGGATAGCTTCAACTCACTCTGACTGGAACTCGCTCGCAAGCCTTACCTCCACCTCAGTACTTGCCGCATCTCCTCCGCCTTTGTCGAGAGCCGGCGGGGTTGCGGTGCTCAGCCGTAATCCGCTGGTCTCCTTTCAGGACACTTTGCTGCATCCATCCGGTAGATTAGTTAGAACCACAGTAGGTGGGGTGGGCCTGGAACTCATGCTCTTAGCCGTCTACTTCCCGGCGGACCCGGCCTTGAGAACACTTTTCTTCCGGGATGTCTTGGGCCCGGTGATGGATCAGATCCCCTCATCATCTCACCTTCTTATCATCGGTGACCTTAACCTGATTGAGGACCCCGCTCTGGACAAAACCTCGGGTTGCGGCTCGTCGTCGGAGAACGAGAAGCTTTTTCTGCGTTGCTGCAGGTTCCAGCTCTCCGATGCGTTCCGGGTTCTGCATCCACGCAAGAGAGAGTACACGTTTTACTCAGCGGCGCAGCAGGAGAGTTCACGGATTGACCGGGCGCTGGTTTCTCAATCTCTGCTGCCTCACCTGTCATTGGCGTCCCATGAGATGCCGAAGGAGCCTATTGCGGATCATGGCTTCGCTATCCACGTGGCGTTTCGGCTGGATGCGAAGGTCCGCACGGGGCCGGGTATCTGGAGGCTCCATGCTTCCATGCTGCGCAGGCCGGGCGTTCGGAAGGTCATTGAGGCGACGGTGCGGCGTACACCGGTCAATGACGGCAGTAGTTTCGAGCTTCTGCTGTCGCGGCTGAGCGTTGGTCTCAGGTCCTACGCGAGGGAGGAGGGGAAGCGTGTGAAGGCCACGCTGGCGCACCTGCATCGGGCGGTTGCAATCTTAAAACAGGAGTTAATGGGTGATCTAGGCTGCGGGAGGAAGAAGGCCCTGCTGGCGGAAAAGGAGCAGCAGCTAAAGGCGTACCATGCGGCTAGGCGGGAAAAGCTGCATCTACAAGCGGGTTTAACGGCTGAACTCACCGAGGAGATAGCCTCCAGGCATCTCTCCGCTAAAGTTCGGGCTCGGAAAGCGAGGACGCAGATCGCGGAACTTAAGGTCGGTGGAACCACGGTTGGAGGACCCAGGCCGGTGCTGGAGGCTGCGTTGGAATTCTTCACGAACATCTTCGGGAAGGATCGCAGAACTGACTTCACGGGCTGGAAGGTGGCCCCAAGTCGTCGCCTGCAGGAGGGTTTGGCGTCTTTCCTGGAAGCAGACTGGACGGAGGAGGAGGTTAAGAGAGCATTCGCGGCAATGGCGAACAACAAGTCGCCGGGGAGTGACGGGCTGCCGAAGGAATTGTTTGAGATCCACTGGGACCTGCTGGGGGGGAGTTTTATGGCCATGGCGCGGGATTTCCAGGCATCGTCTTCTCTGCCCGACGAAATCAAGGAGGCGATGACGATTCTGCTTCACAAAAAAGGAGAGAAGGATCAACTCAACAATTACCGTCCGATCACCTTGCTGAACTTCACTTACAAGGTTTTGGCGCGGGTGATTGCGGACCGAATGAAGACGGTGTTGCACCAGGTCATCTCCCCGGAGCAGTACGGTTTCCTCCCCGGCAGGCGGCTGTCGGATGCGGTGTCCCTGGTGGCGGACATCATTGAGGCCGCAAGAAATGGAAGCAAGGACTGGCACCTGCTTCTGGTCGATTTTCAGAAAGCATTTGACTCAGTCTCCCGCTGCTTTCTCTTTCAAGTGTTGCGGGGCATGGGCTTTCCTGACCGATTCGTGGGGTGGATCGAGGGCCTGCACAGAGACACGAAGACGCGGCTGTTAATAAACGGATGGCTGGGCGAGGGGATGGAGGTGGTCTCAGGGGTTCGGCAAGGATGCCCTCTGGCGCCCTATCTTTTCCTGTGCGCTGTGGAGCCGTTGGCGCAGGAGGTGGAGCGAAGGAAGCTCGGCTTGTCTGAGGCGGGGCGGCAGCTCGGTTATTTGGGCTACGCTGATGACACGACGCTGGTCCTGCAGGGGAAGCAGCAGATTGTCAGAGCGGTGCAGTTGCTGTCGGAGTTCGAGAAGGTCTCGGGGCTTGCGACTAATGCGGACAAAACAGTGGTCTTACCTTTGGGTGTTAACACTCAGGTTAATGGCGGTACTTTGTGTGGCTTCAAGCGGGCCGGCGCGGACGATGCAGAGAGGCTGTTGGGCGTCTGGGTGTCTCCCTCCGGCAGCGGTTTACCAACCTGGGAAAAGGCGCTGGGGCACATCAGCGGGAAGTTAGTCAAATGGAAGCAGAAATACCTCACAACATTGGCAAGAGCGACGGTGGTGAACAGTTATATCACGCCGATAATCGCCTTTCAGGCTCAGGTGTACTCGCCCCCGGCAGCCATCTGGGAAGAGCTGATGAGGCTGATTCAAGGCTTCATCTCCGGGAATAGGGTCTCGGGAGCGAAGGGCTTCCAGCTCTGGAGTAGGGAGCTGCTGTTCAAGTGTAGAGCGGCCGGAGGGATTGGAGTCAGGGACCCAGAGATGGTCATCATGTGTCTGGCCGCAAGGAGGGTGGGGCTGTTCCTTACTGAGCGCAACCTGCTGAAGAAGGAGATCATGACGCTGGCAGCGGACCTCCCTCTCGGAGCGGATACCTTCGAGGCGCACGAGAAGCTGATTAAGCACTGGTCCGGTCGTGGCATTCGCTGGAAGCAGACGTGTGAAATTTTCATGCGGTCTCCTTTTGGGACCCGGGTTCCAGCTGGCAGCAGAGAGGAAGTGCTGCGGGAGAGAATTTTCTTTAATCGCGAGATTCTACTAAACGGTACCACGCCGGTCGGAGGGCAGCAGGATGCTCAGCGACTGAAAGGGGTTCGCCTGGGTGATCTGCTGGTGCAAGGGTCTGACGGGGGGCTGGACCTAAAGACCATGGCGGCGTTAACTCAGCAGCTGGGGGGTAACGGCCCGGCTAAGCTTGCTCTCAAGGCACTGAGGGCTCTGCCTGCTGCTTGGCAGAGTCTGTTGGGTTTTCCGACTGTCCCTCCCTGCTCGGCTGACTCCCCTCAGAGGCTGGTGGTGGTGGAAGGGGGCCGGGTTGTGTCTGAGAGGCGGATGAAGGAGGGCTGGTGTGGCGCTGAGGAGCAGTCATACAAGCAGCAGAAGTGGGCGGAAAAGTGGCGTGGGACAATTGACTGGAAACGGGCTATTGCGACTAGAGACTCCCTGGCCGCGTGTTCAATGGAGCACTGTCTCCTGCTCTGCCCACGTGTTCAGGTGGTTTCCTCGGCCCTCAGGCGTGCGTTGTGCATGCTGAATCCTGGCCGCAGGATTGACAGGCTGGGTGATCTTTTGTTCCGGAAAACTGGCACCAGCTCGGCATTTCCGGAGCTGACTCTCACCGCCATCACCTTCCATCAGCTCTGGATAGAACGGTGTGAGGCGGTGTTTCGTGGCGGTAGGTTCCGGACGCAGAGGGTTCTATGGAAGATTGCCTTTGCGTTCAGGCAGCATGCAAGGATCTACACTCGGAAATTCGGCTCGGCGCGGCGGAAACAGTTGCGATGTAATTATGAGGAGCGGATCATGCTTCGGAGGATACCGTATTACCCCGGATATAAGCGCACCTGCGCTTATAATAAAACAGTGTTTTTTTGGGGGGTGCGCTTATAATTGAGTAAAAATTATAAGCGCATGCGCTTATAATATAACAAATACAAATATATATTTCAATGCACCAAATTGTACATCTCATCCTTCAGATTTCAATCGAATCGAAATTGTAGAAAGTCAGATGTCAAAATCGCGCGCGGGCGATTCTTCGCGAGCGCCCAGAGGCAAAATACAGTGTAACACCTCACTTTGAGGGCGTGCCAGCTCGTGCTGACTGGACGCGCAGGATGTGAGAGGTATTCGAAAGTCAATGTAAGCGAAAATGGGTTGTGTCCTCGCTGCAAAACTGAGATTCGTTACCGTTTTAATGAAGAATTATAAATAAAATTACACATGCGCTTATAATATATCAGGGTTTTATAAGGGGTGCGCTTATAATTGAGGATCGGCCATAAGCGCATTGCTCCAGATACAAGCGCATGCGCTTTTAATAGGCCTGCGCTTATATCCGGGGCCATACGGTAACACACGACGATGTCAGTTGGAAGTGGACAAGTGCGTTTGCAGCTTTGTGGTCGCCTCGGAGGGCGGGTCCCAATGTGCCCTAGTGTGTTTTTGTTTCGGGGTTAGGGTCTGCCCTGCCCCCCACGCACAGTTACGACCGTTCTTGGTGTTGTACGCTTGCTCTTTCGGTGTACTCAACCAATTATCATAATAATAAAAATAAAAAAAAAACAAACAAACATAGCCCCACCACATGTGCAATACCAAGAACATATCTCCATTTTCATTTTCAATCTGGGACCCTGGACGCGTTAGTTTCAAGTGGACTCGTTACTTTCAAGTGGACATTGGCTCCCTGTATGCATAAAACTGCAAGCCGTTCACATTACATCAAAAGCTCATTCACAGCAAGGTTTTAAAACTCAAGGCCTCCCTCACGAGCACCGTCCGCAAGAGCCTGGATGCGGCCGTGGTACACGAAACCCCCGCGGTCAAAGGCCACCTTGCTGATTCCCCTCTCCAAGCAGATCTTAGCAATCTCCTGCCCCACACGCCGTGATGCCTCCTGCATTGAATACACAAAGACGGACATAATGAGGATTGGATCACAGGGTGTTAAAACATGGAAAAGGGGAAACTTTGTGATTAAGGTTGAACTGTCTGGCAATCGAGACCAGAACTCACATTCAGCTTCTGCACACAGTGCTCAGTGGCACTCTGAGTCAAACTTCACCACAATGAACGAGAATACCCCCCTAGTGTGACTGGCCTTCCAAGGATCAGCATTACAGATCCCTGGGATTACATGAGCACAAACTCAAGCCTTCCTCACATGCACCGTCCGCACATCTGCACGCCTCGTGCTTTGGTGGGACAAAATCGTTTCTTATTGGCTGGACATCATTTCAGTCGGAAAACTGGAGATAAGTTATGCATGTACCAGTGGGTCCTGTGGTGAGTTTCAGCTCCTCGCGGAGGGGTGTGAGGGACGAATCTCACCACTGTGGGGCTGGCGTGGTTGAACTGAGTTTGGTTGATAGTCAGCTATACGTAAGGATTCAGTGATCTCAAACTAGGTTACACGTACCACAGTGGGGCCGGACGTGAGCTTCAGCTCCTCGCGGAGGGCGGGTGTGAGGGTGGACGCGGCGGCGAGAGTGTGCTGCTTGGTGTCGTCAACCACCTGCTTGCGGGGAAGGCAGGGCAGACAGATGGAACAGCGTGAGGGGATGTTAAGAAAAACGCGTCACATGGCGTAAACACATGCGCGGCGAGAGTGTGCTGCTTGGTGTCGTCAACCACCTGCTCGTGGAGAAGGCAGGGCACACAGGATGCGTTACACAGGATGGATTAGACAGCGGATACCATGAAAGGAAGGGCAGAGACCCAGCTACGGTGAATGCACGGGGACGTCAACACACGGGCGCCGAGAGTACGCCGCGTGGCGTCGAATACACAAGCGTCTGCTTGCGGAAATGTGCGGCACAGAGGATGGATCGAATACATGGCAGGTGGCACACACCCTGGGCACACACACCGAATGTATGAAGACACACGAGAGGCGAGAGTGCGCAGCTGACTGCCGCCTCTGACTCGGTACCGACCTGTGTTCCCCTGTGACCCAGTACCGATCTGGACCGCTCTGAGGCTCAGCACGCACCTCAGCCCCTACTCAGCATCAACCTGTACCCTTTGTGACTCACTACAGACCTGGACCGCTCGGTACCGACCTGCGCCGCTCCGTAACTCAGCACGGACCTGGGCGTAGATGTGGTTGTTGGAGCGGAACACTGCGAGGCGTGGCCTCTCGGTGGTGCCACTCAACTGCGGGAGGGCAGGCGGGAAGCAATGCGGGAGGTAAGAAAGGTGGGAAGTTTGCGAAGCTGCTGTACCCCGGGTGCTACAGGCTAGTTGCTGCAAGCTGGGTGGTCAAGACTGGATACTACAAGCTGGACGATAGAGAGGAGGGCAACGCACAGAACCTGTCATGATGCTTCCTCTTCCTGCTCTCTCTTACACCGCAACTCGGGAATGCTCTGAATCGAGTTCAGATGTCCGATGATCAACGGTACCCACGTATCCGCCAACCAACTAAACGCAGTCTTCGCTACAGTCACTCGCATCTACAGTCCGCCCTGTATTGCAGCTGCACAACCTAAGGCGCCCTTGAGCCGCCTAAGAAGCTGTTTTGGATCACGTGAATCTCAAGGTGGCTCAAGAATTGTGCGTAGGGTACCCACCTAGGGACTCTAACGCCAGCACGCAACGCTTCACGTCGAGCGAGGAGTCTAGAGACCGCATGCGTCGGAAAACGCGAAACAAAAAGGAAGATAGCTTTTGCAACCAAAATCAGTCTTATTGCAACAAAAAGACTAGACAGGACTGCGATCGAAGATCCGTCGAGACTGTGAGAGTGGAAACGCAAACTTTCGAATCGTTTATTCCCATTCTACAGTCACCTTCATTGCTCCCCAGGTTCTCAAATCCCTTGTAAACCAATCGACATCTGCAGTTATCCATGAAACACCTGATATCACGCGCATTTCGCCACCCATGAGCTTGTACCTTCTTGCGGATCCGCATGTGACGGTTCTTGACCTTCTCTCTCCGGGTTGCCTCCCTGGCTTCCACTAGCAGAGCCGAGTGGCTGGTTTGACCTGAACAGATGAGAAATGACGCTCCCACGCTTAAAACTCCAATCGCTGTCGCCCAAAAAACTGATGAGAAATGACGCTCCCCGTAAAAATCGTTCGCAGAAAAAAAAAAACCCAATTACTGTTTCTTAAAAGGTATGCTTAAAGACCAATGCTTCGTAAGTATGTACTTGAAACTATGCCTGCCTGCTGTCCGGTTCGTCAGCCGTTCGTTCTACCTTGCACACTGACGGTCATGCGAGCGGTGAACGTCTTCTCAGCCGACAATCCCGAGAATGTGGCAAAGGAGCCGCCATAGACGGATCTCTCTGGGATCCTGAGAGCAGCTGAGCTGAGCTGTGCAGCGGAAGCCATGGCTGGACGAAGCCCGTAAATATCGGTGGGCACGAGGAACTAGTACAAACACAACTGGTCCGCGCCTAGGCTTAGGTACACCACCAGGCAGCAGCAGCGCCTACTAATTAGGTCAGCAAAACGATGGTCCTGAAACGTAGTGGATAGGGCACAGGAAAGAGTTTGAAGGGGTTGTGTTCCGTGATGGGCTTTCGAACATCAATGTTAAAGGTAGAGTTCGGTTTGTCACTTTGCGAGACGGCACAACGCACCACAGTACGGTGGTTTGAACACAGCAATCCTGACTGCGCAGACAGGAAGGAACTGCGCGCGGGGAAAAGCGGGAACCGCCACGTTGCTATGGGGAAAGCGGAGTGTCCACTCAGCCAGCGCGCGTGGCAGAAGGCCTGGGAATGGATGACGGAAGGATGGAACAACACGTGGAGAAGCGAGATGCGAAGTGCGAATGTGACGTGGACACTCAACGAGACTCGGCCTTTGGGGATTTGTGTATTTTCCGGAATCGCAGCACCATCAGAACTTGTTCTTGATGAATAACAACTGTATGCGTGAGTTTCTTAGTTCTACCGTAAATATTTGCAACAAAGCCATCAGAGAAACCAGTGAGTTCGGAACTCTCAAGAAAGCCAGTAGGCCCTGCACATCATTCCCCACTTCCATAAATTGACAAGATTCTGTGACATATTTTGTCAGGCAATTGGCCGGAGGAAAGCCTCATCATCGATTAACTTCAGCTGGCAATGGACGGTTAAAACCACCTGCACAAAACAAAGGAAAGGAAAGAATATGCACCAATCAAATCAAAACTAGAAGCTTCCACAAATGGACATTGTGAAAAAACGAGCAGAACCACAGTCCAATAAGAAGGGAGCCTGTTAAGGCACATCTATCATATATCACCCACCACCCACATGTATTCCCTTGAAACCCAGCGCACCTCTTCTGTTCATGTACTGACGTGGCTGCCTCTTAGTGGACAGCTTCACAGCGCTCAGCTGATTGGCTCCCTTCACCTCCTTGCCCTGATAGGAGATACAGGGTAGTGGATACAGGATAGGGCACATGACAAGGACAACGAAATGTCCAAAGATATGTTGGCTTATTATGATAATCACCCAAACAGAACCCCCCACACAACATGTGGGCGCGCCCCATACCGAATGCCCATACCTTATCCCCTCACCCATCCCAGCATCTTCTCACCCAGCCCTCCATTTCCCACCCTTTACTCGCTGACCTTGGTGGAGTTGAAAGTACATAAATTCGCCCATCGTCTCCCTTTCGAGTCACCCTCTATACCACCTCACCCAAACTCCCACCCCCTCCTCCCCACCCCTTATCCTCCCTCTCCTCACCCACCCAAGCGCTCACCTTGGTGGAGTTCGAATGGAAGGCCACAGCAATGCCCAGCTTCTGCCTTGCGAGTCACCTCTATACCCCCTCCTTCCTCACCCGCCACTCCCTCTCCTTGCTGCTGTTGAAGTCCATCCGCTCACCTCCATAACGGGGATGCCCCACCTGTATGCCTCCTCACCCATCATTCCCTCACAGCCCACTCCCCTCCCTCCCTCCCTTTCCACCCTTCATTCGCTCACTTGTATGCCTGCTCACCCAACATTCCCCCCTCCTCACTCCCTCACTTTGGTGGGTGTTGAAGTCCATGGGGATGCCCATCATCTGCCTTTCACCTCCTCACCTCCTCACCTCCTCACCTCCTCACCCCACAAACCCCCTGATACATCACTCATCACGCGACCACCTTGGAGGTGTTCATCACTCATCACGCGACCACCTTGGAGGTGTTCATCACTCATCACGCGACCACCTTGGTGGTGTTGAAGACCATGGGAATGCCCATCATCCGCCTTTCAAGGCACATCTGTACCTCCTCACACAAACTTCCTCCCCGCCCTCTTGCCCCCCCCTTTCACTTCCCCATCACCATTCACTCACTCACCTCGGTGCCGTTAAAGTCCATGGGATGTGAATGCCTAGTGTGCCACCTCCATGGGGTGTGCCCGTTCACCTATACCTCCTCACCCAAACTCCCCACACCCCCCCTCTCCTTCCCTCCCTCACTTGGAGCTGTTAGAAGTCCATGGGAATGCCCATCATCTGCCCTTCACCTCCTCACCGCACAACCCCCCTCCTTCATCACTCTCCACTCACTCACCTTGGTGGTGTTGGAGTCCATGGAAATGAGCTGAGCATCATCTGCCTTTCAAGTCACCACAGTACCTCCGCATCAACCCTTGTCCTTCGAGTTACCTCCTCAACCGACACCCCCCGTTCCCTCCTCACCCCTCACTCACTCACCTTGGTGGTGTTGGAGTCCATGGAAATGAGCTGAGCATCATCTGCCTTTCAAGTGACCACAATACCTCCGTACCCAATAACCCTCGTCCTTCGAGTTACCTCCTCACCCAACACCCCCCGTTCCCTCCCACCCCTCCCTCCCTCACCTTCGTGCTGTTGAAAGTCCATGGGAATGCCCATCATCTGCCCTTCACCTCCACACCCCACAAACCCCCTCCTTCATCGCTAAACACACCCGCCTCCCTCCTCCTCACCCTTCACTCACTCACCTTGGTGGTGTTGAAGTCCACGGGAATGCCCATCATCTGCATCATCCTCAAATCCACCTCAGGGTTGCAGCAAGGTGACATGCCTGTGGCCAAATCAACACCTTGGTGATGCGAAGCTCAAGTCTCCTTTTTACCCGCCACACGCTCACCGCACTCACCTTGGTGGTGTTGAAGTCCATTGGAATGCCCATCATCTCGCCTCTACCCATCGTCACCCATCCCAACATCCCCTCACCCAACCCCTCATTCCCTCACCCTTCACGCGCTCACCTTGGTGGTGTTGAAGCCCATGGGAATGCCCATCATCTCGCCTCTACCCATCGTGACCCATCCCAACATCCCCTCACCCAACCACTCATTCCCTCACCCTTCACGCGCTCACCTTGGTGGTGTTGAAGTCCATGGGAATGCCCATCATCTGCATCATCCTCATTTCCGCCTCGGGGTCAATGGGGGGCGGGGGAGGCGGTGGCAGAGGCGGCATAGGGGGCAGCACAGAAGGACCGCCACCAGCAGCAGCATCAGCAGCACTGGCATCACCGTAACCACCCAGTGATGCATCAGCAGCTGCCATATCCACATCCCCTCCTGCCGCACCCCCTGCACCACCACCACCATACGCCCCACCATACCCGCCATACACCCCACTACCACCGTAATACCCGCCCCCAGCATCACGAGACGCGTCGCCTTCCAACCCCCCTCCCCCCCTCCCCCATCCCCCCCGCGTTCCCACCTCCTCCCCTTCCCTTCCGCCCCCAAACGCCCCCCCTCTCCGCCCATCCCCCTCCCCCTCGGATCCGCTCCGCTCAAGGCTATCCCGCTCCCGCTCCTCCCGCCGCCTCCGCGCCTTCTCCCCCGGAGAGGGGGACCTTTCCATGGCGTCCCGCTCCCTCTCCTCTCTCGCCCGCCGAACGCGCTCCTCCTGATTCGGCGATCTCGAACGCGATCGCGATCTAGACAGAGAGAGGCTCAGCGAAGCGGATCGAGATCTAGATCGGCTGCGCGATCGCGATCGCGATCGGTGGTGGCGCGAGCGCCGCTCGCTCCCCCTGCGCGCGTGCCCCCCTTTCCCGTGCCCGCGCGCGCCCGCGAACTCCCCCGCGCGCCTTCCGCCGGCGCGCGCGGGAGAGGCGGAGCGCGAGCGGGAGCGGAGGAGGCGGGGGGACCGGGAGCGGCTGCGGGAACGCCTTCGGCGGGAGGGGCGGTCCGCTTCGGGCGATTTCTTCCGGACGTCTTTATCTTTCGCTGCGCCTCGGTCCTTCTCCTTGTGTCTCTCTTTCTCGCGGTCCCTGCTCCCCTTCTCCTTCTCCTTATCCTTCGCCTTCTCTTTATCCTTCTCCTTATCCTTATCCTTCGCCTTCTCTTTATCCTTCTCCTTCTCCTTATGCTTATCCTTGTCCCTTCCCCTCTCCTTCTCCTTATCCCGACTTTTGTCCTTCTCCCGCTTCTCCTCTTTCTCCCTATCTCTCTTCTTGTCCCTCTCCTTGTCCTTCGATTTCTCTTTCTCCTTCTCCCTTTCTTTCTCCTTCTCCTTAACCCTAGTCTTATCTGTGTCCTCCATTCCCCTGCCTTTCGCCTCCCCTGCTTCTCCCTCCTCCTTCAACTCTCCCTCCTCTCCTCCCTCTCCTTCCTCTCCCTCCTCCTTACCCACCTCCGCCAAACCAGTCCCTTTGTCTTCATCCTTCTTCTCACGTTTCATCTCCTCCTTCTCCTTCTCCTTTTCCTTCTCTTTCTCCTTCTCCTTGCTTTTCTCCCTGACTTTTCTCTCCTTGTGTCTTTCCGATCGTTCCTTTTCCTTATCGCCTCGATCCTTATCCCGACCCTTATCCCGACCTTTCTCCCGATCCTTATCTCGATCCTTATCCCTGCTTTTCCTCCTTTCTCTGTCCTTCTTACTCTTGTCATCTTCCTTCGCCGCCAAATCACCGCCTTCCGTTTCTTTTACTTCTCCCACGTCATCAGCAACATCCGCTGGCTGATATGCCACGTCATTCCCATCATCTCCCTCGGGAGCTCCCATTTTATTTTTCGAAAAACGGACGACCAGATCGAACTAAAGAGCGCTGGGATCACACCAGAGAAAAACGGCTCTTAATTGGGGCAGTTTCTACCAAAGTCGCCTGCTTGAACTTCTGATGATAACAAACACCACCAACCGATAGTATAATCGCTGGCTTCTACGGTTTTGCTTGCAGTCCCTGTGCGCGTTTCCCTGGTGTAATCGAATAAGAAGAGGACTTGCGCCGACCTGCTGCCTAAGATCCAAGAGGCAACTTCTAGAAACTGAATGCTAGAATGGAATGTGCTTCGAATGAAATGCTGTGCTGAACCGAAGACTGATCGCTTGTGTAGCCTTGATTCTATCACGCGTCACGAAAGTGTAAGGGCGTAGTTACACGTCACGAAATCTGTCCCGATGAAACTAGGGTTTCCACGTTCTGAGTTGCAACGAACGCTACGGTTCGCGAACACAAAAGGGTTCGTATGCCAAGTTCTTTGCGTTCACGCCTTGAATCTGCAGTAGCAGTTATGTTCAACTGTTTTTTTCTTCTGCAGATCTGTCCCCTTATCGCAGCACATTGTAACGAATAATGTCGTCCATACCTAAACCCTGGTCAACCAACCACTGAGAATCTCTAGCCTAGGGCTCTACGAAATAGGCTGGCTCCGGCCGCACCGCGTTCTCACATTCTGAATTCGCCGCCCGACACGCGGAGCGACATCGTGCCTCTCGGTTGGCATTCTTAGTATGTAGCTTAGGGGTCGACGCACTGCTGGTTTTTGCTTCAGCGTTGTATCATATCACGACACCAACACGTATTTGTTATAACGAATCATTTTCGTACTTCCTTCGATCTCTTCCCTCGATCGAACTCCTCCCGTGTGCATAGGAGCTTCGCTAGAACCATCTTCGTTGTGCGGACTTGGAGAGGCCTTGGTCCCGCATTTGCCACGTCAGCGGTTTGTCTTCGTCGCGATGGTGTTTTACTTTAAAGTGCGGCCCGAAGCGGGCGACTTCACCATCTACATGGGACTCGATAAGTTTGAGAACGAGCAGCTCATTAAATACGGCTTCCCGGAGGACATATGGTGCGTCGAATCTGCGTATAACGGGGATTCTAGTCCTACGAGAGTTGTGGGGGTCTTGATAGGCTTTCTCGTCAATTGTGGCTTTCTGGGAGGAAGATATGGTCCGTAGCGAAGACGTATGTAACGAAGCGTTTGTGTTTCAAGGTTGAGCGGCATCACAGCCGATCATGGGTTCGCATGGATGTGAGTAAGTTCGGAAGCCTAGCAACTCGCAAAATGCGCCTTGTCGGAAGACGTGTGGTGCGTATCGGAGCTGTTCGTAACGGAAAGTCCTGCCATTCTTTGAAAGTGCGCTAGCGGCCGAGGTGCTTTAAAATCAGAGGCTAGCAACATCACCTGCACCCTCTGGATTTGAGGCGTCGGGAAAAATCCGCAAGTAGGGTTTGCGATGATTGGGGGTTGGAGAGAAAGACGAAGGTGCGCGTCCGTGTGTGCGGGGAGGGGGGGTGGAAGGGGGAATGGAATGGGTGGTGCGTGTGCTTATGCACTCTGCACAACTCTTCTGAGGGTTCCACGTGGACAGTGGACTCACACGTGGACATGTACAGAGCGATGTCTTGTCGGGTTACCCAGGTCCGACCCCCTTACGTCCGCTCTTTCTCCTTCCCCTTCCCCTTCCCCTTCCCCCACCCCCACCCCCACCCCCACCCCGCGCCCCAACAACCCACCTCCCTCCCCCTCCCCACCCACAACCCATCTCCTCTGCTACTGTGAAGGTTCCACGTGGACAAGCTCTCGTCCGCGCACGTGTACACAAGCTGTCGTCCCCTTCCCCTTCCTCTCCCCACCACTCAGCCTCATTGTCCGCGCTCCTCCCCTTCCTTTATGTGCAGGTTCCACGTGGACAAGCTCTCGTCCGCACACGTGTACCTGCGGCTGCGCAAGGGGCAGGGCATTGATGACGTCACGCCCGAGATGCTGGAGGACTGCGCGCAGCTGGTCAAGGCCAACTCCATCATGGGTGGGTTCAGAGCGGTTGGAAGTGGTTGGGGGGGCGGGGTTGTGGTTTGAGGGCCGGATTCCCGAGGGAGGGGCTGGGAGGAAGTGGTGTATGTAGTGGTTGGGAAGGGTGGGTGGGTGGACAGGCAGGGCAACTGGTCAAGGTCGACTTCATCATGCATGGGTGGGTTGAAAGCGGTTCCCGGTGGTTGGGCTGGGTTGGGAGGTGGCTCTTGAGCCACCTCCCATTCTCTCAACCTCCCAACCTCCAAACTTGGACGTGGTGTACACGCCTTGGGCCGACCTCTACGTGGCTTCATGGAAGTATACCCTTCCCCCTCCCCTCCCTCCCCCCCTCTCCCCCTCTCCCCTCCCCCCCACCGCACCTGCAGGCAACAAGCTGAACAACATCAACGTGGTCTTGACGCCCTGGGCCAACCTCTGTAAAGAATACACGCAGTCTGAACCTCGGTGTATTCTCTCTCTTCTTTCCCCTTCCCCTCTCCCCTCCCCCCCACCGCACCTGCAGGCAACAAGCTGAACAACATCAACGTGGTCTTGACGCCCTGGGCCAACCTCTGTACAGAATACACGCAGTCTGAACCCCGGTGTATCCTCTCTCTTCGTTCCCCTTCCCCTCTCCCCTCCCCCCCACCGCACCTGCAGGCAACAAGCTGAACAACATCAACGTGGTCTTGACGCCCTGGGCCAACCTCTGTAAAGAATACACGCAGTCTGAACCCCGGTGTATTCTCTCTCTTCTTTCCCCTTCCCCTCTCCCCTCCCCCCCACCGCACCTGCAGGCAACAAGCTGAACAACATCGACGTGGTGTACACTCCCTGGGCCAACCTCCGAAAGGCAGCTTCCATGGACGTTGGACAGGTGAGGTGTGGGGCGGGTGAGGTGTGGGGACAGGGCACGTGAGACGTGGGGCAGGTGAGACGTGGGGCAGGTGAGACTTGGGGCAGGTGAGACTTGGGGCAGGTGAGACTTGGGGCAGGTGAGATGTGGGGCAGATGAGGTATGGGACTGGTGGGATGTGGGGTAGGTGAGATGTGGAGGAGAAGGAAGGCAATGAGAGGTGGTGGTGATTGAGTGCACTGGCCAATGCTACACCCCATCCCCTATATACACATGATTCTTCCTAACGAATCAGCCTTTCCAGCCCTAAGGAAGGTGGTGTGGTGTGTTGTGCGCGAGGGTTCAGCTCCTGTTTTGAGTCGACTTCAGCTCCCCGTTCCTGCCTTGGCGATGTCGTGTTTTGAGTCGACTCGAAACACGACTCGAAACACGACTCGAAACGAGGGGGTTCAGCTCCCCGTTCCTGCCTTGGCGATGCTTCCGAACCTCAAACCCGAACCCTAAACGGACGGACTTTCAAACAACCCAAACCCATAACCCCGACCCACTTGAATTGAAACCCCTAACCTGAAAACCTAACCCCAAACCCGAACCCTAAACGGACAGTTAGGTTTCCATCCACAACCCCGCGGCGGTGCGCAGCTTGCTAGTGGAGAAGCGGCTCAACGCAAGGAGGCGGTGGTGGTGACACGGAACCAATGGCTGCACCTCATCTCATCTCATCCCCCATACAAACATTTCCTCTTGCAGATTGGTTTCCATCCACAACCCCAAGGCGGTGTGTAGCTGGCGAGTGGAGAAGCGGCTCAACGCAAGGAGGCGGTGGTGGTGGTCGTGGTTTACGAAACTAGTAATTGCCAATCTATACACCCGATCCCCCATATGAACTCAACTCGTTAACAGATTGGGTTCCACAACCCCAAGGCGGTGCGGAGCGTGCGGGTGGAGAAGCGACTCAACGAGGTGGTGAACCGGCTGAACAAGACCAAGGTGGAGAAGACGCCTGATCTGCAAGGTGGGTCCAAGTGGGTTGAGATGGGTGTAGGGAGACATATGGTTGACATGGATCCTACAAGGTGGTGAACCGGCTGAAGAAGACCAAGGTGGAGAAGACGCCTGACCTGCAAGGTGGGTCCAAGTGGGGGTGTAGAGAGACATGGGTTGAGATGGATTCTTCAAGGTGGTGAACCCGCTGAACAAGACCAAGGTGGAGAAGACGCCTGACCTGCAAGGTGGGTCCAAGTGGGGGTGTAGAGAGACATGGGTTGAGATGGATTCTTCAAGGTGGTGAACCCGCTGAACAAGACCAAGGTGGAGAAGACGCCTGACCTGCAAGGTGGGTCCAAGTGGGTTGAGATGGGTGTAGGGAGACATATGGTTGACATGGATCCTACAAGGTGGTGAACCGGCTGAACAAGACCAAGGTGGAGAAGACGCCTGACCTGCAAGGTGGGTCCAAGTGGGGGTGTAGAGAGACATGGGTTGAGATGGATTCTTCAAGGTGGTGAACCCGCTGAACAAGACCAAGGTGGAGAAGACGCCTGACCTGCAAGGTGGGTCCAAGTGGGTTGAGATGGGTGTAGGGAGACATATGGTTGACATGGATCCTACAAGGTGGTGAACCGGCTGAACAAGACCAAGGTGGAGAAGACGCCTGACCTGCAAGGTGGGTCCAAGTGGGGGTGTAGAGAGACATGGGTTGAGATGGATTCTTCAAGGTGGTGAACCCGCTGAACAAGACCAAGGTCGAGAAGACGCCTGACCTGCAAGGTGGGTCCAAGTGGGGGTGTAGAGAGACATGGGTTGAGATGGATTCTTCAAGGTGGTGACCCGGCTGAACAAGACCAAGGTCGAGAAGACGCCTGACCTGCAAGGTGGGTGCTTGGAGTGAAGGGGTTGCATAGGCGGTGCAGTGCAGAGGGGTTTCCCTGAGTCCATGCCCACTGTTGGGTGGTCCATGCCTTGGCTGGCGCATGCCATAGTTGGTGAACTGGCTGGCGCATGCCATAGTTGGTGAACTGGCTGGCGCATGCCATAGTTGGTGAACTGGCTGGCGCATGCCCGACCTGCAAGGTTGGCTGATTTGAAGTGGTTGCACAAGTTGGTTGAAGTGTGTGTCGAAATATTTTCTTTGTGATGTTTTTTTTTTTTTTTTTTTTTTTTTTTTCCACTTGATTTCAAACCGTCAGCCATCTCCTCCCAGCTTGATGCTTCTTCTCAAATCAAGTTTTTTTTTGTGCTTTCTCGTACGGTACTTGGCATTGCTTCTGCTTCGCTGGTGCTTTTGCCTTGTGTGCGTGCCGTGCAGCTGAGAAGGAAGCTAGAGAGGCAGAGGACCGAGCAGCAAGGAAGGCAGTCCTGAGAGAACAGGTGAGAGCGAATCTTTGATGGTTTCGTTACATCTTCTGCCACCTTTGTGTACATAATGCGCACTCATACTGTCTATATATTAGAGCCAATTTACCATGGTTAGGCGGCAGGTATGACGGTTACAACAGTAACAATGCGCGATTCTTCTTCCCGCCTCCAACTCACCCCGCGCCCCGTCCCCCTACTTCTTCCGCCTCCTTTCGCCCCGCTATGGATTTTGTATTTCACAGGCTCGACGCGAGCAAGAGGAGAAAGCTTTGAAGCAGCGGCAGGCGGAGTTGCGGAGTTACAAGGGAATTATGGTGGAGAAGAAAACGACGTCAAATAAAGATATTGCCGCAAAGATGGAAGGGAAAAGCATACAGGACGTCGAGGATGATTTTATGTGACGAATAGTTTGTGTGACCCCATTCTGTTGGTGCTATGCATGCTTATAAGCTTGTATTTTTCCTAAAACACTCAATAAAGTTGTCCAGCCTTGTAGATCCTCGCATTCTGGTTGCTACATTAAATATTTACTGTACAAGTGGTAGGGAAGTCATTACAGCGAGGCAAGCTCGAACCGAGGACAATGCGTCCACCAGCCATAAAAGCCCTTCACGTCTCCCCCTCAAATCCCGCACCGCCTCTCCTCTGATCAAACCACCTGTACTTTCCGCGCCCGTGCCGCTCCGCCTAGGGGTATAGGTGTTCGTGGCCGCCGAAGCGCATTAGTTCCGCGCGCCTGAGTGTACCGCCCTTTCAAACCAACTCTTATCCTTCGCTTGAAGAAGCCGACTTTCTGGGGAATCTGCGGACGCCGCCGTTTTTCGGAACCTGCGGACGCCGCCTTGCACCCAGTGCCTGCGGCCCGCGGGCCCCGCCTTGCCGTGGAAAGTCCACCTAAATCCTCCCACATCCTTCCGCCATCTTCCCTCCACCACCGCACGCGCGGATGTCGTTCCGCCAGCGCGTGTGGCCCGGCGGGAGTCGCTGGGGGGAATGGTGCTCGCCGCGTCGTGCTGCGTGCTCGCGCTCAACCTCTCCGCGCAAAGACGCGCGCTCGGGGAAGCGCAGCGAGCGCTGGCGGAAGCCCTTACGGAGTCGCATCTGCAGGCGGATCTTCTGGAAGCAGAACGGCGGTCAGCGGAAGCTGCGCGCAGGGCGGAGGCGGAGATCCGCGGAGATTTAAGGCGGTTGCGCGCGGAAATGCGGAGAGAGGCGGGGAAGGCGGGATGGGGGCTGGCGGAGAGGATCAGGGCGTTGGCGGGGCAGGAAGAGGAGGAAGGGCAAGCGGGGGAACAAGGCGAGGGGGAACGAGCGGGAGGGGGAGAGGATGGGGAAGAGCGGATAGAGGAGGGAGAAAAGGGAGACAGAATGGATTCAGAAGCAGCGAACAAAGGGCAGCAGCAGGCGCAGCAGACAGAGGAGGGATGGAGTGGGAGGGAGGGGGAGGGTGGAATAGCGGGCAGTGAGCCTTCAGCAGGTAGGCTACACGCACGGCGTCTTATGGCATTGCCCCTTATGGCGTTTATGTCATGGCGTTTTATGGCATGGCGTGTTATGTCATGGCGTTTTATGGCATGGTGTGTTATGTCATGGCGTTTTATGGCATGGCGTGTTATGTCATGGCGTTTTATGGCATGGCGTGTTATGTCGTGGCGTTTTATGGCATGACGTGTTATGGCATGGCGTGTTATGGCATGGCGTGTTATGGCATGGCGTGTTATGGCATGGCGTGTTGTGGTATAGCATGGTATGGCTAGGTAACTGATTGACTTGGCATGGTTAATCCCCCCTCCCTTGCTCTCCTCCTCCTCTTCCTCCTCCTCCTCCTCCCCCTCCTCCTCCTCCCCCTCCTCCTCCTCCTCCTCCTCCTCCTCCTCCTCCTCCTCCTCCTCCTCCTCCTCCTCCTCCTCCTCCCCCTCCTCCTCCTCCTCCTCCTCCTCCTCCTCCTCCTCCTCCTCCTCCTCCTCCTCCTCCTCCTCCTCCTCCTCCTCCTCATCATCCCCCCCCTCCTCCTGTCCCTCCCCTGTTTGACCTTTCTCAATGGTTTTTTTTTGGTATTCTCTCACCACCCTTTTCAAAGTTTTGTTGCATCCTTACCGTGTCTCCATTTGGATTTTGTTTTCATTTTAATGCGTCCTTTCCTAGAATCGCGTGATCATGAATGTTTGCATGTGTGATGGAGAAGGGGGGCGCAGGAGGGTGGGTTGTGTTGGTGTGCCCATCCTTACACCTATGTATGCGTCTTTAAGGCGGTCAATTGCTGTCTAAATTGATGCCCTTTGGTTTTGTGTTGTATGCGCCTTAATTTCTGTCCATGGTGTGGCAGGGCCTTCAGCATCTAAACCCAAGAGGTTTTTCGTCTGAAAAAACAGGGAAATCGTCTATAGAAACGTTCAAAGCGTACCTGAGTTGAGCAAAAAGGCATTATAGTGTACGAATATTATAATGCAACGCGCCATTCCTTCTACAGAAGCGAATCCGCCCTTATGAGTGCCTGGTTGTTTGCTTGGGAGGGGTGACTCAACCATACCTAGGCCATTTTTAATGGCCAAATCGCAGTGCATGTTGTTCCAGGCCAGATAGTATGATAGTAGATACGCAGGCAAAACGTTGGAACGGCGGCGCTGATAAACGCAAATTCCGCTCGTCTAATACTCTTTCTATGAATGATGAATAGTTTTTCTTGGATTGCGATCATCTGTCTTCGATAGATAGCTGCCGTCGATTGATAAAACCCGCGAATCTATTACAGCCTCACAATGGCCGTCAGTTGCGGAGAGCAGCCGGCGAGGACTGGACTCCACGCATTTTCGACGGATTTAAACTGAACGGGTGGGCTGATCTGGACGGGTGGAATTCGATTCAATGAAATGCACGGCTTTAGGCAAGGCGCGTTTTGAGACGGCTCAAATTTAGCACGTGAATTAAAGGCAACTGCTTCGGTAGTTTCTATCTGCTTTTATCATTTGTGGCACACGCGTTTGTAGCACCCGTGTTTGTAGCACACGAATTTGGAGCAGACGCGCGTCTCTAGAACACGTGGTTGTCGCACACGCACTTGTAGCACGCGTGATTATAGGGCAGGGAATCGTAGCACGGACGCGTCTGTAGCCAGTCATGAGCCGCGCGGTGCTAATCAGCGCGCGAGGCGGCGGTAGCGGCGGCGCGTTCGGCGCGAACCGCATTGTGGTGCTCTTCACCGTGTCGCTGCTGCTCGTGGCGTCCGCTGCCGCTTCATTCTTCGCCTTCTGCCCCGCCTCGTCGCGATCCATCGACGAAACTAAGGTAGAGGGGGGCAAACCCCTGTGGTTACACCTTGGCGAAACAAGGTCAGCGGATCGCGCCTTCTGATTGGTTGCTTGCTTATGCGCCCTCTCTCTCCTCTCCATGCCTACTTCGTTTCTGCCCAGCCCCCTCGCAATCCATCCATGAAACGAATGACATGACAGGCCAATTTTCCCTTGGGTAATTGGTTGGTGATCATTCTGAGACACCTCACATTGCCTCCTTTCACACTCTCCCCCCTCCTATTCCCTCCATTCCTACTCATCGCACTCTCTACCCCTCCTATCCCCTCTATTCCTCCTCTCCCACTCTCTGCACCATTCCTTTCATCCCTCCTCTCCCACGCTCTCCTCCTATTCCTTCCATCCGTCCTCTCCCACTCTCTCCTCCTATTCCTTTTATCCCTCCTCTCCCACTCTCTCCTCCTATTCCTTTTATCCCTCCTCTCCCACTCTCTCCTCCTATTCCTTCCATCCGTCCTCTCGCGCTCTCTCCTCCATCCCTACCTTCCCTCTCTCCTCTCCCCCTCTCTTCTCCACCATCCCTTCCTTTCCCCCCCCCCCCCGCTACTCCACATCCCAGCAGCACCAGCGGCAGTTGCAGCAGGAGCAACAGGAGGGGGTAAATGGAAACTTCAGCGCAAGTCAACAGAGTCAACAGGGGCAACAGCAGGTCAACGCAGGCCCACCCATCCCGTCCATCCCACCTCAATCCCCCCCCCCCCCCTCTCTCTCCCCTTCTCCACTCTTCCAGCAGCACCAGCGGCAGTTGCAGCAGGAGCAGCAGGAGGGGGTGGTTGGGAACTTCAGCGCAAGTCAACCGAGTCAACAGGGGCAACAGCAGGTCAACGGCGCCAGTGAAGGGGGAAGAGGAGAGGCAGGAGATGGATCAGGGGGAGGAGGGGCAGGAGGGGCAGGAGAGGCAGCAGCAGGGCCGGGGGAGCAGGAGGAGATAGATGAGAATCAGCCGCCGGAAACTTCGGGGAAATGCCCCCCATCTGAAACAATTGTCAAGGTAACCATTGGTATGGTAGCCATTGGTACGGTAAGCATTGGTACGGTAAGCATTGGTACGCTAAGCATTGGTACGGTAAGCATTGGTATGGTAAGCATTGGTACGGTAAGCATTGGTACAGTAAGCATTGGTACGGTAAGCATTGGTACGGTAAGCATTGGTACGGTAAGCATTGGTACGGTAAGCATTGGTACGGTAAGCATTGGTACGGTAAGCATTGGTACGGTAAGCATTGGTACGGTAAGCATTGGTACGGTAAGCATTGGTACGGTAAGCATTGGTACGGTAAGCATTGGTACGATCGCTACTTCCACTCTATGGGCGTCTTCCCCCTCTGCTCCATGGATGCATGCTTCAACTACTCGCGTTGCCCTGCCCTCCTCTCTCTCTTTCCCCCGTTGCCCGTAACCACCTTTCCCACTGCAGCACAGCCTGTGGCACGCGAGTGGGCGCTACTTCCACTCTATGGGCGTCTTCCCTTTTTGCTCCATGCACGCATTCTTCAACTACTCCCTGTTCCCCTATCCTCGCAACCCCACTGCCCCTTGCAGCACAGCCTGTGGCACGCCAGCGGGCGCTACTTCCACTCTATGGGCGTCTTCCCTTTCTGCTCCATGGACGCATGCTTCAACTACTCGCGCTGCCCCGCAGACCCCTCCCACGAGCCGCTAGTCTACTCCTACTGGCCCGGCCAGCATTACTTTAAGAGGTTCAATGAGACCCGCTGGCACACAGACGATCCTGCCAAGGCGTGTTTCTTCTTTGTGCATATGGCGAGAGGGCAACCGAACGAGTTCACGGATTTGGAGCACTGGGGAGAGAACGGCGCTAACCACGTGCTCATAAGGTGGGTTGTTACAAGGAGTGTGCTTTTAGAGAGTTTGGTGAGGTCTGACTTCGTGCATATGGCGAGAGGGCCGCCGTACAAGTTTCCGGATCTGGAGCATTGGGGGGAGGGGAGAACGGGGCCAACCATGTGCTTATCAGGTGTTTGTTATAAGGAATGTGGTTAATATAAGGTGTGTGCTTGCCGACTAGGTGCCTTCAAAAGAGATGTCAAACCATTACACCATCTCGGTCTGTAATTGTGCTACTTCCACTCCTTTCGCTTCTGCGTTGCTCTCTCCCTTCCTTCCCTCATTTCCATCCCCTTTTCGAGTCTCCTTGGCAATGGTTATGGTTGTTTTCCAATACACATTTCAGTTTTCTGCACTCATCTCCTTTCTCTCCTTTCTCTTTTCCCTTTCCTCCTTTTCCTCATTTCCCCTCATATAGTTTCTCAGACTCTTGGAGCGGTCCATCCCCTTTTGGAGTCTCCTCGGCAATGGTTATGGTCACCAACGCACAGGCCACGATCATGAGAACAGATTTCGACACTTCCATCCCGCTGCCCCAAATGTGGAAAAACCCGCCCGTTGAGCTCCGGAACCTGCCCGCCGGATCTGCCCGGAAATATTTCCTGACGTTCCGAGGCACGCGTTACCTGGGGAATTTGAAGGGTAATTTCCGGAGTGCCCCGGAGTTTAAGGCGTTGCACAACGGCAAGGATGTGGTTGTGCTGACAAGATGCGGGTAAGTTCCGAGTTTGCCCAACATTATGGTTCCAGTCCAGGCAAAGGTAAACCCCTCAAACTTGAGGGTAACATGTGCTTTTACCCCAATGTCACAGGCTGTTCTGTGAGTGTAGTTGCAGAGACGACTGCCTCAACTGTCTGCAACTCGCCCCTCTTACCTCTGCAAAAGAGTTTCGAGAAAACAAAAAAAAACAAACAAACAAACAAAAGTGTACCACCCATCTCAACTTTTTGATATCCACCCCCCTTTCTCCCCTCCACCAGGGGATCTACCAACGCGCGCATTCTCGCAGAGGAACCTTCCTTGAAGCCCGAGTGCGACGAGGATGCCAAGCTGTACACTCAGTACGACTTTGCTGACGTCATGAACACCACCTTCACTCTTGCTCCGGCCGGCCGACAAGGTTCCACCTATAGGTTCCTGGAGGTGCGTGCACAGTGCTTTTCAAGTCAAGTGATGCAATGGGATGTGTGCGGGCTGACGTGTGCTGACGTCATGAACACCACCTTCACTCTTGCTCCGGCCGGCCGACAAGGGTCCACCTACAGATTCCTGGAGGTGTGTACTTGTTGCTGGCTATGTCATGTGATAGATATTGATGGCATGGGATGTGTTGTGTCGTCTGCTGGTCTTGTCACGTGATAATGGTGTGCTGTGTTGTGCTGTGACGGGCGCTGCTGACGTCACGAACACACCACCTTTACCCGCGCTCCAGGCTCCGGCCAGCAGACAAGGATCCACCTGTAGGTTCCTGGTGTAATGAGTCGTGTTTTGAGTCGACTCAAAACACGACTCCGGCCAGCAGACAAGGATCCACCTGTAGGTTCCTGGAGGCGCGTACTTATTGCCGCTGATGTCGTAATGATGTCATATGTGCTGAGATGTGCTCTCATGACCTGATGTGTGTCTGCTGACGTCATGAACACCACATTCACCCTTGCCCCGGCCGGCAGAAAAGCGTCAACCTACAGATTCTTGGAGGTGTGTATTGTCTGCTGATCGTGTGCGTTGTCTTGTCATGTGATAGTGGTGTGGTGTGGTGTGGTGTGGTGTGGTGTGGTGTGGTGTGTGTGTGTTGTGTTGTGATGCGAACCTGTGCTGGTAACAGCTGGCAGACAAGGGTCTACCTTGAGATTCTTTGGAGGTTGTGGTGTGTTATGTGCTAACGTGAGCATATGCGTTGACAGTGGTGGGAGTAATCCTTGTGGTGGTGTAGTTTGAGTTGCCTCCATACGTACTCGTGTTGCGTCATGTGATACTGCATACCTCACACCCACACACCAGGCGTTGACAGTGGGAGCTATCACAGTGGTGGTGGCGGACAACTGGCGGTTACCATTCAATGGCATCATATCATTGCATCACTGCCATACCTGTGGTGGCCTCTCAATTCCTCTCTCGTGGCTGATTTCTCACTCTCACATCCTGGTACCTTATGCACACCCACACACCAGGCGCTAACAGTGGGAGCCATCCCAGTGGTGGTGGCGGACAACTGGCGGTTACCATTCGACGACATCATCTCGTGGCACCACTGCCTGCTGCGCTTCCCCACCGACCAGATGCACCGAATCCTGCCCACCCTTAGAGCCATGGATGCGGTATGCATGCTGATGTGTTGTGTCTGGGGTATGCGTTGTGGATGTGGCATGTAGCATCACTGCCTGCTGCAGTTCCCCACCAACCAGATGCACCGAATCCTGCCCACCAAAAGAGCCATGGTTGAGGTGTGTTGTGGATGGGGTATGAATGGGTTGACGTGTGTTGTAGATGGGGTATGGATGGGTTGAGGTGTGTATTGATGGATGAACCATGTGGATTGTCAGGTTGAGGATGGGTATGCATCTCCAAGGGTCATAGATGAGGCAGCCCAATACTTCTAGTTGTGTTTTAGTATCTACGGTATGATTTGCCTCAAAAGTCGTCTCTCTACCCCCGTACTGTATCCCCATTACATTTTTTTTCTTCTTTCTTCATTTTTTTTGTATCCGTCTCTCACCCCCTATGGATCTTCTACCAGTATCCTATTCCATGTGCATGCATTCATAAATCTCTCCTCCATGATTGCCCCTTCTTTCATTCCATCCAGCCGGCCATACAGCGGCGACAGCAGGAGTGTCTGCGGATATACGACAAGCACCTTTCCTCCGACGAGGCCCTTCTGGAATCGGTCATGCTTTCGCTTAAAGCACACATGGGTGTTGTCATGCGCAGACGCAGATAGTACGGGGTCACTCATTTGTTGGTTACATTCTTTTGTTTTCTTTTAGTATGGTACTGTGTGGACAGATACATTTTACATATATGTTTTGTGAAGTATACATTTTTTTCCTGCTCTGGAAAGAATGCGCGTGTTGATTTTCTCAAATTAGAGGTGTTCGTTACGCAGTTTATCTGGTACAGTTGGTGGTATGGTGAAGATGGCACAAGAAGTAGGTTCCAATAACATATAATAGACCTTATATATACTTCAAATGTATGAATATAGATTCACTAACCGCACTAAAACGCACCGAACACCAAGTGCGACCCCAAGTGAACTTGTCCCCTCGTCATTCACTCACTTCTCTGCTAGTGCATTCGGCAAGCGCAACCCCTCCGAACCGCTAGTGTCTTCACAACAGCACCGCTTCCGCGTTCTCCGGCTAGTCTCCTCGTTCTCAAGCGATTCCGCGGTTTTGCAGCTTAGAATCGTTAGCATTCACTCCACCCATCCGTGCTCTTCGGTTTTCAGAATGAAGCGCTCGGAAGAAAAGCGCGCCAAATCCCCCAAAACCTCCAAGAAAAAGGCGAAAACAGACTCGCCGTCGGTCAAGTCTTCCAAAAAGCCGAAACCCTCAGCTAAATCCGCAGACGGAGCGGCGAAGAGCTCGCTGCGCGCCGATGACGACACGTGGAAGCAGCGCGCCTCGGCCGAGAAGGACCACGCCGATCTCTCCGGCGGCAGCGACGGCGACGCCGCAGACGGCATTGATCCCGCCGCTGCCGGCGCGGCCAGCACGGCAGGAGGGGGCGAGGCCGGCGTGGGTGATGGGTATGAGGAGATGACGGGGTTAGTTCTCCGCAATGAGGAATTTGAGGACGGCAACACGGGCGGCAGCGGCAGTGGCGGCGTGCGATGCCTGCACGAAGTTGCGTACCCCAAGGGCTGGAAGCTTCCGACCAGCAAGGAAGCTGCGCGGAAACCGCTGCCGGAGAAGCCCGCCAAGGAGTACCCGTTTAAGCTTGACCCGTTTCAGGAAGAGGCCGTGCGGTGCTTGGAAGCGAACGAATCCGTGCTGGTGAGAAAATCGCGACAGCGACCCCAAACCCAGAAACTCCGGCTGGAATGTTAATGCTTAAACCCTGATCGAAACTCTAGCTAAAAACCCAGACCGGAAGTATAGCCGAAACTATTGTTTAGAAACCCTAATCCCCGAGTGGGATGCTGAGCCCAAAACCCTGAGCCCGTTATCCGCATTGGAGAAGCAAGGAAGCCGAGAGAGCATTCAGGGTTTAGAGCGGAACTAAGTACTGCTTGGCAATATATAACGGCTCCTTCCTCTTTCTCCTCAAAAGCCCCTTCCCGTCTGAGAGAGAGAGAGAGACCCTTTCACGTCCTACCCTTTTACGTCCTTCCCTTTCTCTCTTCCCTTCCTCACACACTCAGGTCTCAGCACACACACACACACGTCTCCAGGCAAGACTAGTGGTAGCAGAATACGCGATAGCCATGGCGATGTGGGACAACCAGCGGGTCGTGATGAGAGAGAGCCTTCACTTCCATCCCTTTCTCTCCCCCCCCACTCACCACAGGTCTCGGCACACACATCTGCTGGGAAAACAGTGGTGGCAGAATACGCCATAGCCATGGCGATGCGGGACAACCAGCGCGTCGTGATGAGAGAGAGCCTTCACTTCCATCCCTTTCTCTCTCCCACTCACCACAGGTGTCAGCACACACATCTGCTGGGAAAACAGTGGTGGCAGAATACGCCATAGCCATGGCGATGCGGGACAACCAGCGGGTCGTGTACACGTCGCCCATCAAGGCGCTGAGCAACCAGAAGTTCCGGGAAATGAGTCAGGAGTTTGGGGACGTGGGGCTCATGACTGGCGATGTCACCATTGCCCCCAACGCAACATGCCTGGTATGGTGCGGTGCAGTGCGGTGGTAGGGTGTTTGACGTGTTGTTGTACTTGCATACGTCGCCCATCAAGGCGCTGAGCAACCAGAAGTTCCGCGAGATGAGTCAGGAGTTTGGGGACGTGGGGCTCATGACTGGGGATGTCACCATCGCCCCCAACGCCACCTGCCTGGTATGGTGCGGTGCAGTGCGGTGATAGGGTGTTTGACGTGTTGTTGCACTTGCATACGTCGTCCATTGAAGCGCTGAGCAACCAGAAGTTCCGGGAAATGAGTCAGGAGTTTGGGGACGTGGGGCTCATGACTGGGGACGTCACCATCGCCCCCAACGCCACCTGCCTGGTGGGTGCCACAGTAACAGGTTTGGTATGTATGTATGTAGGCCAGGGAGTTGGAGGGGATGAGTCAGGAGTTTGGGGACGTGGGGCTCATGACAGGCGATGTCACCATCGCCCCCAATGCCACCTGCCTGGTAAGCAGGGTGCTAGAGGTGAGAGTGGAATGGTCGCTGCTCCTGTCGAGGGTTTGAGTCCGATGAGAAACACAGCGCAACAGTGTGCTGACTCAGGAGTTTGGGGACGTGGGGCTCATGGCATGACAGGCGATGTCACCATCGCCCCCAATGCTACCTACGTGGTGGGTGGTACAATGCTGCATTGGGTGTCATATCATCGTGCCTGGTGCAGTGTGACGACAGGGTGTCGTGTTGTGTGTACACATCACCAATCAAGGTGAGACGAGGTGCATTGCCTGAGCGGACAAGGAGCAAGCACCCCATTCTGCTCCTCTCTACCCACCTCCACCGTTCTGCTTCACTCTGTATTGCCCCAACCCCCTCCCTCCTGCAGGTAATGACAACCGAAATTCTCCGCAGCATGCTGTATCGAGGATCCGATTTCGTGCGGGAGGTGGGGTGGATCATATTCGACGAGGTGCATTACCTGAGGGACAAGGAGCACCCCGTTCTTCTCCTCTTTACCCACCTCCACCCCTCTTCACCGCTCTGTATTGTTCCCAATCCCAGGTTATGACCACTGAGATTCTCCGCAGCATGCTGTATCGAGGATCCGATTTCGTGCGGGAGGTGGGGTGGATCATATTCGACGAGGTGCATTACCTGAGGGACAAGGAGCACCCCGTTCTTCTCCTCTTTACCCACCTCCACCCCTCTTCACCGCTCTGTATTGTTCCCAATCCCAGGTTATGACCACTGAGATTCTCCGCAGCATGCTGTATCGAGGATCTGACTTCGTGCGCGAGGTGGGGTGGATTATATTCGACGAGGTGCATTACCTGAGGGACAAGGAGCGAGGGGTGGTGTGGGAGGAGAGTATCGTCATGGCTCCCAAGTCCTCCCGCTTCGTCTTCCTCTCCGCTACGGTCCCCAATGCAAGGGAATTCGCTGAGTGGGTGGCAAAGGTACGTTCAAGTAATGGGAGGGTTGACACTGGCACATAAGGGTGAAGAGCGGTGAAGAGCGGTGAAGAGAATGCATAGAGAGACTGAGCTGAGGGACAAGGAGCGAGGGGTGGTGTGGGAGGAGAGTATCGTCATGGTTCCCAAGTTTTCCCGCTTCGTCTTCCTCTCGACCACGGTGCCCAACGCTTGTGAATTTGCTGATTGGGTGGCAAAGGTACGTTCGAGTGGCACAAGGAGGGTTGTCGCTGGTACATAAGGGTGAAGAGTGGTGAAGAGCACGAGTAGAGAGAGTGAGGGACAAGGAGCGAGAGGTGGTGTGGGAGGAGGAGAGTATTGTCATGGATCCGAACCCTGTCACATTGTATACTCAGACTTTCCCCCCACGCCTCTTCAGACATAATTTTCAGGGAGCAGCAGTAGCGAAGCTAGGCTTAAAGCAAAAGAACAAACAGCTAGTATTTTACTCGCTGTGCAAGACTAAGTGTTCAAAGAGATCTCAGAACCAAACTCTTAGCAGTTGAAAGAAACAGGGACACTTAGTTTGGCCCTCTGAGAATCATGTCTGAAGATAGCCCCACGCCTCTCCAGCACTACATCGTCCCCGCAGGCGGCATGGGCCTATTCCTAGCTGTGGACACCACTCACTACATCTTCTCTTTCCTTCCTTCCCCTGTGTGTGTGCCTTGCCTCTGTCTCTTTCCCCTTACCAGGTGCACCAGCAGCCGTGCCACATTGTATACACGGACTACCGCCCCACGCCCCTGCAGCACTACATCTTCCCCGCCGGGGGCATGGGCCTATTCCTAGCCGTCGACGAGAAGGGCAAGTTCCGCGAAGCTTCCTTCCACAAGGCGATGAATGCAGTGGAAGGCGGGGAGGGCGGCGGAAAGGGGGAGGACGGGGAGGACGGGGGGAAGAAAGGGGGGAAGTGGGGGAAGGGGAAGCGGGGGGCGGGAGGGGGCGGTCCGGGGGGAGCCGGGGGAGGGGGAGGAGGGGGGAAGAAGGGGGAGGAGAGTGATATATACAAGATAGTGAAGATGATAATGCAGAGGCAGTACGACCCGGTGATTGTGTTCTCGTTCAGTCGGGCTGATTGTGAGGCGCTGGCGCTGCAGATGTCACGCATGGACTTGAATGACGATGATGAGAAGACGCTGATTGACGGGATTTTCAGGAATGCGATTGACAGCCTGGCAGAAGAGGACAAGAAACTGCCGCAGGTGAGTGAAGCTATTCCAGGGTGGTACCTGAACTGAAGCTACCTCAGGAGTCTTGAATGAGCTCGGAGCGCTGCAAATGTCTCGAATGGACTTGAACGATGAGGATGAGAAGACGCTGATTGATGAGATCTTCAGGAATGCCATTGACAGCCTGGCGGAAGAGGACAAGAAACTGCCCCAGGTGGGTGGACTGTGAAATGAGGCGTTGGTGCTGCACATGCCTCAGATGGACAGACAGACCTGAAGGTCCCGTCAACCTGAGGTTTGCCTCAGTTGGTGGGTGAGAGAATGCCGCAGGTGCTGCACCCTCAGATGGACAGACAGACCTGAACAATGAGGATGGGAGCTCCCACCCACGCCCAAGCCTCCTCCCGGGCCCCACACCCGAGCCCACACACTCATTGCCAACGTGATACTTTCTGAGGGGATCTTTACAAATGGCATTGCCATGCTCCATCCCTCCACTATCCCTTCCCTCACATGCTGCCAGGTGAACAGCATGCTGCCGCTGCTGCGGAGGGGCATCGGCATTCACCACTCGGGGCTGCTGCCCTTGCTGAAAGAAGTGATTGAGATCCTCTTTCAAGAGGGGTTGCTTAAGGTGAGTTGCCATGTATGTGTGTGCACGTGTAGGTGCCGAGAAGGTCTCTCATCCACCACTCAGGGCTGTTCCCGCTGCTCAATGAAGTGATTGAGATCCTCTTTCAAGAGGGGCTGCTTAAGGTGAGTTAATTCAGTTGCAGGGTGTGGCCGTGTATGTATGTACGTGCTTTGTGCTGCTCACTCTTAGTCCACGAGGCTTGGGTGTAGGCTCTCTTATCATCCTCCACTCGGGGTTGCTCCCCTTGCTGAAGGAAGTGATTGAATGAAATCCTCTTTCAATAAGGGCTGCTCAAGGTGTGTGGGGGCACGGTGCACGTTGCGCTGTGTAGGCATGTGCTGCTCTTGGCCTCTCCGTTTACACTCATCGTTACTTCCGCACCTCTCCTGTCCCCGCCAGTGTCTGTTCGCCACCGAGACATTCAGCATCGGCCTCAACATGCCGGCCAAAACAGTCGTGTTCACCGTTGCTGCTCCTCACGTGATGGCTCCATTAGATCCCTTCAACTTCCCCACCCCGTGTTTCCCTTTCAGTGCCTGTTTGCCACCGAGACCTTCAGCATCGGGCTCAACATGCCGGCCAAAACGGTCGTTTTCACCAACGTGCGCAAGTGGGACGGCACCAAGTCCCGGTGAGTGCTATAGTGTGTGTGTTTATGTGTGTGTGTGCGTGCGTGCGTGCGTGTGTGCGTGCGTGCGTGCGTGTGTGCGTGCCGGCCAAGACTGTGGTCTTCACCAACGTGCGCAAGTGGGATGGCACCAAGTCCCGGTGAGTTTTCCAACTGTGATTGTGATAAGTATATTTTGTAGTCGACTTGAAAAAAACGGCACCAAGTCCCGGTGCGTGTTCTAACCAGTGCGCGTGCGTGTGAGCATGCATGAATACGTGTTCCACACTAACTAGAAAAGCCCTCAGAGTCTTTTTGTCACCTTCATGACCCCTCAGAGTCCACAACTTTGTTCTGTTTTTTTCACACAAAACAAAGCAGACTTCAGCTTTCTTGCCACCTTCCTCCACTTTTGTGTGCTCACACCCCTCCTGTCCCCTGCTCCCCCTATGCACAGGTGGCTATCAGGAGGCGAGTATATTCAGATGAGCGGGCGAGCGGGCAGGCGAGGCCTGGATGACCGGGGCATTTGCATTCTGATGGTGGACTCGCGGATGGAACCAGCGGTAGCCAAGGGGATGGTGAAGGGCTCTGCAGACCCGCTAGTGAGGTGAGTTGTTTACCACGTGTGAGGGTGCTTCCATTCCATTCCATTCCAGTAGGAGCAATCGCCTCGTTTACCGGCCTGGACTGCCGCGGTATCTGATGTTGTTTTCGAGGATGGAACCTGCTGTGGCCAAGGGGATGGTGAAGGGCTCTCCAGACCTGCTAGTGAGGTGAGTTGTTTACCACGTGTGAGGGTACTTCCATTCCATTCTATCGCCTCGTTTATGGGCCTGGACTGCCGCGGTATCTGCATTCAGATGTTGGATTCGAGGATGGAACCTGCTGTGGCCAAGGGGATGGTGACGGGCTCTGCAGTCCTGCTAGTGAGGTGAGTTGTTTACCATGTGTGAGGGTACTTCCATTCCATTCCAGTAGGAGCAATCGCCTCGTTCACGGGCCTGGACTGCCGCGGTATCTGCATTCTCATGTTGGATTTGAGGATGGAACCTGCTGTTGCCAACGGGATGGTCAACCCCTGTAGAGAAGAAGCACTTATATTTTCGATCACGATTCACGTGTGTTTTGTGTGCAGAGCTGCTTATAAGCTTGAAGGAATTAGTGTGATACTGAACGACGACCTCCCGGATGAGGTAATTACAAAGATTGACGCCGTGTCGAAGGAGGAATTCCTGGCCACCGTTGCCACTAAAAATCGTCACGGTAGGAAGAGGGTCCCCGGATCTTCTTGATTCAAGGGAGGAAGCAAGAACACGAAGAAGAAGCATTGGCAGGCATGTATTTGGCTTTGCAAAAAACAATTTTACATTGGCGTGTACAAGACGGAGGAAGAAGAAGCCCTTGCGTACGACATGGCTGCAATAAAAGTTTATGGTCTGGGAGTTTTTGTCAATGCAGAGATACTGGAAGAGGAATGCCGCCTGTGGGGGTGTTTCTTCTCTTATAGCTGGAGGCAACCCAATGTGGCAACCCAATGGGTGTGTTTCTTCTCTTATAGCTGGAGGCAACCCAATGTGGCAACCCAATGGGTGTGTTTCTTCTCTTATACCTCTTCCAGTATCTCTGCATTGACAAAAGCTTCCGGACCATAAACTTTTATCGCAATCATGTCGTACGCAATGGCTACTTCTTCCTCCGTCTTGTACACGCCAATGTAAAATTGTGTTTTGCAAAGTCAAATACATGCTTGCCAATGCTTCTTCTTCATGTTCTTGCTTACTCCATTGAATCGAGAAGATCCAGGGACCCTCCTCCTACCGTGGCGATTTTCAGTGGCAACGGAGGCCAGGAATTCCTCTTTCGACACGGCGTCAATCTTTGTAATTACCTCATCCGGGAGGTTGTCGTTCAGTATTGCACTGGGTCCCTCAAGCTTATAAGTGCTTCTTCTCTTATAGCTGGAGCAACAGGTTGCTCCAGGAGGCAACCCAATGTGGGGGGAGGGAAGGGGGGGGGGGGGGGGGCGGGAGAGATGCATTCTCATGGTGGATTTCAGGATGGAACCTGCCGTGGCAAAGGGAATGGTCAATGGCTCAGCAGACCCTCCAGTGAGGTGAGGCGCTGTGGGTGGGGGTAGATGCTAGAGCTCACCACTGTACCGACCACAATATTTGCATTCTGATGGTGGACTCGTGGATGGAACCGGCCGTTGCCAAGGGGATGGTCAAGGGGTCTGCTGATCCTCTAGTGAGGTGAGCATGCAATGGTGGGAGCACAGCAGCAGGACGACCGTGGAATCTGCACTCTGATGGTGGACTCTCTCGTGCATGGAGCCTGCTGTGGCCAAGGGAATGGTCAAGGGCTCTGCGGACCCTCTAGTGAGGTGAGGTGCTGTGGGTAGATGCTAGAGCTCACCACTGTACCGACCGGGGCATCTGCATTCTGATGGTGGACTCGCGGATGGAGCCTGCCGTTGCCAAGGGCATGGTCAAGGGCTCGGCTGATCCTCCAGTGAGGTGAGCTGTAACAGTCATCGCCTCACACCCATCACCTCGTTCTTCTGCATTCTCATGGTGGACTCGTGGATGGAGCCTGCTGTGGCCAAGGGGAGGGTCAAGGGCTCGGCGGATCCTCTAGTGAGGTGAGACACTCCGTACCCTTGTGCCCTGACCTGTAGGTAGAGGCTACAGTTCACCAATTTACTTAACGCGGCATCTGCATTCTGATGGTTGATTGCGCGGGAACCAGCTGTGGCCAAGGGCACGGTCAAGGGCTTCGCTGACCCTCTAGTGAGGTAAAATGTGCTTCCGCTCTTGGAGATTGAGGCTACAGCGCACCAGTTCACTGACTGGGGCATCTGCATTCTGATGGTGGTCTGAACTCTAGAGGATGGAGCCGCACCACACAGCACCGCACTGCACTGCACTGCACTGCATACAGAACCACTTCCTTTCCCGTTTTCCTCTCCCCAACCCCCTCTTTCCACTCCCCCTCCTTCCCCTCCCCCTCCCACCCCCTTCCCCAACCCAACCCCACTCCCCCGTCCCACTTCCTTCTTCCCGTTTGCCCCCTCTCTCTCGTCCAATCAGCGCCTTCCACCTGTCCTACAACTTCATTTTGAACCAGCTGAGGAGCCCAGAGGTGGAGATCGAGCAGACCATCAGAAGCTCTTACCGCCAGTTCCAGTCAGACAGAGCGTTGCCAGCCCTGCAGGTGTGTAAGCCAGAGTCCTGGCATCGTTGAGTCTGCAGCCCGGCACACTTCCGTCTCAATTCTTGTCTGAGCCCGGAAGTGGAGATCGAGCAGACCATCCGCAGCTCGTATTGCCAGTTCCAATTAGATAAGGCACTGCCGGCTCTGCTCGTGAGTTTATCAGACGGAAGCGTGGTTTTCAAATGGTTTTGAATCACTTCATAGAGCACTGAGGTGTGATAGATAGAGCACGCCACCCACACAGCTCGTACCGGCAATTTCAATCGGCTGCCTCTCTTTCTTCCCCAATCAGAAGCACCCCCACCTCTCCCCCAACACTGGCCCTTCCCCTCTCCCCCATCCCTTCCCCCCAACCAGGCGCGCCTACAAGCCCTGGAAGCCGAGCATTCAGCAATCAGCATCCCCGACGAGTCAAGCCTCCTCGCCCTCCTCTCCCTCCGCCGCCAACTGTCCGCCCTGAGAGCTGAAATCCGCTCCTTCCTAACCACCCCCCTCCATGCCCTCCCCTTCCCGTTCCCCGTCGCCCCCTTTTCCGCCCCACAGGCACGCTTACAAGCATTGGAAGCTGAACTTTCAGCAATCAGCATCCCCGACGAGTCAAGCCTCCTCGCCCTCCTCTCCCTCCGCCGCCAACTGTCCGCCCTGAGAGCTGAAATCCGCTCCTTCCTAACCACCCCCCTCCATGCCCTCCCCTTCCCGTTCCCCGTCGCCCCCTTTTCCGCCCCACAGGCACGCTTACAAGCATTGGAAGCTGAACTTTCAGCAATCAGCATCCCCGACGAGTCAAGCCTCCTCGCCCTCCTCTCCCTCCGCCGCCAACTGTCCGCCCTGAGAGCTGAAATCCGCTCCTTCCTAACCACCCCCCTCCATGCCCTCCCCTTCCCGTTCCCCGTCGCCCCCTTTTCCGCCCCACAGGCACGCTTACAAGCATTGGAAGCTGAACTTTCAGCAATCAGCATCCCCGACGAGTCAAGCCTCCTCGCCCTCCTCTCCCTCCGCCGCCAACTGTCCGCCCTGAGAGCTGAAATCCGCTCCTTCCTAACCACCCCCCTCCATGCCCTCCCCTTCCCGTTCCCCGTCGCCCCCTTTTCCGCCCCACAGGCACGCTTACAAGCATTGGAAGCTGAACTTTCAGCAATCAGCATCCCCGACGAGTCAAGCCTCCTCGCCCTCCTCTCCCTCCGCCGCCAACTGTCCGCCCTGAGAGCTGAAATCCGCTCCTTCCTAACCACCCCCCTCCATGCCCTCCCCTTCCCGTTCCCCGTCGCCCCCTTTTCCGCCCCACAGGCACGCTTACAAGCATTGGAAGCTGAACTTTCAGCAATCAGCATCCCCGACGAGTCAAGCCTCCTCGCCCTCCTCTCCCTCCGCCGCCAACTGTCCGCCCTGAGAGCTGAAATCCGCTCCTTCCTAACCACCCCCCTCCATGCCCTCCCCTTCCCGTTCCCCGTCGCCCCCTTTTCCGCCCCACAGGCAAGCTTACAAGCATTGGAAGCTGAACTTTCAGCAATCAGCATCCCCGACGAGTCAAGCCTCCTCGCCCTCCTCTCCCTCCGCCGCCAACTGTCCGCCCTGAGAGCTGAAATCCGCTCCTTCCTAACCACCCCCCTCCATGCCCTCCCCTTCCCGTTCCCCGTCGCCCCCTTTTCCGCCCCACAGGCACGCTTACAAGCATTGGAAGCTGAACTTTCAGCAATCAGCATCCCCGACGAGTCAAGCCTCCTCGCCCTCCTCTCCCTCCGCCGCCAACTGTCCGCCCTGAGAGCTGAAATCCGCTCCTTCCTAACCACCCCCCTCCATGCCCTCCCCTTCCCGTTCCCCGTCGCCCCCTTTTCCGCCCCACAGGCACGCTTACAAGCATTGGAAGCTGAACTTTCAGCAATCAGCATCCCCGACGAGTCAAGCCTCCTCGCCCTCCTCTCCCTCCGCCGCCAACTGTCCGCCCTGAGAGCTGAAATCCGCTCCTTCCTAACCACCCCCCTCCATGCCCTCCCCTTCCCGTTCCCCGTCGCCCCCTTTTCCGCCCCACAGGCACGCTTACAAGCATTGGAAGCTGAACTTTCAGCAATCAGCATCCCCGACGAGTCAAGCCTCCTCGCCCTCCTCTCCCTCCGCCGCCAACTGTCCGCCCTGAGAGCTGAAATCCGCTCCTTCCTAACCACCCCCCTCCATGCCCTCCCCTTCCCGTTCCCCGTCGCCCCCTTTTCCGCCCCACAGGCACGCTTACAAGCATTGGAAGCTGAACTTTCAGCAATCAGCATCCCCGACGAGTCAAGCCTCCTCGCCCTCCTCTCCCTCCGCCGCCAACTGTCCGCCCTGAGAGCTGAAATCCGCTCCTTCCTAACCACCCCCCTCCATGCCCTCCCCTTCCCGTTCCCCGTCGCCCCCTTTTCCGCCCCACAGGCACGCTTACAAGCATTGGAAGCTGAACTTTCAGCAATCAGCATCCCCGACGAGTCAAGCCTCCTCGCCCTCCTCTCCCTCCGCCGCCAACTGTCCGCCCTGAGAGCTGAAATCCGCTCCTTCCTAACCACCCCCCTCCATGCCCTCCCCTTCCCGTTCCCCGTCGCCCCCTTTTCCGCCCCACAGGCACGCTTACAAGCATTGGAAGCTGAACTTTCAGCAATCAGCATCCCCGACGAGTCAAGCCTCCTCGCCCTCCTCTCCCTCCGCCGCCAACTGTCCGCCCTGAGAGCTGAAATCCGCTCCTTCCTAACCACCCCCCTCCATGCCCTCCCCTTCCCGTTCCCCGTCGCCCCCTTTTCCGCCCCACAGGCACGCTTACAAGCATTGGAAGCTGAACTTTCAGCAATCAGCATCCCCGACGAGTCAAGCCTCCTCGCCCTCCTCTCCCTCCGCCGCCAACTGTCCGCCCTGAGAGCTGAAATCCGCTCCTTCCTAACCACCCCCCTCCATGCCCTCCCCTTCCCGTTCCCCGTCGCCCCCTTTTCCGCCCCACAGGCACGCTTACAAGCATTGGAAGCTGAACTTTCAGCAATCAGCATCCCCGACGAGTCAAGCCTCCTCGCCCTCCTCTCCCTCCGCCGCCAACTGTCCGCCCTGAGAGCTGAAATCCGCTCCTTCCTAACCACCCCCCTCCATGCCCTCCCCTTCCCGTTCCCCGTCGCCCCCTTTTCCGCCCCACAGGCACGCTTACAAGCATTGGAAGCTGAACTTTCAGCAATCAGCATCCCCGACGAGTCAAGCCTCCTCGCCCTCCTCTCCCTCCGCCGCCAACTGTCCGCCCTGAGAGCTGAAATCCGCTCCTTCCTAACCACCCCCCTCCATGCCCTCCCCTTCCCGTTCCCCGTCGCCCCCTTTTCCGCCCCACAGGCACGCTTACAAGCATTGGAAGCTGAACTTTCAGCAATCAGCATCCCCGACGAGTCAAGCCTCCTCGCCCTCCTCTCCCTCCGCCGCCAACTGTCCGCCCTGAGAGCTGAAATCCGCTCCTTCCTAACCACCCCCCTCCATGCCCTCCCCTTCCCGTTCCCCGTCGCCCCCTTTTCCGCCCCACAGGCACGCTTACAAGCATTGGAAGCTGAACTTTCAGCAATCAGCATCCCCGACGAGTCAAGCCTCCTCGCCCTCCTCTCCCTCCGCCGCCAACTGTCCGCCCTGAGAGCTGAAATCCGCTCCTTCCTAACCACCCCCCTCCATGCCCTCCCCTTCCCGTTCCCCGTCGCCCCCTTTTCCGCCCCACAGGCACGCTTACAAGCATTGGAAGCTGAACTTTCAGCAATCAGCATCCCCGACGAGTCAAGCCTCCTCGCCCTCCTCTCCCTCCGCCGCCAACTGTCCGCCCTGAGAGCTGAAATCCGCTCCTTCCTAACCACCCCCCTCCATGCCCTCCCCTTCCCGTTCCCCGTCGCCCCCTTTTCCGCCCCACAGGCACGCTTACAAGCATTGGAAGCTGAACTTTCAGCAATCAGCATCCCCGACGAGTCAAGCCTCCTCGCCCTCCTCTCCCTCCGCCGCCAACTGTCCGCCCTGAGAGCTGAAATCCGCTCCTTCCTAACCACCCCCCTCCATGCCCTCCCCTTCCCGTTCCCCGTCGCCCCCTTTTCCGCCCCACAGGCACGCTTACAAGCATTGGAAGCTGAACTTTCAGCAATCAGCATCCCCGACGAGTCAAGCCTCCTCGCCCTCCTCTCCCTCCGCCGCCAACTGTCCGCCCTGAGAGCTGAAATCCGCTCCTTCCTAACCACCCCCCTCCATGCCCTCCCCTTCCCGTTCCCCGTCGCCCCCTTTTCCGCCCCACAGGCACGCTTACAAGCATTGGAAGCTGAACTTTCAGCAATCAACATTCCCGACGAGTCGTCCCTCCTCGCCCTCCTCTCCCTCCGCCGCCAACTCTCTGCTCTGAGGGCTGAAATCCGTTCCTTCCTCACCACCCCCCGCCACGCCCTCCCCTTCCTCTCCCCTGGGAGGGTTGTGCGGATACTGTGCCTGGGGGGAGGGGGCGGGGCGGGGGGAGCGGAGGGGGAAGGGGAGGGGGAGGGGGGAGGGGAAGGGGGGGAGGCGGGGGGGATAGGGAACGAGGAGGATGTGACTGTATGGGGCGTGGTGGTGAATTTCAGGAAGGTGAACCGGAGCGTGTTTTTTGAGAATTCTCACAAAAGGGGAGTGGGAGGAGGGGAGCAGCACGATGGTGAGTGCGCCTTTGAAATTGTCTCGTGTGTCGCGGTTTGTTTGCCAGGGAGTTGTGTATGGGGCCCCCCAGGCGGCCCCATGGCCCCATTGGGGGGAGTTGTGTATGACAAACAAACAAACAAACAAATTGTCTCCCGGTCTGCACGGCCGCACCACCTTCCTGGGCCCCCCAGGCGGCCCCATGGCCCCATTTAGAGTTCTGCCCGCATATGATATGACATGGCATTGTGTAGTACTGTGACTTGTGGCATTTGAGTCAACTCAAAAAGTCAATATGATCTGAACATTTCACACACAATGCTTCTCCTTACTCCCTCCCACACTTGCAGAGGCGGCGGAAGCAGCAGCTGACGTGGCGTATGACGTGGACATTCTCACGCGGTGTGTGGAGGAAGGAAGTGCAGGGCGCATGGGGCCGCCTGGGGGGCCCAGGAAGGTGGTGCGGCCGTGCAGACCGGGGGAGGAAGGGGGCAGTCCGCTAGTTGCCTCGTTCCCTCTGACCCAGGTATGGCACCACCAGTCGTTGCACCCCTTGCTCTTTCACGGGGCCGCCTGGGGGCCCCAGGAAGGTGGTGCGGCCGTGCAGACCGGGGGAGGAGGGAGGCAATCCATTGGTTGCCTCGTTCCCTCTAACTCAGGTGCGTGGTGCGGCAGTGCTTCTTCTGAGTAGCAATGGAGGAGGAAGGAAGTGCAGGGCGCATGGGGCCGCCTGGGGGGCCCAGGAAGGTGGTGCGGCTGTGCAGACCGGGAGAGGAGGGAGGCAATCCCTTGGTTGCCTCGTTCCCTCTGACCCAGGTATGTGTTGCGGCATTGGTTCTTCTGAGAAGATTTTTGAGTCGACTCAAAAGTCACCTCATTGGTTCTTCTGAGAAGATTTTTGAGTCGACTCAAAAGTCACCTCATTGGTTCTTCTGAGAAGATTTTTGAGTCGACTCAAAAGTCACCTCATTGGTTCTTCTGAGAAGATTTTTGAGTCGACTCAAAAGTCACCTCATTGGTTCTTCTGAGAAACAATGGCCGTGTGAACATGTCGCTTGGATGTATGCATGTTGCTGATTGGGAGCGGCAGGAAGGTGGTGCGGCCGTGTAGACCAGGGGAGGAAGGGGGCTCTCCTCTTGTTGCCTCGTTCCCTCTGACTGACTCGGTATTGAATCACCAGTTGTTGCACCTCTTGTTGCTGCAGTTTTCATGTGAATTGAACATATCGCTCGGCAAGGAGGGGGGCTTGTGTCGATTTCCTCAGACTAACGTTTGTCACGACCAGTATACTCTGCTGCTGTACCCTCTAGTCGTTGCACCTCGTGCTCCTTTAATGTGGTGCTGTGCGGTGCGGCTGTTCCTCCCCACCCCAAGGACCCGAAATGTGGTTACAAGGAGCCAACCGAAGCCTCGTTGCCCCTTTTTCTTCCTCAAAGGGTGCACCGAATCAGTGGAGCTCAACCCCTCATGCTGCTCCATCCATCTATTCTCGTTATAATCAACCCTCTTGCAATTGGATGGCATAAGCGCAGTGCGCCTGTTTCTTCCAAAGGACCTGAAGCACAAAGTGCCAGGGGAGGCCGTCCGCTCTCTTGCTTTTCCTTACTTTCCTCCCTTTATCCCCGTTGTGATCATTTCCTCTTTCAGCTGGATGGGATAAGCGCAGTGTGCCTCTTTCTCCCAAAGGACCTGAAGCACAAGGAGCCAAGAGAGGCCGCCCTAAATTGCTCCTATACGTCCTTCTCCTTCTCTGTTTATATCTATTGTAATCAACCCCATTTTCAGCTGGATGGCATAAGCGCAGTGCGCCTCTTTCTCCCAAAGGACCTGAAGCACAAGGAGCCAAGAGAGGCCGCCCTGAAGTCGCTGCAGCAGCTGCTGCTGAGAGCTGGGGCAGATGGCGTGCAAATGCTGGACCCTGAAGAGGATATGGAGGTATGCTTGTAAAGGGGATAATGTGTTCTTGCTTGTACTGTTGAGGGAGTAAATGGTGTGCAGATGCTGGATCCTGAAGAAGATATGGAGGTATGCTTGTAGAGAGTACGCAACAATGCTTGTAGAGAGTGTGTCAGGTTAACGCATCTGCTGCAAGCTGGGGCGGATGGTGTGCAGAGGCTGGACCCTGAAGAAGATATGGTGATATGCTTATGGAGGGTACAGTCGCAGAGTGTGTTGTGTGCACATAGTTAGTTTATGCTTCTGCTGAAGTCCAGAGAGGAGGCATGCTTTCAATTCAAAAGTCCTAATGGTTACAGAAGAATATGTTTGCAAAGGTGTGAAGTGGATGGCGTGCTGCTCTGACCCCGGTTGATGTAGCAAAGATTGTAAACCTTTTTGCTCTCAAAAGCTTCTCCTTAATTCCTCTCTCATGCCCTCTTCTCTTCTTTCCACCCGTCCAGGTCAACAGCTCAGCCTATCGCAAGGCCGTGAGGAGAGCCGAAGCACTCGAAGCACTGATCGCTTCCCACGCTCTAGCCTCGGCGCCGGACCTGCAGGTTCGGGTCCGGGAGCTGGCTCGGAAGAGCAAGCTGAAAATTGCACTCAAAGTGCTTAAAAAGGAGGTCAAGGCGGCGGGCGGGCTTATATTGAAGGACGAGCTTAAATCGAGGATGAGGGTGCTGCGTCGATTGGAGTGAGTATTGGAAAGGGAGGGGTGGGGTGCATGGGGGTGTTAAGAAAGACTTTTATTGAAGGACGAGCTTAAAGCGCAGATCAGGGTACTGCGGCCATTAGAGTGAGTATAACGAACGGAGGGAGGGATATCGGAGGGAGGGACTGCTGTTCCCCGCTATTACATTGATAGGACGAGATTGTGCGAGTCAAAGGCAGGGTAGCCTGTGAGATCTCCTCTGCAGACGAGCTGGTGGTCTCTGAACTGTTCTTCAATACTGTTCTTCAGTGTTGCCCTGACAGACCTGTCTCCCGAGACCGTGGCAGCATAGCCAATCACCCAACCATCTGGTGTTCTCTTCTTCTGTTCCTTGTTCCCAGCAGATACATTGATAGGATGAGATTGCGCGAGTCAAAGGAAGAGTGGCCTGTGAGATCTCCTCAGCGGACGAGCTAGTGGTCACAGAACTGCTCTTCAGTGCAGCCCTGGCTTTCCCTGTTTCCCTTCCCCGTGTCCTTGCAGGTACATTGATGAAGATGAGATCGTGCGAGTCAAGGGCAGGGTAGCCTGTGAGATCTCCTCGGCAGACGAGCTGGTGGTGACCGAATTGCTCTTCAGTGCAGCCCTGGCTTTCCCTGTTTCCCTTCCCCGTGTCCTTGCAGGTACATCGATGAAGATGAGATCGTGCGAGTCAAGGGCAGGGTAGCCTGTGAGATCTCCTCAGCAGACGAGCTGGTGGTGACCGAATTGCTCTTCAGTGCAGCCCTGGCGGACCTCCCTCCCGAGACCGTGGCGGCGCTGCTGTCGTGCTGCGTGTGGCAGGAGAAGGGGGCCGGCGGGGCCAAGAGACCGAGAGAGAGCCTGCAGGGACCGCTGGCGCAGCTGAGGGAGATTGCCAGGCGGATAGCGCGCGTGCAGGAGGAGTGTAAGGTGAGAACCGATGTAGAGTCAGAGTCAGAATGCAGAGATGGGCAGCGCTGCTGTCGTGCTGCGTGTGGCAAGTGAAGGGGGGGGGGGCAGGCGAAGAGACCGAGGGAGAGTTTGCAGGGGCCGCTGGCGCAGCTGAGAGAGATTGCAAGGCGGATAGCACGGGTGCAGGAGGAGTGTAAGGTGAGAACCGATGTTGAGTCAGAGTCAGAATGCAGAGATGGGCAGCGCTGCTGTCGTGCTGCGTGTGGCAAGTGAAGGGGGGGGGGGCAGGCGAAGAGACCGAGGGAGAGTTTGCAGGGGCCGCTGGCGCAGCTGAGAGAGATTGCAAGGCGGATAGCACGGGTGCAGGAGGAGTGTAAGGTGAGAACCGATGTAGAGTCAGTCAGAATGCAGAGAGGGGCAGTGCTGCTGTCGTGCTGCGTGTAGCAAGTGAAGGGGGGGGGGGCAGGCGAAGAGACCGAGGGAGAGTTTGCAGGGGCCGCTGGCGCAGCTGAGAGAGATTGCAAGGCGGATAGCACGGGTGCAGGAGGAGTGTAAGGTGAGAACCGATGTAGAGTCAGAGTCAGAATGCAGAGAGGGGCAGTGCTGCTGTCGTGCTGCGTGTAGCAAGTGAAGGGGGGGGGGGCAGGCGAAGAGACCGAGGGAGAGTTTGCAGGGGCCGCTGGCGCAGCTGAGAGAGATTGCAAGGCGGATAGCACGGGTGCAGGAGGAGTGTAAGGTGAGAAATGGGTGTGTGCCAGTGGGGCTTGCTGCGGTTTGCGTTCGGCAGAAAGGGATTGAAAGTGGTGGGGAGGTAGTAGGCTGAGGGAGAGCTTGCAGGGGCCGCTGGCGCAGCTGAGGGAGGGAGATCACCCGGCGGATAGCACGGGAGCAGGAGGAGTGTAAGGTGATACTTAGGTGTGGGGAGAGGCATCGAAGTGTAGTATCAGGTGAAGTATGGGTGTGAGCATACTATTTTCTACTGCTCCCCCCCCCCCCCCCCCTTTTCACCCCCGCTCATGCCGCCACCAGACTGCTCTCAATGTGGAAAAGTACGTGGCATCATTCCGGCCGGAAATGATGGAGGCCACGTTCGCTGATGTGCTCTGTGCGTCTCCCACCCTGCCCCACTTCACCCTCTCCCTGCCGTCATCAGATTGCTCTCGACGTGGAGACCTACGCACGTCGCGTCGTTCCGGCCGGACAGCATGGAAGCAGTGTTTGGGTGGTGCCACGGGGCCGCGTTTGCTGTTTTGCCCGATGCCTTTCTTCTCTTGCTCTCCCTCCTCTTCCACTCTTCATCAGATTTCTCTCAACGTGGAGACCTGCGCACGCCGCATCGTTCCGGCCGGACAGACAGCATGGAAGCAGTGTTTGGGTGGTGCCACGGGCGCTGCACTGCAGATGTGCTCAATGCCTCTCCCCCCCTCCTCCCCTCTCCCTGCCGCCATCAGATTGCATCATTTTGACCGAACATCATGGAGGCGGCGTTTGGGTGGTGCCACGGGGCCGGGTTCACTGTCTCCCCTTTACCCTCTCCCTACTTACGTGGCCTCATTTTGACCGAACATCATGGAGGCGGCATTTGTGTGGCGCCACAGGGCCGTATTTACGGATGTGTCCAATGCCTCTCCCGCTCTCCTCCCCTATCACTGCTGCCATCAGATCGTTCTGAATGTGGAGACCTACGTGGCCTCGTTCTGCCCAGACATAATGGAGGCAGTGTTTTGGTGGTGGCATGGGGCCGCGTTTATTGATCTTTTGAACGCTCGTCTCACCCTGCCTGCCTCCCTATACCCTCTCCCTGCCGCCATCAGATTGCCCTTGACGTGGAGACCTACGTGGCGTCCTTCCGACCCGACATCATGGAGGCGGTGTTTGGGTGGTGCCATGGGGCCGCGTTTGCTGATGTGCTGGCAGCAGCCGACACGTTTGAGGGGTCTCTGATCCGCGCTATGAGGCGACTGGAAGAGCTGCTGCAGGAGGTGAGACTCTCACCGTGAGAGTGAGAAAGTGTGAGCTATGAGTGGGTTGACTAACAACGTACAGAGAGACACGAAGCAACAGCTTTCAGGAGTTGCTGATCTGTCATGAGGCAGTTGGAACAGTTGCTGTAGGAGGTGAGTGTGGGAGGGCGTACCTTGTGACTTGAGAGTGTCTTGTGATGTGAGAGGGTTGAAAAATCACTTAGAGGCAGCTGCCTACACGTTTGAGGGGGCGCTGATCTGTGCTATGAGGCGGCTGGTAGCGCTGCTGCAGGAGGTGAGTGTGAGCTATGAGTGGGTTAGTTAACAACGCAGAGAGACACGAAGCAACAGCTTTCAGGAGTTGCTGATCTGTCATGAGGCGGCGGCTGGAAGAGTTGCTGCAGGAGGTGAGTGCGGTGGGAGAGTGAACTGTGAGTTGAGTAGTAGAACACAGGCAGCAAATCAGTGCGTTGCATACAATTCCTTAACCTCCAGCATGTTCAAGCCGTCCTCATCATCCCTCTGTGACGTCGTTTTGTCTTTGTTCATTTGTGTGTTCAGATAATTGTGGCGAGTAAGACTATCGGAGAAACAAGCCTTGCAGAAAAGATTTCCGCAGCAAGTGAGAAGCTTAAGAGAGGCATTGTGTTTGCAGCATCTCTTTACCTATGAGTTATTATCACTTTGTGGTGCAATGAAGCTCGTGTGGCAATGACTATTAAGCTAGGCCTTACTAGGCTTGATGCTTTTGAGATTGTTGCCATACCATCAACTATCACTACTGTCTAGTGTATGTTTCAAAATCGTTTAGCTGAAAAAGCTAGCTGTTTGCTATTATTGCAAGTGTAGGTACAGGCAAGTTGTAAGGAAAATTCCTTTTCCTTACTTCGCATCCCTGCTCAACGCGTACAGCACTGTAGCACCACAGTCAGCACCGTTACCACTCGCCACCCTCGCATCGACAATCCGCCCGCCACCTTCGCACATCGCACCCCGACCTCACGGCTCGGCGGGTAACCCGCGCTCCGGGCCTCCGCTTCGACACTTTTTCCCAACCTCAGTCCTAGGCCCGTCGCGCGACAACCACAGTCCATTGCCGTTACCACTGTAGTTTCGCTATATATTCTTCGCTCATGCCTTCGCTCATTGTATTCTTGCCTCGATAGTGCAATTCTCGTTCGTTCACTCAATTGCACTCGTAACACCTGGTATTCAGAGCCTACGATCTCCTCTCGGACCGCACCCACACCTTCGCTTCCCCACTATCTCAAATTTTGGAGGGGGTAGACGTCTCTCAGCGACACAGCACCGCCGCTCGTAGTGCTCTCTCGTAAGCACGCACGGCCACGACCGAGGCTCTCGCTGAGCTCGCCCGACACCCCCGCCATGGCCGAATTCACGCTCGCCACATTGACGCAGGAGCAGCTCGACCGTCTGGTGCGCCAACTTGAAGATTCGGCGCTCGAAATTGCGACGCTCACGGTGGAACGTGACTCCGCGCGTCAGCAATCAACGATGAACACTCCAGCGCCACCACACGCACCGACAAATGCATCTGCACAATCAGACGAGCCGATCGTCATCTCGTCCGGCACACCAACACAAAACAACAGCGTGGGACAGCGCTCAGGCACAGCCAGCGATGGCGCCGCCCAGCCGATGCCTGGCATGGGAGGAAACAGGGTCGCACCAAGCCCGCGGGAGCCTCGTGAAGCCCGTCGGCACGTGGAGTTCGCGGCGACAAGTGGCAAACAGGCCATCATGGCACCAATGCCACTCAAGCCGCAACGCCCGCCCTGCTTCGACCCGAGCCAGCGTGGAGGTCCGACGGTTCAGTCGTGGGTCTTCACGATGAACGTCTTCTTCGACGCGAATTACGTCGAGTCGGACGCAGCGAAGATTCGGTATGCCGTTTCGCTGCTAAGGGGCCCCGCCATGGACTGGTGGCGAGTCATCGTGACGTCGCCACGCGCCTACGAGCCACCGTCGCAAGAGGAAGGGCCCACGGGCCCAGCTATCACCTGGAGTTCATTCTGCGAGACCGCCCAATACAGCACGTGGGATGCGTGGTGCGCAGGGCTTCGGGCGCGCTTCGAGCCGATCGCGGCTTCTATTTCGGCGCGTCAGAGATTGCGCACTTGGCGGCAGCTTGGATCGGTTCAAGACTATACGAGTGGTTTTCTCGCATTATGCGAGCAAGTCGGCTATATGCACGAAGCGGAGCGGGTGGACCGTTACGTCGGAGGGCTGAAGCCGGACATATCGCACGAAATCATGCTACGCGGGCTCTCAAACTTCAACGAGATTCTCGCGCTCGCCGAGAAAATCGACATTTTACGCCGTCCGAGACCGGGGTCCTACTATGGACATCGTCCTCGGGGACCGATCGAGCACGCCACTGTACACGCTGTTGCGACGAATGCAGCTGCCGCGCCGTTTAAGGGGCGCTGCTTCGCTTGCAACAGGCCGGGCCATCGCAAGAGCGAATGCCCAGAGGATCTAAGGCGCCGCGGAGCAGATCAGGGGAGGGAGTCTCCAAAGCAGGGAAACGCCAGCAGTCAGTAGGAATCGGGCCAACTACTGACGAGACTGCCTGCTCGCCCAACCCCACCGACCCTCACCGAGTCACAGTACCGATTCATGCTATCGATCGGACTCGGACGAATAAGGAGGGTACAGCGACGGATTGCCCAGTACTGATCCACGGGAAAATACAGGGAGCAGCAGTGAAGATTTTTATCGACGGAGGAGCAAGCCACAGTTTAGTTAATACCGCAACCGCACGAAAACTGCAACTGACACTTAGCCGTTGTTTACCGGAGATAGATGCACGCTTAGTCGATGGCAAGCCACTGGCCATACGGGAAAAGGTAGAAAGAGTCAAAGTCTGCTGCGGGGGAAATTTCGGGTTTACACAGGAAATGCTCGCAACAACACTGGATGGGCACGATATTTTACTGGGACGTGATTGGCTGCGACGGTATAACCCGCGAATTGACTGGACGACGGGTAGCTGCACCGTGCGAAGTAGTGGTAACTGGGTCGAGCTACCTCGCTGGCAGTCGTCCGAATCATCAACGGTACACGTCAACGCCATCACAATGAAACGGGCTGTCGCTGCTGGAGCTGACGTGTACGCAGTAGACATCGCAGTAGTAGAGGAAGCGGAGCAGCCGAGTGATTTCAAGAAACTGCTGGCAGCTGTACCGCCCGAATTACAGGAACTGTTGAAACGATACCCCGGGATTTTCCCCGACGACTTACCGGAAGGACTGCCACCTCAACGAGCACATGACCACCGAATCGAATTAGAACCGGGGGGAAAGCCAACCGTACAGCGCCAGTTCAGACTGACACAGCCCGAGCTCGACGAACTAAGGAAGCAGTTAGATTACCTGTTAGAGAAAAAACTCATCAGACCGAGCTCGTCACCGTTCGCCGCACCGATACTATTCACGCCGAAGAAAGACGGGGGTTTTCGCATGTGTATCGACTACAGAGCACTGAACAGGGTAACCGTCAAGTCGCGGTACCCCATTCCCCGCGCCGACGAACTGATCGACCAACTGCGAACAGCACGGGTTTTTTCGAAAATAGATTTACGGGGAGGTTACCATCAAGTTAGGGTCGAACCATCGGACTGCACCAAAACAGCTTTCAGGACTAGGTACGGGTCGTTCGAGTACAATGTGATGCCATTCGGGCTGACCAACGCACCGGCGACTTTTCAGATGACCATGAACGAGGCATTCAGGCCGCTCTTAGATAAATGCGTGATCGTGTACCTCGACGACATCCTAGTTTACAGTCGGGATAAGCAGCAGCACTTAGCAGATCTGGAAGCAGTATTTAAGGTTTTAGACGAGCACAGATTACTGACCAAGGGTTCCAAGTGCGATTTCTTCCAGGATAGGTTAGAATTTTTGGGGCACGTTATTTCGGAGGCTGGAGTTGAAATCGACCCAAAAAAGCTGGATACGGTAAAAGCGTGGCATCCCCCGACGAACATCACGGAGCTGCAGAGCTTTTTAGGGTTCGTTAATTATGTGCGTCGGTTCGTCACCCGATATGGCACGGTTAACTGCCCCACTGACGGATTTACTGCGGAAGGGGGTCGCTTTTACGTGGGGGGAGAAAGAGCATGCTGCCTTCTCTGCCCTGAAAAATGTTCTCTGTTCACCGCCCGTCCTGCGCATCGCCGACCCACACCGCCCATTCGAAGTAGTTACCGACGCAAGCGATATCGCCATCGGAGCCGTACTGCTACAGGATTTCGGCAATGGCCTACAGCCTATCGCATACGAGTCACGAAAACTGCATCCGCCCGAGAAAAATTACCCGATACACGACCGCGAAATGCTTGCGATCGTGCACGCGTTCAAAGTATGGCGCTTTCCTTGACTGGCGCGGACGTGACAGTACGGACAGACCATAAATCACTACAGTACCTTCGCGCACAGCCACACCTCAACCCACGACAGATTCGCTGGCTCGATTTCCTCGAGTCCAACTTTCACTACACGGTCACTTACAAAAAGGGAGCCTCGAACATCGCCGACGCACTGACCCGCCCCACTGCCCAGATCCACGCATACTACTCGCCCAGACAAGCCCGCTACTGACAGGCCTATTCACCCACGGGTACCAAACGGATCCATTCTTCACAGGAGGAAATTCGCAGCAGTTCGCAGCAGCAAAGGGAGTCTATTACGTAAAAACCGGGACTGACCGCATTTGGGTGCCTGGGTATACACTGCTACGGGAATTACTGTTACAGGAGGCACACAACGGGGTTATCTCGGGGCATTTCGGAGTAGAAAAAACACGGCAGCAGCTGCAGCGGTATTATTACTGGCCCGAAATGTTGACTGACGTACAGCGACACGTGGCATCGTGTCCCACTTGTCAGCTCATGAAATCATCACGACAGCGGCCGGCGGGACAGTTACAGCCGATACCACCCCCAGAGCGTGCTTGGCAGCAGGTGACGATGTACTTCGTCACGGGGTTACCAGTCGGGGCGAATGGGAACGACGCGATCCTGGTCGTCGTCGATCGACTGACGAAAATGGCACATTTCGCAGCCTGCAAAAAATCAATCACAGCCGAAGAAACAGCACGCCTCTTCATCTCCACCGTCGTTCGACTGCACGGGATACCAGCCGCGATCATCAGCGACCGCGATACGAAATTCACCAGCAACTTCTGGCGGAACCTATGGCAGCAGTTCGGCACGCGACTGCAGTTCAGTTCATCATACCACCCCGAAACCGACGGACAGACAAAACGGACAAATCAGACCATGGATAAGCTCATCAGGGCCACGTGTGACGACCCGACCACGTGGAAACAGCAACTGCCACTAATCGAATTCGCGTACAACAACTCGCCATCCGCCACGACCCAACAGTCACCATTTTACCTAAACTACGGACAAGACCCGACAGTACCCATGACCCCGAATCCCGACAACCCAGTACCACGAGCACAACAGTTCGCCGAAATATTACAAGCAGCACGGACCCGGGCAGTAGACGCAATAAAAAAATCAAACATCATCGCTAAACGCAACGCCGACCGCCACCGCCGACCTGTCACTTACCAGTCCGACGACTTAGTTTTACTTGACACTCAGAACCTCCGACTGCCCATCACCCCGAAACTCCGCCCCCGATACTGCGGGCCATTTCGCATAAGCCACATGCTTACACCCGTCACCGCCCACCTCCTCCTCCCTGCTGACTGGTACGTCAGCCCCTCATTCCACGTCAGCCTACTTCGCCCTTACGTCCCGTCCACGAGCCAACTACCACGCAATCGCCCAGCCAGCATGACAAGACCACCAACTGAACCAATCATCACCCCCGAAAAAATCCTGAGTCACAGAGTTCGCGACCCTCGAGGAGCCCGAAGGATCGAGTTCTTATTCCGCTGGAAGGACCGTACACCCACCGAAGACAATTGGGTTCTCCTGGACAGAATCGAAAACCACCCCGTCCTCACTGAGTATCTGCGCAGCCAAAATTTCAGGGATGTACACGCACTTTCGTAAGGAGGACCTCCTTAGGAGGGGAGGGTAGTGTAAGGAAAATTCCTTTTCCTTACTTCGCATCCCTGCTCAACGCGTACAGCACTGTAGCACCACAGTCAGCACCGTTACCACTCGCCACCCTCGCATCGACAATCCGCCCGCCACCTTCGCACATCGCACCCCGGCCTCACGGCTCGGCGGGTAACCCGCGCTCCGGGCCTCCGCTTCGACACTTTTTCCCAACCTCAGTCCCAGGCCCGTCGCGCGACAACCACAGTCCATTACCGTTACCACTGTAGTTTCGCTATATATTCTTCGCTCATGCCTTCGCTCATTGTATTCTTGCCTCGATAGTGCAATTCTCGTTCGTTCACTCAATTGCACTCGTAACACAAGTCCTTGTGTGTTTTGTGGCTCTTAAGACTAGTTGTGACGCGCTGCAATTAGCTGGACAAGCTCGATGTTGCACTTCATTGGCGAGCCCGTTTCAGCATTTTCCCGCCTTTCACCTCTCAACGTCGCTGTCTATCTGCACCATCGAATTTACCGGAGTGTACGGTTAAGATTTCCCCACAGTATTCGTACAAAGCGATGTACCCACTCACCAACATCTCTTTCCCACCCAGCCACACAGCCTGGAGAAACGATTGCGAATCACAATTCAAGGCGCCACGACAGCATGAAACAACAGCCACCAACTTCAAGGTCCCCCCCAATCTCTAGGGAGGCTCGAATTCAAGCAGCAGCCACTCACTCCCTAGAAAATCGAGGCGCGCTAGTTCATAAAAAAGTGGGGACAAACATTAGGTCGCCCCTTCGCCAGGCATCTCGTCCCAGCACATGCACCTTGGGACTGCCGAAATCCTTCCTGTCTTTCCAACCAGCCGAACGTTATACCAGTACATAAGCGACCAGTAAATAAGGTCAAAGCTTGAGTTGAGACGAAGAAGCAGTTTGTGGTTTGTTCTCAATCTGTACATAGCTCTTTCGTTTGTGCCTTGTTCCTTGCCTTCAACGAGATCATGGCTTCCGACAACAGCGCTGTCGCGAAGGACCTGACCGCCGGAACTCTCGCAGGAGTAGCTCAGCTTCTGGTCGGCCATCCCTTCGATACAATCAAGGTCAAGCTACAAGCACAGCCCAAGCCGGCTCCAGGCCAACCACCCATGTACTCAGGCGCCATGGACGCGGTCCGGAAAACTATAGCCGCTGAGGGCCCTAAAGGGCTCTACGCGGGAATCGGCCCTCCTCTCGCCACCGTCGCCGTTTTCAACGCCGTTCTTTTCACTGCCCGCGGGCAGATGGAGGCGATTTTGAAGAGCAGCCCTGACGAGAAGCTGTCGGTGGGGAAGCAGGTGATTGCCGGCGGAGGTGCCGGCCTGGCTGTGTCGTTCGTCGCGTGTCCAACGGAGCTTATCAAGTGTCGGCTGCAAGCTCAAAGCGCTCTCGCGGCCGCTCCTCTCCAGGTAATGCCACGATCATTCATGAAATTTCCGCTTTCTTCGCTCGTGAAGGCCGGCTTGAAGTCTATAGCTTCTAAGTCTTAATTGTGTACCATCTATCACCATTCGGTGTGCTCTGAAAATTCCGCCTTCTGTTGTTTCTCAAACCATGGCAATGCTGAACCAGCGTTCCGTCGAGCTGTCCTCGTTATGCATCTGAAATAAATTTTCTCTCTGTCCCTCAGTCGTCCGGATAGTATCAGTCAACGGCATCAAGTATTCACCCGCCCTTACATCATTTTCTTTTTTTTCCATTTTGTTTAACAGGGAGCTGTCGCAGGCGTTGCTGCTGGTGGCGGGCCCACTGTCTCCATGAGCGTGCCGCGTTACGCGGGCCCGCTAGACGTGGCGCGCCACGTCATCCGGTCGGAGGGCGGCGCATTGGGGCTGTTTAAGGGCCTCACTCCCACGCTGATGCGGGAGGTGCCTGGAAATGCGGCTATGTTCGGAGCATACGAGGCGACAAAACAGGTGAGACGCTGTACGGGCCGTCAGGTGCTTATAGCGCGTACGTAGGGTATGATGTTGTCGCGTTGAGATTGTCGCAACCACAACACCAGCACTCGCAGAGGTTTGCCCGATTTTTTAGCGTCATTTCCAGGTCAACTCTTACCAAATTAAGGGCGACGTCAGGTTGCACAACTTCTGTACGCTCACTTTGGTCAACTTCGTTTCGTCACAGTGCAAGACGGTGAACCTTGAGAACCGCTTTTTACCATGTGAAACCGTTCTGAGCCACGATACAAGAACTGTAAATGTGCGAGAAATGTACAGCCTGAAGTCGCCCCAATATTATGAAAGTGCAAGAAATATATTTGAATCAAGGAGACCCAAGAGTACACAGGTACACCTAGTCACTTTTTCCGTGTACTGTTCTTGGAAGACATGAGTGGTAGATCTAAGTTTCAAAACATTGTTTTCGCCATTCAGCACTGCTCTTCCTTTCCCCTCCCCTCTCCCCTTTTATCTCTCCCCTTCTCCTGCTCCACGCCCACCCGTCTTTTGTTTCACACGCTTCTCACTAAGTCACAATACAAATTGCCTCGGATTTGCACCAACTCTCCTTTTCTTGTGCTTGTTTCTTCAGCTGATGGCAGGGGGAACTGACACCTCAGAGCTCAGCCGAGGAGCTCTGCTCGTTGCCGGTGGCGTGGGTGGCGCGTGCTTCTGGGCCTCAGTGTACCCGACTGACGTCATCAAGAGCATGATCCAAGTAGATGACTACAGGTGAGCAACGGCATGATGAAGTAGATTTTATTTCCGGCACAATTCTATTCCGGTTTCACCGCGTTGGGGACATGCGGCCAGGACTAGCCAGTCTAGTATGCAATTATGCACGTCCCTCGATTAGTCTGGTAGGATTGCATATCTATGACGACTCATCGCACCATTCGTGGTATAACATTTACCCCACCCATTGCATAGTATGGATTGACCCCACACCGAATGTCATTGATCACATATTGCATTGCATATCATGGACCACTCACTGCGTGTCTCTGCCCACACATTGCATTCAATTGACCGCCCATTGCATGCCATTGACAGCACATTGCATGTCATTGACAGCACATTGCATGTCATTCACAGCACATTGCATGTCATTCACAGCACATTGCATGTCATTCACAGCACATTGCATGTCATTCACAGCACATTGCATGTCATTCACAGCACATTGCATGTCATTCACAGCACATTGCATGTCATCGACAGCACATTGCATGTCATCAACAGCACATTGCATGTCATTGACAGCACATAACATGTCATTGACAGCACATTGCATGTCATTGACAGCGCATTGCATGTCATTGACAGCGCATTGCATGTCATTGACAGCGCATTGCATGTCACTGACCACTCACTGCGTACCATTGACCACTCACTGCGTACCATTGACCACTCACTGCGTACCATTGACCACTCACTGCGTACCATTGACCACTCACTGCGTACCATTGACCACTCACTGCGTACCATTGACCACTCACTGCGTACCATTGACCACTCACTGCGTACCATTGACCACTCACTGCGTACCATTGACCACTCACTGCGTACCATTGACCACTCACTGCGTACCATTGACCACTCACTGCGTACCATTGACCACTCACTGCGTACCATTGACCACTCACTCCGTACCATTGACCACTCACTCCGTACCATTGACCACTCACTGCGTACCATTGACCACTCACTGCGTACCATTGACCACTCACTGCGTACCATTGACCACTCACTGCGTACCATTGACCACTCACTGCGTACGATTGACCACTCACTGCGTACCATTGACTACTCACTGCATACCATTGAGCACACATTGCATGTCACTGACCCCACATGGATGTCACTGACGTCATTGCAGGATTAACTTATTCATTGCATTTGATGGCTGATTTCTTCCATGCGCTTGTGCAGAAACCCCAAGTACACTGGCACAGTACAGGCTTTCAAAAAGGTGTGGGCCACAGAGGGCGTCAAGGGCTTGTACAGAGGGTTCGGGCCTGCCATGGCTCGGAGTGTACCTGCAAATGCTGCGTGCTTTCTCGCTTACGAAATGGTTCGCGAAATGCTGGGATGAGTTGCGCAGGTTCATACCCACATTTTTTTGGCGTCTGTATCTGGCAAACAGCTTCTGACGTCCTTATGATGGTGCCCCCCTGGTGTGAATCTAAAGTGCTTCAAGCTCCTTGGTTCAGGGTTTGTGGTGTAGGGCATGGATACAGGGTTCAACCTGCTTGCATTGTGTATGTTACCGTATTAAATTCCATTATTTACTCAGTTCACACCCTTCAGGTCCTTGCTCTTAGATATACCGTATGATTTGTGTAAGGAACTACGGTACAATTCTTTCTTTAGCTAGTACATTCTGGAAGGGTCTAGCTAATTCTACTTACATTTTCTCCCCGAACCACTCCCAAGCCTTGCCACCGCCCCTTTCGCCACCTTCATTTGCCTAGTAGTCTGTTCTGCTGTGCTGCATATTCCCAGCCTACCAGTAATTAGTCATGCGAGACACACCTTTTGTCAGATTTGCTCGGTTCAATGCCTTGCAGTGCGGTTGAATGACTGCGTGTTACAGTGCAGTACATACTGAAACTCATATAATTGAACAAACTCGCTTCACCTACTGCATATTGAGATTTCATTGTCCAGCATTGCTTGGTGTACGTTAGTCTGTCTTCCAATCTCCCCTCCCGATCTCCTCCCTCCACCCTCATTCGGCGTACCGTTCGAGTGCAACTCATTATATCTATAAGTTGAATTTCACCTATGGACCAGTGACCATACCCTTAACCTCCGACATTTGCCGTCTAAACAAGCCAAAGATTCCCATCGAGTACTATGTGCTACCACATTCCCAACGAGCACTTAGTAGCAGTACCCCCCTCAACCTAAATCGCTACAGGCTACAGAGCCTTAGTAAGCTGGCTGACCCCTGCCTTGCTCAACAATTTCATCATTGCTCCATCTGAAGGCTGCACTGCACTGCACCGCATCGCACCTGTCTTAAAACCCTCCTGCCCACCACCATGCCACACTTTCACAGTCCCAGTGCTGGTTCCGCATTGGGCCCCACCTTGTGAGTAATTCCCAAAGATTCACACAGCAGCTGCACTTGGTCTCCCCTGAGCTCCCCTCTCCCTCTCCCCCCACTTTCTCCTGCTTAAATCCCTCACTGCTTCCACAGCCACTCCTTCACCATGCCTGGATTGTCCCTGGTGAACACGAGCCTGCTTGACCCCACACTGCACTTCCTGCACCATGAACGATTTTGTGATCTTTTTCTCTCACTGCGTCCACCGCCACACCTTGACCGTCCCTGCACTGTCGCCAGTGAACATGAGACCACTGGGCCCCACACACAGCGATCGCACATCCTGCACGTTAACATCTCCTGTACTTTGTCTCCCTCCTCCCCTTCATACTTCACTACTCTCACTGCGTCCACCGCCACACCTTGACGGTCCCTGCACTGTCCCCTGTGAACATGAGACCGCTGGGTCCCACACACAACGACCGCACCTCCTGCACCGTGAACAGCGCCCCCCGCTCTGTGAACCTGGTTGTTATGACGTGGCATGGGGTGACATGTGGCGTGCAGGAGAAGTGATGCGAGATGGCATGGGGTGCCTAGGGCGAGTTTTTGTGATTCAAACAATTTCAAAACTCCTTGCCATTCCAAGGAAAAAACAAACAAACAAACAAACAACAATACAGAAAGGAAACAGAACGTACGACGGGAGGTCGTGAAGCCGACCAGAGTTGTCACTGTATGCCACCATGAGCACCTGATTACCTTTGAGAATGCTCAGAAGCAACTCATATACAGCAAAAAGGTCAAGGGGAACGTACGATGGGAGGTCGTAGAGGCGAACAGAGTTGTCGCTATACGCCACCATGAGCACCTGATTGCACAGCGAGACACCTGCTTTCCTGCTAACCTTTCATAAAGCATCTGAGCAAGAGGCTCAAACGTACGATGGGAGGTCGTAGAGGCGAACAGAGTTGTCGCTATACGCCACCATGAGCACCTGATTGCACAGCGAGACACCTGCTTTCCTGCTAACCTTTCATAAAGCATCTGAGCAAGAGGCTCAAACGTACGATGGGAGGTCGTAGAGGCGAACAGAGTTGTCGCTATACGCCACCATGAGCACCTGGTTGCACAGCGAGACACCTGCTTTCCTGCTAACCTTTCATAAAGCATCTGAGCAAGAGGCTCAAACGTACGATGGGAGGTCGTAGAGGCGAACAGAGTTGTCGCTATACGCCACCATGAGCACCTGATTGCACAGCGAGACACCTGCTTTCCTGCTAACCTTTCATAAAGCATCTGAGCAAGAGGCTCAAACGTACGATGGGAGGTCGTAGAGGCGAACAGAGTTGTCGCTATACGCCACCATGAGCACCTGGTTGCACAGCGAGACACCTGCTTTCCTGCTAACCTTTCATAAAGCATCTGAGCAAGAGGCTCAAACGTACGATGGGAGGTCGTAGAGGCGAACAGAGTTGTCGCTATACGCCACCATGAGCACCTGATTGCACAGCGAGACACCTGCTTTCCTGCTAACCTTTCATAAAGCATCTGAGCAAGAGGCTCAAACGTACGATGGGAGGTCGTAGAGGCGAACAGAGTTGTCGCTATACGCCACCATGAGCACCTGGTTGCACAGCGAGACACCTGCTTTCCTGCTAACCTTTCATAAAGCATCTGAGCAAGAGGCTCAAACGTACGATGGGAGGTCGTAGAGGCGAACAGAGTTGTCGCTATACGCCACCATGAGCACCTGGTTGCCTGCCAGGTCCGTGCTCACTTTCATGGCCAGCGCTCCCTGCATTGGAGGGACGGCGAAGGGACGTGTGGAAGGAGAATGGGGGGAACAAAGGGTGGCGAGGAGGAGAGGGGTTATGGCACCATGAGCACCTGATTACCCGCCAGGTCCGTGCTCACTTTCATTGCCAGCGCTCCCTGCATTGAGCGAGGGGATGAAGCATGCACGGGAAAGGACTTTTGAGGCGCCTCAAAAATGTGCTCACTTTCATTGCCAACGCTCCCTGCATTGAGCGAGGGGATGAAGCATGCACGGGAAAGGGGGAAATAGAAGGGTGAAGGGGTGGGGGAGGGGGATGTGGGGGTGTGCCACCACACCATGAGCACCTGATTACCCGCCAGGTCCGTGCTCACTTTCATTGCCAGCGCTCCCTGCATCGGAGCGAGGGAAGACAACAGGGAAATGGGCGGGAAGGGGAGGGGGACCTTATGCCGTCATAATAACCACCCGAAAGAGACCGATTCCTCGAGTTCAACGTGATCAGTGTTCATACATCAAAACACGCCGTAATGAAGAAGCAAGCGCATGCACTGCATTGCAGTGTGATTCGATACAGTAGTGGATAAGTGAGAAATTGATTCATGGTAAGGGCTATAGCATGTACGACAACCATATCATACGAAACGCAGTAAACAAACGACCATGGATGCACGGGTGTTTGTTAACTGCGTTTCGTATGATATGGTTGTCGTACGATATGGTCGTTCACGTACGACAACCATATCATACAAAACGCAGTAAACAAATACCCACACAGCGAACGACTGGCCAGAGGAGCTGGAGATCGAAACAAAGCTGCCATGCACCCGTGTACATACGGTTCGACCCGTGTACAGACTACATGCCAAACACAAAGTACAACCAACGTTTGATTTCGTCCAAAGCAAGCAGTGCCTCGATACTTACGTCGGGTTCCTTGTCGGTCTGCCCGCTGCCTCCCTTGTCGTCCGCATCTGTGTGAGTGAACGCCAGGTCGATGGCGCCCCCTCCTGCTGCTGACGGCGCCCACACCTGTTTAAGGTGAAGGGAGAGATGTGCAGGGTTCAGGGTTTGAACGATACATCAGGTTCGCCGGTCTGGCCGCTGCCTGACACCCTTGTCGTCCGCATCTGTGTGCGTGCGTGAGTGCAAGGTCAATGGCACCCCCTCCTGCCGCTGACCGCTCCCACACTTGTAGGAAAGATGTGCAGATTTTTGGGTTTTGCAGAGTCAAAACATGTGTGACTGAATGCACGCGGCCTCCCTTGTCGTCCGCATCTGTGCGAGTGAATGCAAGGTCGATGGCGCCCCCTCCTGCTGCTGACGGCGCCCATACCTGTCAAGGGAATTTTAGGGTTTAACAGTGTGTTATGAAAAAAAAGAGTGCGAATGAATGCCGAATCGATGCTCACTCCTCCTGCTGGTGCAACGGCCATACCTGTGTGTCAGGGTATACGGGCCGAGTATCCCCCCAACTCTTACAATCCCTAACCCTCTCCGATCACTTCCCAATCCGCACAGCCCGCCTTCAAACCCCGTACAGCCCACCTTGACTGTCCCATCCAGCGAGCAGGAGAGCAGGTGAGTTTGCCAGGCCACCAGCGCCATCACCACATGATCGTGAGCTGGCACTATGTGCACACATGCTCCCGTGCTGAGATCCCATATCTGCTAAGACACAAGGGTGAGGGAGGAATTGTGCGTTGGGGGGTGGGGGGATGGGTGGGGGAAACGGAACGGAAGTGAGGAGCCTTGTTTTTTTGTACTACTCTACACTCACTATACTTCATACACTCACCATACACGCACTATACACTCACTATACATTCACCATAAAATTACTATACCCTTAACCTATACCCACTCTATACAACCACTCTGATGCGAAAGTGTCCACTCCACACTACCCTGATGCTCCTATCCATGGATCCGGAAAAGAGGCGCGTTGCGGTGGCTTCAAGGCACACCACAGCAGCTGTGTGGCCCTTGAGTATCAGTGTGGGCCTCATGATCTAGATATTCCTCAAGCTGATGCCCCACTAAACACACAACACTCACTCTGATGCTCTTGTCCATGGACCCGGAAAATAGGTGCGTGGCCATGGCTTCAAGGCACACCACAGCAGCCGTGTGGCTTGTGAGCAGTGCGTGCCTCATGATCTAGATATTCCACTCACTCTGATGCTCTTATCCATGGATCCAGAGAATAGATGCGTGGTGGTGGCTTCAAGGCAAACGACAGCAGCTGTGTGGCCCATCAGTGTGTGGCCCATCAGTGTGTGCCTCATGACCTATAACCCACTCACTCCACTCACTCTATAACCACTCCACACTCACTCCACACCCCTTCTATGCACTCACTCTGATGCTCTTATCCATGGATCCAGAGAAGAGGTGCGTGGCAGTGGCTTCAAGGCACACCACAGCAGCCGTGTGGCCCATCAGTGACGCCACGGGCTCGAACTGCTGTGAGGCCGGGTTGAACTTCCAACACAGGATCTTGCCGTCCTGGGAAATGTGGGGGGAGGGGGGAGGGGGGAAAGAAATATGTATTGCTGCATTTGTTGCCTTCCAGCACAGGATCTTGCCGTCCTGAGGTATGTAAGCGAGGGGAGGAAGGGGTCAAGGGATTTGGGGAAAGGAATAGCGCCAACCATTCAAGGCAAGGCACACCACAGCAGCCGTGTGGCCTGTCAGTGACGCCACCGGCTCATACTGCTGGGAAGCAGGGTTGAACTTCCAACACAGAATCTTGCCGACCTGAGCTTTGTGGAGAAACGAAGCGATGGAAGTGGAAAAGAACAAAGTGCCAACCATTCAAGGCAAGGCAAGGCAAGGCAACGCAAGGCACACGACAGCTGTTGTTTCGCCTGTCAGTGATACCACCGATTCAAACTGCTGTGAGGTCGGGTTACATTACAGTCCCATTCCATTTCTATGTCATGAAAGCAATCCCAACCCACTCCACACCACCCCACCCCACCGCTTACACTGCAGGCGGCAAAGAGCATGCCATTGTGTGCACCGACCCTAGGATACATAACGCACACGCCATCCCACCCCATTCCACCCAACCAGATCCCACACTCTCTCAAGTGTAAGGCACACACTGCAAGCAGCAAAGAGCATGCCATTGTGCAACAGCAACAGCTGGTGCACCGACCCTGTGGGGGCATACCCCATGCCATACCATGCCACACCACCCCATTCCAACCCCCTCCACCACACCCCACTGCTTACACTGCAGGCGGCAAAGAGCATCCCGTTGTGCAGCAGCAGCTGGTGCACCGACCCTGTAGGGCCTGGCAAGTCACTCTGCACTCCACTCGCCAGCACCCATGTCTGCATGCATCCATGGCAGGGATGGGAAGTTTGAAAATGCATGGGTTCAAAGCACAGGGTCGGAGGGTCTAGGCTTCAAGAGGGCCTGCCTGTGAGGACAGCGAGCCGCTCTGCACCCCGTTCGCCAGCACCCACGTCTGCAGCATTCACAGCAGAGATAGCATGGATGGGGGCGTTGAATTAGCAAAACCAGGGACAATCAATGAGCATATCATAAGCAGCACCTCGACAAGGTTGGGCAGGCTGACAAAGAGCCAGCCAGAGTTGGCGATGAGAGCATGGTATGGTATGCAGCCGCATGGAGTGGCATGGCAGGGCATGGTGGCACAGCATGGCATAGAACCTCAGAGCAGGGGGGGCATGGCAGGGCACCTTAACGAGGTTGGGCAGGCCAACAAAGAGCCATCCAGAGTTGGTGATCAGGGCATGGCATCACATGAAGGGTCATGGCATAACGTACGCACAGCATGGCACAGCAACAGCACCTTAACGAGGTTGGGCAGGCCGACAAAGAGCCATCCAGAGTTGGTGATCAGAGCTCCCACGTCTCCCCCCATGCTCGCTGCACTCACGCACTGATGGGTGGATTGGGGAGGGTATGGAAGGGTACGAAGGAGAAAATGGGAAGTGAAGAGGGGTACACTACGGTGCAAGTGAGGGAAAGAGCCACCCAGAGTTGGTAATCAGTGCTCCCACGTCCCCCCCCCATGCTCGCTGCACTCACGCACTGATAGTGGATTGGAGAGGGGATGGGACGGAGTGGAAGGAAAACGTGGGAAGTTAAGAGGGGCGCAGTGCGGTGCAAGTGAGAGAAGAGCCACCCAGAGTTGTTAATCAGTGCCCCCACGTCCCCCGCCATGCTCGCCACACTCACGCACTGATGGGTGGAATGGAGAGGGAGAGGAGGGAGGGTAAGAAAGACAAAGTGGGAAGTTAAGAGAGGTACAGCGAAAGAGTTGGTCCCATGAAGAGGGGACAGCGAAAGAGTTGGTCCCGTGAAGAGGGGACAGCGAAAGAGTTGGTCCCGTGAAGAGGGGACAGCGAAAGAGTTGGTCCCGTGAAGAGGGGACAGCGAAAGAGTTGGTCCAATGAAGAGGGTACAGCGAAAGAGTTGGTCCCGTGAAGAGGGTACAGCGAAAGAGCCACCCAGAGTTGGTAATCAGTGCCCCGTGGTGCAGTCCCACACCCGGATAATCCAGCCCTGACCACCCTTTACCGCCCCTGACCGCTCTTGACACTCCAGCACAGCAACAGCACCCTACCTGCCCCGTGGTGCAGTCGCACACCCAGATGATCCCGTCCTGACCACCCTTTATGCTCCAGCACAGCAACAGCGCACCTTACATACGACATAGAGGACCCCACCTCCTATGGTGCAATCCCACACCCGGATGGTCCCGTCCTGACCACCCTTTATGCTCCAGCACAGCAACAGCGCACGCAGACCTGGTGCCCACCTGCCCTGGTGGCCTGGGACTCCACACGTGGATGGTGCCATCCTGACTGCCCCTAACCGCCCTTCACCGCCCTTGACCCTCCAGCACGGCAACAGCAACCTACCTGCCCTGAAGTGCAGTCCCACACTCGGATCGTCCCGTCCTGACTGCCTGTGTACAGCTGAGATGAGCTCTCCGGTAGAGCTATGGCCCGCACCACCTGCAGCGGGAGGGGAGACGAAATTGCAAAAGGTAAATGGTCTAGTGCTCAATGACTGACTGGCTTCCCGTGTACAGCTGAGAGTAGCTCTCCGGTAGAGCTATGGCGGGCACCACCTGGAGGGGGGGTGAAGAGAGGAGATAAAAAGGAGAAAAATGTAAAGGGTTTGGCCCTCAATGACTGAGTGACTCATTGACTGCCCGTGTACGGAGCTGAGAGGAGCTCTCTGGTAGAGCTAAGGCCCGCACCACCTGAGGCGGGAGAGACGGGAGGGGGGAATAAAAAGAGCGAAATGTGAAGGGTTTGGGCCTCTATGACTGACTGCCCGTGTCCAGCTGAGAGGAGCTCTCTGGTAGAGCTATGGCCCGCACCAACTGAAGGGGTGGAAGAGAGAGGGGGATGGAGGGGAGGAGGGAATAAAAAGAGCAAGATGTAAAGGGTTTGGGCGTCAATGACTGAGTGACTCATTGAGTGCCCATGTTTTGACGCGCCTCAAAAGGGGGATGGAAGGGAGGAGGGAATAAAAAGGGCAAGATGTAAAGAGTTTGGCCCTCAATGACTGAGTGACTCATTGACTGCCCGTGTACAGAGCTGAGAGGAGCTCTCCGGTAGAGCAATGGCGCGCACCACCTGGGGCGGGGAGGCGAGGGGAGATGCAGGTGGGGGGAAGTGCGCGTGAAGGGAGGTGCGCGTGAGGGGAGGTGCGCGTGAGGGGAGGTGCGCGTGAGGGGAGGTGCGCGTGAGGGGAGGTGCGCGTGAGGGGAGGTGCGCGTGAGGGGAGGTGCGCGTGAGGGGAGGTGCGCGTGAGGGGAGGTGCGCGTGAGGGGAGGTGCGCGTGAGGGGAGGTGCGCGTGAGGGGAGGTGCGGGAATAGGAGAGAGGGGGTGGGGTTGGTTGAAGATGGCAAGCATATGGGACTAGAGTGGAGCACCCCCTTGTCTCTCTCTCTCTCTCACACACACACACACACACACCCACACACACACACACACACACACACCCACACACACACACACACACACCCACACACACCCACCCCCACACACACACACACACACCCACACACACACACCCACACACACACTCAGACACACTCCCACACACTCCCCCACCCACACCTTCTCATGCCCCGTCAGCTCTGTCATCATCTCCACGTCAGCAGCTGTCGTGTGGGCGTGCAAGAAATTGCAGTTATGCCGGTTGCAGCTTCCCCCCAGCCAGAACTTGCACGCCTTCCGCCTCGCAATGCGCCTCTCCCCACCTCCGCCTCCCCCTCCCCCTCCGCCTCCCCCGTCACCGAGCCGCGCTCTGACGCCCTCCCCGCTTCTTCCGCCTGCTCTTTGCCTTCCCCACCGCTCACCACCAAACCCTCCGCCATCCCCCTGACTGTCCGCATTCCGCCTGCCCAAAACCGTGCCCCCTCCCCCGCCTCCGCCACCTCCGCCTCCACCCCACCCCTGTCCCCCCCAGCCAGCTCCCCCTCCCCTGCTTCCGCCTCCGCCTCTTCCCCCTCCGCCGAACCCGCCACCCCCGCCAGATGAATCAGTATGTAGATAGTCGCAACTTTCACCTTTTCTACAGTTGCCCTCCAGCCAGAATCTGCATACGCCTCTTCCCCTTCCGCCTCCGCCTCTTCCCCCTCTTCCACCGTAGCCCCCCCGACCGCCTCCCCCGCGGCCTCCCCTTCCCCCTCCGCTGATCATTCCGTCTAGATCCATGCTCGGAATCTGCGATGCGACTTCCGCTTATAATAACATGAAGGATCGGCGACGAGAAGGTAAGAATTTGAGTACGAAGGCAGAACAGACGCACGATACGCTTTGCGACTGCGTCGGTTAACGAAGGACTGTGCGACGAGGAGGCAAATAGTCAACAAAACGATTGACGACGAAACTGCTGTTCAGTTCGCTCGGAAATCGCACGGACTTCGATGTATGCGAGTCACCATGGCTGAGAATTCGTCGAACACGATAGTGATCGCACCGATCAGCACCGAGACTGCAGCACCGGGAACAGCTGGCACCGAGCAAAACCGATTAGTAATAGCTACGCGAGATCGCGACCTAAAATGCAGGCCAGAGCGATTTCAGCGCGCACTGTGCGCCACGTGGAGGCGCGGGACACGCGACCGCACGAGACCGTCGATTAATTTGCGCGGAACGCGGTCATGCGGGGTCTGACCGTCCGATCTGGCTTGGCAATTGCTGGCGGGAAGCCTAGACCATGGATTTTGATCCAAAACGAAGGCGTCAGAATCTGGGTGGTGAGAACTTGTCCATAATCCCGAGGGTGACAAGTAGAAGGAAGGATGTGATTCAAACGAGGGAAGAATACATGGAGTGATCTACACGGAATGAAGCACCTGCTCTCATCATTGGACAACCGACTTCTGTAAAAGAGTGAGCACTCGGTATATACTCGAGCCTTTCCTACACCACTTTTTAATCGAAATTCTACATGTGCTAGAGCTTTTATGACGTTAGAAATACAACCCGTTTGTTAGCAATTCCACTAATCAACACATCCTAGCTCTCAAAGGGCGTTATAAGCTCCGCCTGGTCTGTTTCTGGGCATATCATCCCATCGTTACAGCTATTCAAGTACAGCCAATCCCGTAGCCGCACAATATCCCCTGTAAAGGTCGACCCGTACGTACCAAAAAACACATTCGACATCACACATATAGCCTTCTCCACATACGAAATCACCACACTGTCGTTATGCGCCCCAGCCTGCACCAGAGGCTCGGCCCAAGGCTGCGTCTCCAGGCTCTTAATCGACATCCGAACCACCGGAACAGGCTCGGAAGAAAACAGCCCCGAGCGCCCCCCTCGCACCCGAACCACACTCCCCACACGTCCATCCTCCGTCGTCCCATTTACGACGTATTTCCGCGGTCTCGCCCGTTCAAACGCGAGAAACTCCCGGAACATTCTCACCTCATCATCATCCCCATTGGTCGAGAGGTAAATCGCCCGCACCCCCGGGTTCTCGTCCAATCGCCGCGCCACACACGCCGCCAGCTGGCGGATCGGGTGGTAGCAGGCGAACTTGGAATGCCCCTTCATGTTGACGCAATGCTGGTAGAAATCGCCTCGTCTCATGTGCAATGCCATGAACCCACCACCCCCGGTTCCACCAGCACCACCATCACCAGCAGCCCGAACACCCCCACCAGCAGCATCACCACCTGCATTGCTGTTATCACTGCTGCTGGTGCTGCTGCCGATGTAGGAGTTGATAAACCCAGCAGCGGCCTGGCGAACCATGGGTGAGGGCATGATGTAGTATTTGCATCCGGGCAGCACCACGAGCGGGCGGGCATGGTGAAAACGTAAATCCTGCCCGCTCACGCCGAACATGTTCCCGAAGGCGATGACCGAATCATCGTAGTTAAAGAGGGAGATGAACTCTTTGGAGGGGTACTTGAACCAGGGGCTTGGGGTGCGCTTCTCTGGAATGACTGTTTTAGCAAAGTGGATGTGCAGCTGCTGGTACCTGCAGGGGTGAGGGGAAGCGGGGGTAGGAATGGGGAAACGGGGAGCGAGTTGTGGTAGGTGAAGAGGGAGATGCATTCTTTGGAGGGGTATTTGAGGGCTTGGGGTGCGTTTTTCCGGAATTACTGTTTTAGCAAAGTGGATATGCAGCTGCTGGTAGCTGCAGGGGATGAACTCTTTGGAGGGGTATTTGAACCAGGGGCTTGGCGTGCGCTTTTCTGGGATGACCGTTCGAGCAAAGTGGATATGCAGTTGCTAGCTGGAGAAGGGGAGGAGGGGGCGGGTGGGGTAGAGGGGCGGGCATTGGGAAAGGAGGGGCTGAGAAATACATGATATGTACGAGTGAGTGAGTAGATAGGTGGGTTGGTTGGTGGGAGTGCAGGTCCTGCCCACCCACGCCGAACATGCTCCAAACGGGGATGACGGGCGGACTCATTGCAGAGGATGTGCATGTGCATGTGCATGTGTGTCTTACTGTTGTCGAATATACCTTCACTGCACTCCCATTCTGTCTGGTAGTGGTGCACGTAGTAGTGTGAACACACTCCCCACCATCCCCTCTTGCATAATGGCACATATGTGCATGTGCATGTGCATGTCCATGGGCATATACACACATGTGTTCCTCACCGTTCTCTAATGTAATCACACTCTTGCTCTGTCTGATAATGGTGCACGTGGCATATAAACACATCCACCACCATTCGCTCTGGCATGTGTGTGCATGCGCATCTCTCACCGTTGCCTGATGTAGCCACACTCTCTTTCCGTCTGGTAGTGGTGCACGTGGCATATGAACACATCCACCATCATCACCTCTAGCATGCCCGTGTGCACGCAGCATGCATGTGTGTGCATGAGCATCTCTTACTCACCGTTGTCGGATGTAACCGCACTCTCTCTCCGTCTGATAGTGGTGCACGTGGCATATGAACACGTCCACCACCATCACAGGTGCGCTCTTTCTCCTCTTGGGGTTCTGCCATGCAACAGAGCACAAGGAGTGAAGGTAAGTTCCGTGTGTTTTTCTGCATATCCACCAACCAATTCTCTTAGTCATAGTCTTAGTCACAGTCTTAGGCAAGGATTGGTGTAGTCATAGTCATAGTCATAGCCATAGTCCATACATTAACCCTGAGTACCGCTTTTCAATCTGAGGCGCTTCTCTAACAGGGCTCTGATAAGCAACTCACAGGTCACCAACCGTCGCACACACCATCCCGCCGCTCCTGACCGTGGTACACCACCCCACCTCTCTCAACCTCTGCACACCGTCCTGACCGTGGTACACCGTGGATAGCCTCCCCACCGCTCCCAACCCTGGCAAACCCTACCAACAAATACCCACCTTGGCCTCTTGAATAGCGGCGTATTCGTCAAGAGTGAGAAACGTCTGGTTGCCAAAGCAGCGACTGGGCGCCTCCAAATCCAACAGGCGCTCGTAGACATAGTCCACTCCGGCCCTGTGTGGTAGGAACACCACCCTGCCACTCACCAGCACCGCCCCCCACCTCCTCTTGCAATCTCCCCCCAGAGACCTCAGAAAACTTATGCAAACCGTCCAACCGATCCCAGACCTGGCACGCCTTCCCACCGCTCTACCTTGGCGCACACTCCCCCATATCTACCAACCTTGGCCTCTTGGATAGCGGCGTATTCATCAAGCGTCAGGAAAGTCTGGTTACCAAAGCACCGCCTGGGCGCCTCCATATCCAACAGGCGCTCGTAGTCATAGTCCACTCCGAGCCCGTGCAGTAAAATGGGAACACTTCTACACACCTTCCCACCGCTCCCAACCCTGGGCCACAAGTACCCATACCTTGGCCTCTTGAATGGCGGCGTATTCATCAAGCGTCAGAAAAGTCTGGTTACCAAAGCACCGCCTGGGCGCCTCCATATCCAACAGGCGCTCGTAGTCATAGTCCACTCCGGGCCCGTGTGATGGGAACACCACCCTGCTACTCACTACGGACACTGCTGCTGTCCGGAAAACCTCTGCACACCTTCCCACTGCTCCCAACCTTTGCACACCCTCCCACAGCAGCACAGTACCCACCTTGGCCTCTTGGATGGAGCGTATTCATCGAGAGTGAGAAACGTCTGGTTGCCAAAGCACCGCCTGGGCGCCTCCATATCCAACAGCCGCTCGTAGTCATAGTCCACTCCGGGCCCGTGTGATGGGAACACCACCCTGCTACTCACCACCACCTCAGCTGCTGTCCGGAAAGCCTCTGGACACCTTCCCACCGCTCCCAACCCTGGCACACTCTCCCAAAGGTACCCACCTTTGCTTCCTGAATGGCAGCGTATTCATCCAGCGTCAGGAACGTCTGGTTGCCAAAGCAGCGTCTGGGCGCCTCCATATCCAACAGGCGCTCGTAGTCATAGTCCACTCCGAGCCCGTGCATTAAAATGGGAACACTTCTACACACCTTCCCACCGCTCCCAACCCTGGGCCACAAGTACCCATACCTTGGCCTCTTGAATGGCGGCGTATTCATCAAGCGTCAGAAAAGTCTGGTTACCAAAGCACCGCCTGGGCGCCTCCATATCCAACAGGCGCTCGTAGTCATAGTCCACTCCGGGCCCGTGTGATGGGAACACCACCCTGCTACTCACTACGGACACTGCTGCTGTCCGGAAAACCTCTGCACACCTTCCCACTGCTCCCAACCTTTGCACACCCTCCCACAGCAGCACAGTACCCACCTTGGCCTCTTGGATGGCAGCGTATTCATCGAGAGTGAGAAACGTCTGGTTGCCAAAGCACCGCCTGGGCGCCTCCATATCCAACAGCCGCTCCTAGTCATAGTCCACTCCGGGCCCGTGTGATGGGAACACCACCCTGCTACTCACCACCACCTCAGCTGCTGTCCGGAAAGCCTCTGGACACCTTCCCACCGCTCCCAACCCTGGCACACTCTCCCAAAGGTACCCACCTTTGCTTCCTGAATGGCAGCGTATTCATCCAGCGTCAGGAACGTCTGGTTGCCAAAGCAGCGTCTGGGCGCCTCCATATCCAACAGCCGCTCGTAGTCATAGTCCACTCCGGGCCCGGTGTGATGGGAACACCAGCGTGCCACTCACTCACCAGCACCGCAGCATCCTGCAAACCTCTGCCAGGCTTTTCACCGCTCCCAACCCTGGCACACCCTACAGTACCCACCTTGGCCTCCTGAATGGCAGCGTATTCGTCAAGAGTAAGAAACGTCTGGTTGCCAAAGCACCGCCTGGGCGCCTCCATATCCAACAGGCGCTCGTAGTCATAGTCCACTCCGGGCCCGTGCGATGGGAACACCAGCGTGCGATTCAGCAGCGCCGCGTCTAGAAAATGCTGCCTTAGGCACGAAATGCGGTTGCTTAATTGCCCCCCGGAGCACATAGCTAGAAGGTATTTCCGCGGGCGTTCCTCCCCCTCCGCCTCCCCCCCGTCTACCCGCCAGACTACCTTCCCCCCCGATCTCCCCAGGTCTTTTTGTCGTTTGCACGGCTTTGGCGGAGGGGGGATGGGTTCTGGGAGTTCCCCCCATGCCTCCCCCTCTGCGCCTCCTCCTGCTTCCGCTTGTCCGCTTCCCCCTTTTCTTCCGCCTTCACCTGCTCCTCCTGCTCCCGATCCCCCTTCCCTTTCCGCCGTCTGCTGCTGCTTTATATCGAGCTGTGCTTGTAAGACAGCTTTAATGGTTTCCGGAGGTATTTTGCCGAGCGCTGCGATTACTTTATCGATCTTAGACAGCTGCTGCTCTCTGTTGAGCAACTTAATCCCCAGATTAACTAGCACCGCCTCGTGCGACTCGATGCGCTGCGACACGTTTTCCGCTACTTTGCGAACTAATTCCTCTAAGGCCGCTGCGGAGAGCGACGCGGTCGTGGGGTTATAGGATAGCGACCGGAGATTGGAGACGTCCTGAGTTTGCTCCTGCGATTCTATGATTAGGTGCCGCCGGAACGCGGAAGCGGCGGCGGCGGCCGCGGCAGCATCGCCTAGTCTTTGCCTGTTCAGCGACCCTCCTTTCCCGCCAATCGCGGCGCCGGATGCGCTTTTCTGATCGGGGAAGACTATAGCGGAGGTATTCGACCAGTGCCATAGTAAGACCCCTTGAAACGCGCAGATGATTAATATCGCGAGCCACCATCGCCCGGGCCGCGCGTACGCCCACAAGGAGTTAAACAGCCCGTCGCCAAATTTGCCGTTAGACCCGCCGTGTCTTCCGGTGGTTAGAATCACGTTGCTGGGGCTGGAGGTGCTGAATGGACTGCCGGCGCCGGCGGGGGGGGAGGATCCTAGCCATGGCGGCCGCATTGTGCGGCAAATGCTCGTGCTCTAGTCAGTAATGCCGTCAGGGGTACGGATATACGTGCTGGATTAAAAGAGGAAGAAGAAGAAAATACTAACGAATTGACCTTTGAAGCACACTGGTCGAGTCTGTCAATTCTCAGAGCTGATTACTCCGTGAAGCACGTTTCTCTCGGAGCGACGGGTGCGGGAAAACGAAACCTGCATTTATGAACCAGAACCGGGAATCTTTAAACCAGAACCAGCGATACCAAGTCGGAGGATGGGAGAGGGTCAGTGCTAGCTGTTGCCACACGTTAAGACAGAAAGCGGGAAGCACGGCATTGCGGCCCCGGGAGTCACTACCGCGGGTGCACTAGCTGAAGTTGAGTATGTGGGATCGCCATACTTTAGCACCCGAGTAATAAGACAGGTTCCCAATTAGGTGGAAGTAGTTAGGTAGTAGAGTAAGGTGCCTGTGATCAGTCTGGCGAAAGTGAATGCTCCGGAGTGCAGTGCAGACCAGGTCAATGGCGACGAAGAGTTTACTTGGTGCGGTTCAAACGACTTGTCTGCGTTTCAAAACGGTTGTCTTGAAGCAAGGAGCGGTTTGGTCTGGTTTTGAACGAACATCACCGCTTAGGTTTGGCGGGGATAGATAAAGCAGGCCTAGTCAAAAGGTGAGGTACGGGATATAGTTGTTGAAATTCGCTGTGGCAAGGCAAGTTCGATATGTTCAACGAAGAGCCATTATTGTTACTTACCGTGACTTTGTTAAATATGAAAAACTATGGATCAGATCTGATATGTAAGGCCACTGCTATTGCACCCAACTACTCCCATATAGTGCTTCTACTGTACTCAGCATTGGACCAGAGTTTTGTGACACGGAAATTTTCATTTAACAAGTAGAAAAAAACATAGATTCTTTACGCCTACCATATGCCACTTACAGAAACTAACGATTGATTCAATGCCTACGCCAACGTACAGTCACAATAATACCACAAATCGGTAACGACCTGGGGAAACAGGTATTGTCAATGTTAGGCCAGTATTAAAGTCTCAACAGATGGTTAAGCGACCGGCAGTCGAGGCATGTGCACTTACAGCATTGGCCTTAGCCCTCAAGAGCCGCAGCACCAGAAATAATCTCGATAAGCTCCGTGGTGATGGTGGCCTGGCGAGACCTGCACGCGGAGAGTCGGGAAGGGAGTGGGGGGGAGGAGGAGAGTAAATCCACATGCATTTAAAGCAAATGCAATTACACAATGGCCCTAGCCCTCCAGAGCTGCAACAATCTCGATAAGCTCCGTGGTGATGGTGGCCTGGCAAGACCTGCACATCGAGAGGTGGTGGGGGGGGGGACGTGAAGATACAAACTTACTAGGCAAAACCTACATCACATAAATCATAGGCACAAGGGACACTTAGAAGCGCAGGAATTACCTGTTTGCACATATCTGAATGGAATGCATTAACCCTAAGCATGAATGTAACGCACCTGTTGTAGGAGAGGGTGAGGCGGCCAAGCATGTCGGAGGCGTTGCGGGAGGAGTTGTCCATTGCTGACATGCGCGCTCCCTGCTCACTGCACGCATTCTCCAGCTGCGCATTGTAGAGCGTCTGGTGGGGAGGGGGATCAAGTGTGGAAAGGGAACAAGGAGAGAGGGAATGAGTGAGGAGGAAGGGAGGAATTGTCCATTGCAGACGTGCGCGCTCACTGCTCACTGCACACATTCTCCAGCTGCGCGTTGTAGAGCGTCTGGGGGAGCGAGGGGCAGAGAGGGGTGCAGAGGGAGGCACAGCAGAGGGAGGCACAGCAGAGGGAGGCACAGCAGAGGGAGGCACAGCAGAGGGAGGCACAGCAGAGGGAGGCACAGCAGAGGGAGGCACAGCAGAGGGAGGCACAGCAGAGGGAGGCACAGAGGAGGGTCAACTGAAATGGGAGGCCAGCAAATCCCTAACGTTCAGCCTGCCCAGCACGCTAGCCAACACCAGCTGAAAGTCTGAGGGGTTCTGGGCAGGGCTCCTCCCGGCCCTCCATGCTGTTGGAGCCACCTCACCTTCGGCACCTAACACGCTATGCATGGAGTCCCACCAGACCACTTGACGATATGTGACCTTCAGTGCAATCTCCTCCCACCACCCTCCTCCACATACTATGAGGCATCATACATGCCTTTCCACCCACCCATCAAACACTCACCGACGCGAGGTGGAACTCGGAGAGGTTCTGAAAGAGCTCTTCCTGGCCCTCCATGCTGTTGGAACTTCAAACCAGCCAACCCCATATGTGCCAACTCCTGGCCCTAGATACCACCGTCGTACAAGCCCCATCCACCCACCCATCATCCACTCACCGACGACAGCTGGAACTCGGAGAGGTTCTGAAAGAGCTCTTCCTGGCCCTCCATGCTGTTGGAGCCCCTCCATGCCACATACAAGCCCTCTCCCTTCCGGCCACATGCCCTTACAAACACTCATCTCTCCTTCCACCCACCCCACTCACCGACGCGAGCTGGAACTCGGAGAGGTTCTGGAAGAGCTCCTCCTGGCCCTTCACAATGTTTGAGCCAACTCCATATACGCCTACTTCTAGCCGGGGATGTCACCACCATATTTACCCCTCTCCCTCCCCCCCCCCCACCCCACTCACCGACGCAAGCTGGAACTCGGAGAGGTTCTGGAAGAGCTCCTCCTGCCCCTTCACAATGTTTGAGCCAACTCCATATACGCCTACTTCTAGCCGGGGATGTCACCACCATATTTACCCCTCTCCCTCCCCCCCCCCCACCCCACTCACCGACGCAAGCTGGAACTCGGAGAGGTTCTGAAACAGCTCCTCCTGGCCCTCCATGCTATCAAAGCCCCCACAGGCATGCTCTACTCTCCCTCATGGCACACCCCTCCACCACACTCCACCACCCTCCACCACACTCCACCCATCCACACTCACCGACGCGAGCTGGAACTCGGAGAGGTTCTGGAAGAGCTCCTCCTGGCCCTCCTCGCCCTCGATCTCGTACTCTGCCAGCTGGCTCGCACTGCCGCCCTCCGCTGCCTCCTTGAGGAGAGTCTGGCAGAGGTTATGGGAGAAAGACAAAATGAGTAAGCAAGCACATGAGAGTGCGTTTTATAAGCCTCACACTGCCCCTCCTCGCCCTCGATCTCATACTCTGCCAGCTGGCTCGCACTGCCACCCTCCGCTGCCTCCTTGAGAAGGGCCTGGTGGGAGGAATGGGTGGGAGAATGGTGGACGGAAAGATGAAGGGTGGAAAGCACTCGCCTCCTCCTCCTCCTGCCCCTCCTCGCCGCCCTCGATCTCGTACTCTGCAAGACGGCTCGCACTGCCGTCCTCCGCTGCCTCCTTTAGCAGAGTCTGGTGGGGGGGATGGAAGCATGGAGGAAAGCACGTATGGGTCTAGGGCAGGGGGGGAAAGAAAAACGGACGCAGAAAGCACGCGCGCATGGAGAGAGTACGGCGGCGGTGATGGTGGGCCCAAAAGACTTTTGAGGCGCCTCAAAAGTCGTCTCATTACCCGCAATTTTTATAATGACAGACGCGGAAAGAACACGGGCACGGAGAGAGCACGCACGGTGGCGGTGATGGTGGGGTGGGCCCAAAAGCCACACTGAGTGGAAGCGAATGCGGATAATGACGTGGCCGCACCACACCTCCCCACACCCCACTGCACCTTCGTACATCCCATACCACACCACACCACACCACACCACACCACACCACACCACACCACACCACACCACACCACACCACACCACACCACACACCTCTCCACACCACAATAAATCCCACGACAACTCACCTTGGGCGATAGCACGATGGAGACGGCGGGAACAAAATCCATGACGGAGTTGAAGCGATTGTAGATGATACGGTGGGTGAGCGCACCACACATCGCCACACCTCACCACACCTCACCACACCCCACCACACCTCAGGTGAGAGCACGGTGGAAACAATTGGCACAAAGGCCACCGCAACAGAGTTGAAGCGGTTGTAGATAATGCGGCAGGCCCACCACACCTCCTAACACCGCACTGCATCTCCCCAATTCCCACCACACCTCACCTCGGGCGAGAGCACGGTGGAGACAGTTGGCACAAAGGCGACGACCGAGTTGAAGCGGTTGTAGATGATGTGGTGGGCGCACCACACCTCCCCGCAACCCGCCACACCTCCTCACACCCAAGCACACCTTCCTACCTACACCCCACACCGAACCACCATACCCCGCCACACCTCACCTCGGGCGAGAGCACGGTGGAGACAGTTGGCACAAAGGCGACGACGGAGTTGAAGCGGTTGTAGATGATGCGAGCCGTGTCAAACTCCACGTTCTTGAGAATCTCGTCCACTATCATGGACGTCTGATGATGGGGGTGGAGCGTGGGTGGTGGTGGGAGTCATGCGGCTGAGTTGAGTGTGAACGTAATGTAGGAAGGTGGGTTGAGGCTGAACCATTGAGGTCCCCACCACCTGAACCATTGAGGTCCCCACCACCTGAACCATTGAGGTAGGTCACAGGATGAAGCGAGCAGCGCCAAACCCAACGTTCTTGAGAATCTCGTCCACTATCATGGACGTCTGGGGTGGGTGGGTTGGGGAAGGGGGGGTGAGTAGCTGATTTTGTGGTTCAGGTATAAGATGGGGTGCATAAACAGGTGGCTTGCAAGGGGGTGATGAAGCGCGCAGTGTCAAACTCAAACGTTCTTGAGAACCTAATCCGCTAACATGGACGTCAGGGGGTGGGTGGGGGGGTTAGGGTGAGTGGTGTTGTGGGGGAAGGTGAGATGAGAGCTTTGAGACGTCTCAAAACACTCCTTTTTTCAAGGGAGTCACAGGATGAAGTGCACGGGTGATGTCTCGATTCTCAAGAGCACGGGTGATGATGTTTCAAGAACGCAGCGCTCTTGAGAATCGAGTCCACTATCATGGACGGACGTCTGCGGGTGGGGGTGGGTGATGCTGCGGGTGGTAATGGTGATGACATAGGCACACAAGATGATGCGTGAACAGTTGAAACTCACGCTCGTGAGAATCCCATCAAGCATCATGGCGCTCTGAGGTTAGTGGGTGGTAGATTACGGTCTCTCTATTTTGAGGCGCCTGAAAAATTGAGGTGTATTTTGAGGCGCCTGAAAATTCACCTTTCTGAGGTTAGTGGGTGGCAGGCAGATTACGCTCTCTGCGTATTGACTTTCCATTCGGCTCAAAAGTCAGTCGATTCCAAAGCTTACACACACCGTTGTCGGCTCTCTGTGTTTCAGCCACCATCATCCCAATCCTGTTCCTGAGGTAACTCTGCTGGCACAGCACTCCAGTTCTTTGCACCCCTCTCTACCCCTCAGCCCCATCCTGCACCACTCTACACTGTTCTCCACCCCTCACCTGCGTGAAGTTGATGCCCTGCTTCTGAGTGTCAGCCACGGTCATGAGAATGGTGTTGTTTGCGTCTCTCTGCAGCTGCAGCTTCGCCTTCTCACCCAGAATCACAAACACCGACTTGTTCTCCTCGGCTGGTAGGGGATAACATAGGGAGGGTGAATGGAAGGGGGGGGGGGATGAGGGAAGGGAAGAATGAACACCCCCTGTGCTCATCCCCTCTGCAGCTGCAGCTTCGCATTCTCGCCCAGGATCACAAACACCGACTTGTTCTCCTCGGCTGCTGGGAAATTGGAAAGGGAGGGAGGAAGGTGGTGGGGGAGGGGGTAAGCACAACCCTTCTCTGCAGCTGCAGCTTCGCCTTCCCCCCCGGGATCACAAACACCGACTTGTCCTCCTCTGCTGCAGCTGTGAGACGTCTCAAAACTAAGCGGGATGTTATTTTTCTAGTCCTCATCCAAACCTCCTGCAGCTGCACTGCAGCTTCGCCTTCCCCCCCAGAATCACAAACACTGACTTGCTCTCCTCTGCTGGTAGAGGGCAAACGGGAAAGGGAGGGAGGAGGGAGGGGGAAGGGGTGAGGAAGGGGGAGAATGAACACACAGGAGACTCACCACCCTCCTGCAGAAAGTAGATTTTTGAGACGTCTCAAAAATCTACTTTCTACAGGAGGAGGGAGGGGGAAGGGGTGAGGAAGGGGGAGAATGAACACACAGGAAACTCACGTGATTGAAGAAGTGTTTTGAGACGTCTCAAAACACTTCTTCAATCACGAGGGAGGGGGAAGGGGTGAGGAAGGGGGGGAATGAACACACATGAAACTGACCACCCTCCTCTGCAGCTGCAGTTTCCGTTGACAGGTGTGTTCATACGGTCATGTATAGGCACAAGTAGTGAGAGCGGCACATGCAGCAGACAGCAGCACAACTCACAGCAGCAGCACTCACAGGAGGGGTGAGCACTCACAGGGCGCAGAGATGGCAGAGGCTGCCCGGCTGTGCTTCACGACTGCCGAATTGATGCCTCCACACACACACACCGACCCCTGTCCGTTGACAGGTGTGCTCTTGCGGTGCATGTAAAGCACATCAGCAACACAGCAACAAGCACTCACAGGGGGAGGAGATGAAAGCGACGGCGCAGCTGTGCTTCACGACAGTCGAGTTGAAGCTGCCACACAGCCCCCTGTCCCTGGCCAGGTGTGCTCATGCCATGGTGCCATGCCATGGTGCCATGCCATGCACACACAACTAGTGCGAGAGGCATGTGCAGCAGGCAGCAGCAGCACTCACAGGTGGGGTGGGCACTCACAGGGCGCAGAGATGGCAGAGACAGCGCGGCTGTGCTTCACAACAGTGGAGTTGATACCACCACACAGCCCCCTGTCCGTTGATAAATGTGCCCATACATCTAGTGAGAGCGGCACGCGTAGCAATGGCACTCACAGGTGGGGTGAGCACTCACAGGGCGCGGAGATGGCAGAGACGGCACGGCTGTGCTTCACAACAGTGGAGTTGATACCACCACACAGCCCCCTGTCCGTTGACACGGCGATGATCAGCGTGCGAGGAGTCACCAGGGCTGCGGGTGTTGGGGAGGGAGGATGGGGGAGCGGGAGGGAGGGTTAGGGTGGAGAATGGAGGGATGGGCATGATGTGAGGAGAATGAGTTGTGCTTCAACGCGAAAGAAATCCAGCTGCTCAGACTGCGTCCGTTGAGAGACTGCGATCATCGAGGAGTCAACAGGGCTGAGGAAAAATGATGCTGGTGGGGAGGAAGGGAGGTGGGTGGGAGGGGACGAGCGGGCATGAGGCAGAGGAATTAACATCAAGGGAACACGGGGAGTTGATCCATCCAGCTCCACAGACCCTCTCTGTCTGTTGACGCCGCGACCACCAGCGTAAGTGGGGTGACCACCAGGGCTGATGATGGCGTTGGAGGGGGAGTGGAGGAGGGGGGATGATGAAAGGGAGAAGGGGAGAGAGTAAAACCGCCATTCTAGCCCTGTAATTCTCCAATCCTAAAATCAACATCACCCCCCCCCCCCACACACAATGAACTCGCTGGGGTTATCTACGAGCAGGGCAGTGAACGGCTGCCACATGCCGCGGCTCTGCTCCGTCTTGCCCTGCACGCCCCTCAACGACACAGCCTCACTGCTTCCTCACATGCAAGGAGACACACACAGAACAACCTGCGTGCACTCACTGGGGTTATCGCCAAGGAGGGCGGTAAAGGGCTGCCACATGCCGCGGCTCTGCTCCGTCTTGCCTTGCACGCCCCTCAGCTTGGATGCCGCCACCATCTTCATTGCCTTGGTGATCTTCTGAATGCTCCGCACCGACTTCATGCGGTTGCGCACTGACAGGGGAGGGTTGAGGGACAGCCAGGGAGAGTGGAGGAGAGGGAGGGAAGAGTGAACGGGGGGTACATGCCGCCACCGTCTTCATTGCCTTGGTGATCTTCTGAATGCTGCGCACCGACTTCATGCGGTTGCGCACTGGAGACCGGGGGGTTGGGGACACAGCAGAGCAGGGTAACAGGGTAACAGGGTTGAAGGATCAGCCACCGTCTTCATAGCCTTGGTGATCTTCTGGATGCTCCGCACCGACTTCATGCGGTTGCGCACTGGACAGGGGAAGGGGGGAGAGAGGCGGGGAGTGGTGGAGAGGGAGGGAAGGGGGGTAGATAGATGAGCCACCATCTTCATGGCCTTGGTGATCTTCGGAATGTTGCGCACCGACTTCATGCGGTTGCGCACTGGACAGGGGAAGGGGGGAGAGAGGCGGGGAGTGGTGGAGAGGGAGGGAAGGGGGGTAGATAGATGAGCCACCATCTTCATGGCCTTGGTGATCTTCGGAATGTTGCGCACCGACTTCATGCGGTTGCGCACTGGGGGGTGCGGGGAAACGGGAGAAAATGCGGTAGAATGGGAGGGGGGAAGGGGGAATGGGTAACGATCAGTCAGCATCTTCTCCTTGATGGGTGATCTTCTAAATGCTGCGCACAGACTTCATGCGGTTGCGCACTGAAGCGAAACGGGAGAAAAGGAGGGAGAATGTGAGGGAGAAAGGGGGTTATATGGATCAGAGTCAGCATCTTCACTGCCTTGGTGATCCTCTGAATGCTGCGCACAGACTTCATGCGGTTGCGCACTGAGAACGGGACAAAGAGGCAGAGGAGTGGGGGGGCAGTGAATGGGGGAAGTGTGACGAAAGGGAGTCGAGTCAGTGTAAGAATGCAAGGCCCCCCACTCCTCTGCCTTGACTCCCTTGCAAAGGCCCTTTCTCCCGAGGACCTTTTGAGAATTCTCAAAAGTGATTTCAAGAATGCAAGGCCCCCCACTCCTCTGCCTTGACTCCCTTGCCAAGGCCCTTTCTCCCGAGGACCCCCCGACCATGAGCCCACACAGAGCCCACACAGAGAGACAAACCCCACCCACCCCACCCCACCTCACATACTTCTTCCTTCCTTCCCCCTTGACTCAAGCCTTTTCTGGAACTTAATCATAGAGCCTCGGGCTCAACAGCCGCCTCTCTCTTTCCCCCCGTATCCCTGGAAAGGCCCCTATCATCTGCAACCCGTAGCCGCAAGTTGTTTTTTTTTTTGGGGGGGGGTGGCAATTCAGAACTACATGTGGCAACGCGCGTACCTGCGAGCTGCGACGCGAAGCGCGCGCCAGCAGGGGCGATGTCGCTGCACGCGGACGAGGGAGGAAGGGGGCGGGAGCACGTGGAGAGGGGCAGAGGAGGCGGAAGGAGCGGGGGGGGGGGGGGGGAACGAGCGGGGGACGCGGAGGGCGGCGGAAGACGGGAAAGGGGGAACATCAGAGAAGGGGAAAGGGGAGTGAAGTTGAGAGTTTGCAATGGAGTGAGAGATAGGAGGGAAGGGGGAAGGAAGGGGGAGAGGAAGCGGGGAAGCAGGTATGGACGACCAAGGGACTCAAATGGGGGTTGGAAAAGGAAAAGGGGGAGAAGAGAGAACCACGGGCAGACGATTAGATGGTAAACCAGATTCCTAATCATTTCAAAACAGTTGGAACTCGCAGGAAAGCTCCGGGAAAAGTATTGCAGAGAGGACGAGAAGCGTCACGAACGGAGCGAGCAGTTGGGAAAAGGGGGGGGAAGAGGGTGTGGGAGAAACGGAACAGCGAATAGGACGCTTCCCTTCCCGCACTGCAAGGTCACCGAGCTCCCCGTGAAATGCGACGAGTTTTGAGTCGACTCAAAACTCTTCACGCTTCTCGCACTGCAAGACCACCGAACGCCTTAGTCACTTCGCTCATACTCACGCTCGTCATAATCAGGTCGCCTAAGCTGGCAAGACGCTGCGTCAGAATACCAAAACCAACGACGAACTAACGAAACCATAGACTCACTGGGCGAGTTCGCGCAAGCTTGCGCGGAAACAGACTACCGGCAAGCTGTGCATTAGTGAGGGCTGCGACTAATAGAACGGATGCGTAAAAAAAACCTAACTACCAGCGAGCTCTGCATTGTTGCGAGCTGCGACTCATGGAATGGATTGGTTTGAGCCGTCTCGAAAACATTACGACTAGCAGTCTCGCGTTGGTGAGAGCTACGACTATTAGATCGGATCTGCCGCAGCGGCTGACGACTGGCGAAGTGTGCGACCCAATCGGCCAAATCGCAGATCGGATCATCGTGCTTGATCGCTCCGTAGTCGTCGCAGATCTGCTAGACGACCCAAACCAATCGGCTAAATCGCAGCTCTGTCCCCGTTATAGCCTCTCATTACTCGTGCTGGTATCGGAATCTGGTTGCCTCTAGAGCCATTGAGAACGAATCTGCTGTGACGTCATCGTCAGCTGCTTCGACGATTGTACTGTTCTGCGCATGGCTGACGTCACACCTCGGATGAGGGCGTCTAGGCAATGACAAGGAGTGACGTCACCTCCTCCCAGATACGAGGAACTCGAAAGCGCTCCGACTGTACGAAACTCTATCTAAAACGGCTTTAACTAACGCTTTGACACGTAGACTACATACATAGCCCTTCGCTAACCGCTCCGACGACCTGGAGTACCGTAGATGGCGGATACGCTGCGCGATCGCTGAGCGGCATCAACGCCGCGATTCACGGCAAACAACCAACGGATCGGATCTTATAGTCCTGCTCGGAGTTGACTGATCGCCAGGAACGACTCACCCGCCGACCACCTGCTGTGCCATCGGCATCGCCGCGGCGGCAGCAGCGCCGTGAGTCACGGGAGCGCGCCACGCGGCGACGACGCCCACATCGTAGATCGATCGCAGGAGCCTCAGACCCTCGCGACGGGCACCGGGGCACGCCATATCGGAGATAAGCGGGGAGAGTAGCGGGGGGAGAGATCTAGTGGCTGGAAGACACGCAAAGAAGGCGTCGCGCGACTGCTGAGTAATAGCGACGTTGAGGTGTTAGAATGGGTGGGATGAGGCGAGCGGGAACGGCGGCGATGCGACGGGCGGAAGTGGTGGGGGGTCTGGGGTAAGGTGCGTAGTCAACTGCTACCTACGCGATGAGTGTGACTGCTGCGCGGGTGCTCGCACTGACCGCCATGGTCGCGCGGGGGCGACGGGAGGGCGCTTGTGGGGGAAGTGGGGGAAAGGGGGTTCGGGGGGAGGGAGAGCGAGGCGAAGGGGGACAGCGAGTGGAGAGATGATAGCGAGTACAGATTTTGCAAAAGTTCCAATAAGTACTGGTAATTTTGATACTCTTGCAAGAAAGAATGGAAACTACAGCACATGCTGTCCTATTTCCATGAATAAAATAATGAATAAATTTCTAAACTGAAACCTCCATCAAATGTTTTTCCATCAGCTGCACAAGTCCCGTCGGATTGTCCACATGCACCCAATGCCCAGCTCCCTTCAAAACATGCAAATGCGCTCTGCATCCCTTTTTTCCACCCTCATCACCCTCATTCCTCAGCGAATCCAAGCTCTCTTCTTCGCACTTCGCCGACTCAGCAACTGCCTCCTCCAAGTCAGCAAGGCACTTGGCTTTCCACACGCCGCTCCTCTCCCCTTTCACAAAGTGCACCTGTGTGCAACCACATTCCACCTGCTTCTCCGTAGGTACCTCTCCCTCCTCCTGCTGCTCTAGCTGATGCTGCTGCTGCTGTTGCTGAACTTTCTGCGCCTGGGTCTGCATGGGTTGGTGCCACGGCTGCTGCACCAATCCCCACTTCACTCCCTCACCTGCTCCTGGCTTCACAAACTTGGGCTCCGATTGAACCTCCCTACCAATCCTCTCTACTTGAAGCTCTTGGGATTGTCTGGGATGGAACTGCAGAGGAGGTGCTTGTGGGGGGGGGTGGTGCTCCTCATGTGGCCGATTGCACAGGTTTTTCACAAAGGGTAGCAAATCCGTTTGCCTGTCACACCACGCAATGCCATGCCGTGCCGTGCCATGCCATGCCGTGCCATGCCATGCCGTGCCATGCCATGCCGTGCCATGCCATGCCATACCATGCCGTGCCATGCCGTGCCACACCCCACAAGAGCATGCAACCAGAAGGTGTGAAGCATGAGTCATGATGAAATTCTGGAAGCAAAGGCATTACTAAGGGCCTCTTCTTTCCCCCCTTTCTTTTCTACCAATGAGGAATAATTGCTGCGAGATTGCCATGATATTTGCCTCTTGCTCTTTCCCTCCCTCCCTCCCTTCCAACCTCCCTCAGTGGTTCTGCCCCCCAGCCCCTAGCCCTTGCTCTGTCAGACATGCACACACACACGGATGAATATGGGTCGGCACACAGAAACACGCATATGGTCCCCCACCCACACAAACGTGTCACCCCCCACCACACACACTGCAAAGATGTCTCCCCTCCCTTCTCACACACACACACACTCACACACACACACACACACACAAACAAACAAACACACATGCCCCTCCCTCCCTCCCTCAAACTCCTACTCCTGCACACACAAACCCCATCAGAGTCACCTGTACCTGTTGCAGAGAGACACGGCCCCATCCAGGTTGAACACCCAATCCATCTCCCCGTTCCAAGAGGCCCTGACGCCCCCTCACTAGCTCCCGGCCTCACTAGCTCCCGGCCTCAGTAGCTCCCGGCCTCACTAGCTCCCGGCCTCACTAGCTCCCGGCCTCACTAGCTCCCGGCCTCACTAGCTCCCGGCCTCACTAGCTCCCGGCCTCACTAGCTCCCGGCCTCACTAGCTCCCGGCCTCACTAGCTCCCGGCCTCACTAGCTCCCGGCCTCACTAGCTCCCGGCCTCACTAGCTCCCGGCCTCACTAGCTCCCGGCCTCACTAGCTCCCGGCCTCACTAGCTCCCGGCCTCACTAGCTCCCGGCCTCACTAGCTCCCGGCCTCACTAGCTCCCGGCCTCACTAGCTCCCGGCCTCACTAGCTCCCGGCCTCACTAGCTCCCGGCCTCACTAGCTCCCGGCCTCACTAGCTCCCGGCCTCACTAGCTCCCGGCCTCACTAGCTCCCGACCTCACTAGCTCCCGACCTCACTAGCTCCCGACCTCACTAGCTCCCGGCCTCACTAGCTCCAAACAGTGCACCCTCCAGCACACATATTCCCCTCCCCACCCTCCAATAGTCACCTGTAGCTGTTGTAGAGAGAAATAGCTCCATCCAGGTTGAACGCTCAATCCATGTCCCCGCTCCCAGTAGGCCCTCATGCAACCTCACTAGCACCCACCCTCCAAACTCCAAACAGTGCACACTCCCCCACACATATTCCCCTCCCCTCCCTCTCAACCTCACCTGTAGCTGTTGTAGAGAGAAACAGCGCCATCCAGGTTGAATACCCAATCCATCTCCCCGTTCACACCAGCCCCGGCAGCACCATCTCTACCTCCCACACATACTCCTTTGCACACTCTCTCAACCTCACCTGTAGCTGTTGTAGAGAGAAACAGCGCCATCCAGGTTGAATACCCAATCCATCTCCCTGTTCACACCAGCCCCGGCAGTAGCCGAACCAGCCGAACCAGCTATGGGCCTGAGGCTCGTGGCAAGCCACTCAGCCAAGCCTGAGGAGAAGCCTCGGCGCTGAGTCAGCTCCTGGAGGAGCCACCTGCGGTTCGGGAGTTGCACGGAGGCATTATGCATGTAGGCATGTGCATACAGGCATGGTGCATGTAGGCATGGTGCATGCAGGCATGGTGCATGCAGGCATGGTGCATGCAGGCATGGTGCATGCAGGCACCTAAGCACAGTGCATGTAGATCTATATACAACGAAAGCACACGGGTTTTCAGGTTTAGGGCGACTTTTGGGAGTAGCTAGTACCTTTTGGAGGGGATGGGGCGGGGCAGCTCCTGCAGAGTGGCAATCACTCGCTCCACGTCCCTCCGCTCCGCATCCTCCCCCAACGTGCGCTTCGAGTTGACGACACAAGCACACTTAGCAATGATGGGTTAGATCATACCTTTTGGAGGGGATGGGGCGAGGCAGCTCCTGCAGCGTTGCAATCACTCGCTCCACGTCCCTCCGCTCCGCATCCTCCCCCAACGTGCGTTTCGAGTTGACGACACAAGCACACTTAGCAATGATGGGATTGGCTAGTCCAGTGGTGGGATGGGTTAGATCATACCTTTTGGAGGGGATGGGGCGGGGCAGCTCCTGCAGAGTGGCAATCACTCGCTCCACGTCCCTCCGCTCCGCATCCTCCCCCAACGTGCAGTCAGATATGCGGCCCGGCACCGAGTCTAGCACCCACAGCTGGGGAGGGAGGAAAGGGAAAGAGAGAAGGGTATGTGAGCACATGATGAACCATCTCACATTCCCCCCGAACGTGCAGTCAGATATGCAGCCGATTTTTGAGTCGACTGAAAAATCGTGCAGTCAGATATGCAGCCCGGCACCAAGTCCAGCACCCATAGCTGGGGAGGGAGGAGGGACAACGGAGACCAGCATGTGAGAGCATGATAATCAGATACACCATCCCATTCTCCCCCATGCAAATGACGATTCCTTGCTCTCTCCTCCCCTCCACCCACACAAGTATACTCCCTCATTTCTTCCCCAATGAATTCATACCACCTGCTGCAGCAGCAACCCTGGCTAGCTCCCTTTCTCCCCCATCTTCTTCTACCACCTCCTCACTCACTCATCTTCCTCACTTTCTCATCTCCCTCATTCCCTCGTCTCACTCACTCCCTCATCTCCCTCACTCCCCCATCTACCTCATTTCCATCTTTCCCTCCCACCTGCTGCGGCAGCATCACTGGCAATTCCCCCGCGCGAGCCCTCCGCACATACTCCAGCGCGATCTTCCCGCCCATAGAATGACCAATCACCACGTCAGCTCTCCCACCCGCCACGTCAGCGACGAGGCGCGCCAGATCAGCAGCCGCGTTACTCATGTCATCCGGCTGAAGGAACTGCCGGGCGGCGGATTGCGCGTGGTGCCGAAGATCCACCAGCAGAAAACGCCAAGAAAGCCCGCTTGCTGATTCTTCAGCTGCGAGAGATTTGCCAGCAGTAACCAGCCGGTTTCCTAGAAGCTTCGCGGGGCTGCGCCAGTTGCGACCGGATCCCAGCAGGCCGTGAACGATGACAGCTGTCGCGGTCCTATTGGTGCTCGGGCTCTTGGAATCATCGGACGAGCCATTAGGGCGTATAACGAGTTCTTCGTAAGCGAGGATGGTTCGAGAAGAGTCAGATGCCGGGAAGCCTGCCTGGTTGGTAGCTTGGCTTGCGATTGCCAACCCAAAAGAACGGCTGGATCCTCCTGCTGCTGCTGCTGCTGTAAACGGAAGTTCCTGTTCCAGCGAAGCGAAAATTGGAAGGACTCGGTGCCGCGTGGGAAGATATCGCGTTTTCGCGGTTCGCCTGACGAATCCGACGAGCAAATTCATTGGAGAAGGATCTGTAAGAAGCTTCACCGTGAAGCCTTCAGCTGGTAATTACAAAAGAATTGAACAATACAGTATTGCGAAGGTGCCCTTTCATAACCGCGAGGCAAAATTGACGAAATTCCACAAAAATTCTCTAGTGGAGAGGGTATAGATATGATGATACTGAGAGGAGCACGGAAACGCGGCACGATCGTAGGAGCTATGTTGACGATTTTGTTCCCTTAGTATCCTGCCTTCGTCCCTCCCTATCGGCGCTCTTCGTCAAACCTCAAAACTGTGCCTCATTACCCTTCTAGTCTCAAAACGATCTGAAAGCCAATAAAATCGTGGGTGGAATGGTCTAGTCGACTATGTCTAGGATGTCTGAGTGGACCGTACTCGCTAAAAGCCCGATTCAGCTCACACTACCGCTAACGAAATGTGGATGGAGATTCTCCTGGTGTAGAACAACCATCCTAACCACTTGTTAACAATGGGAGCTGAGCTGGATTGCAGGGGTGTTGACGCATCAGGGCTAAAAAATGCTCTTCCTTCCACCTGGATGCTCGTGCAGTAGAATGCCGTCGATGGCTGTGAGCGAAATTATCTACGCCGTCGATATTGTACGCATGACATCCAATCGAAAGCAGGGCGTCTCTAGTGAACCTATCAGCACGAACCTCGACTTGCATTGGGATTGTCCCGTGACATCCGGAAGGGGTGCAGCCTATCATACCACATTACACCATCACGCGCATCAAACCATCCATGGCATAAGATAAAATGTTCAACCAATCATGTTCATTGTCATCTTGCCCTAGACCATCAGCCAGACCACATCCTCGCCAGCAGGATCCCTTACGTAATCACCATGCCTCGTTTTCGGCATGTATTTAGGTTTGCATATTTAGGCATTTAGGCTCGGTCAGCCTCACAACATCGTCCGTGTGGCCTGAAACTACCCAGTCAGAGCTCTTTATCAGAATTCGGCCAAACGTAGAAAGGCTACATACATCATACATAGGTTCGGTACTCTTAACTTCTCCGAGCCAGATTTCCAAGCCAAGTCGTGCCCTTACACACACCATGCCCACATCGCATGTGCTTCCTCCCGAGCCGCACACCCAGCGAGGATGACAAATGAGCTCACACCACCAAACCAAATGCATTCGTTCGTCCAAGGCCTCGGCGAAATTCGCCCTTCGGAATGTCATCAGTCATTCGCCCCGTCTCGCCTCACATTGCCCTTGTCATCAGCATTCCGTTCTCATTGCACGTATTTTTTTGCCTTCCTCGCTTTCATCAAGCACTTGTCTGCCAAATTCCTGCGCGCATGACACATTAGCTGGCTACCCCTATCCCATTCACCCGTGCTTGCTTTGAAACCCTTGCTTTCTTCAGCCTAGAAAGGTGTTAACAGTTGTTTTTCAGGACGTTCTCCTGCTCTGCCATTCCAATTCCTCTCTCCGTCACGGAAAACTCTCAGCACGTTCAATCTCGCAGGATTACTCAGGTTTCTAGCTTTTGTAAGGCAAGAAGTCGTCGTCTTAGGGGGCAGCGAAAGCGCGGTTCTCGACGAGGCTCGTGCTTTTGCTGTTCCTTAGAAAGAAGAAAACAAATCCTTGTGTTTCTCGAATTCGTATGAAAACCGCTCTAAACAAGCAGTAGTGCTTCGGCTACCAGTCGGCCATTTTCTGCTCTCAGGACTACGGCCGTGGTTTCCCGTATTGTGATTAGCCTAGTATGCCATTTTCCATTCTCAGGATTCACAAGTGCCATCCGAAGAACTCCAGCTCACTTTTATCTCAACCTGCGGACTTGCATGCGGCATAAAAGGCACCGCTGCGACCTCTGAGTTCCGTTTCGCACAGTGGTCTGCCAGGGAACGGAGCGTTTCACGCCTTTCCGCGCCAGAAATTAAGCAGTTTAACTTCAGGCAGGCAGCAGCCATGATTGGCGCCACGTGCAGCAGCGACGCGATGATATCTGACAACCCCTCGCTCGCCGTCACGAGCCTTTCTGCCGGCTCGAGCGGCGGGTCCAAGGAGCTGATGACGCTCATGACAGTCCCCTCGACGTCTCTCATCACTGATGCCACTGCCAGCGGCGATGCTACAGCCGACGGTTACTATACAACCGGACATGCTACAGCCGCTGGCACAACCGCCGTCGGTGGTACCGCTGTTGAACCGGCACCCGCGTTCGCGGAACCGCCGCTCTCGCGTCAGCGGAGGGAGACGGAGGAGCTGCTGTTGGCGGTTAACTCGAGCGTGCTGCTGCGGATTCTCTCTGATGTCAGCCTGTCGGCCGAGGACCTCGCGCGCCTCGAGGTAACGCGCGTGCCAGCAGAACCTGAAAATGAGAAAAACAGTTTCAACGTGCGGCGCCCCTTGTTGGAGCAAATCGTCGTTGGCTGCAATCCACGTTGATTTAGAAGCCGCCTCGGCTCGTAGCTTCTGGTACCTTGACATGTGGTGGTCGTGTCTCTAATCAACAGTACCGTTGATTTGTGCGCCGGCTCAACGCGAACACCTCGAAATTTGCCGTGGTTGGCTGGTTAAGTATTCGTCTCAGCGCGCGCGCGCGCTTTGGGTTTACTACGCGTCACGCGCCTGTTTCCCGAACTTCCGGCGGGACGGGGAAGGAAGGAGTCACCGTTCACTCAACCCAAGCCAGCAGCCGGAAAGGCGGCGCGAGTATCTCTGATGCGGACGCGAATATCACGTACACAAACACCTATGCTGTCTCCCGTGCCCTCTCCCCCGTGTCGCCTCTTCCCCGTACCTCTTCTCCCGCACCTTCTTCCCTCACCACCTTCTCTCCGCTCTCCCGTCCTTCCCCGTGCCTCCCCCTCGCGTGCCTCGCCAGCTCGTGTGCGGGTTCTTCCGCCGGCCCGCGCATCTGACTCCGCACCGGCGCCTCTCATTGTCGGAAGCGGCGGCGCACGACGCCAGTAGCTCTCCCTGCGTTTCCGCGTGCCGTCTCTCAACCGTGCCGTCTCTCCCTCTGCCTTCGCCCCCGTGCCTCTTTCCCCCCACGCGCTCCAACAGCTCGTGTGCGGGTTCTTCCGCCGGCCCGCGCATCTGACTCCGCATCCGCGCCTCTCGCTGGCAGAAGTGGCGGCGCACGACCGCTGCCAGCAGCACTCCCTGCGCTTCCGCATGCTGCCCCCCGCGCAGCAGCGCCTGCTGTGGGCGCGCTGCGGGCGGTCGTGGAAGCTTTTGCTGCGCTTCCTCATCACCAGCGACGCCTGCATCAGGTAACAGGTTAACTCCAGTAGCATCCGCAACATCCGGTAACGTCTGGTAGCATCAGGTAACACGGTAGCTCATCTAGCATTTTGTAACATCCGATAATATCTTGATAACATTCGGTAACATAGGGTAACATCTGGTAAGCTTCTTAGTGCTATCTGCAAGGTATCCCCCTCTGAGAACTTTCAAAATCTACCTCTTATGCTTCCAAGTGGCTAGCCGCAAATATTGCCCCTTTGCCTCGTCTCTTGTCTGCCAGGCACGGCTAGCCACGGGTGGGAGGGGGATGTGCAAACAGCGAGGCGGTGGTGCGCGGTGGAGAGGTGTGACGCACGCGTGTTTCTCTTCCTTCTACATCCCCTACTCTTAATCCTTCTCGGATTCTCTCTTCTGTCGTCCAGGCACGGCCAGCCGCAGCGCAGGTGGCGGAGGGGTGTGCGCACAACGTGGCGGTGAGGTGCGGTGGAGAGGTATGACACACACTTGTTTCTCTTTCTTTCCTCTCCTCGCATTCTCTCTCTCTGTTGCTCCCACCAGGCACGGCCAGCCGCAGGTGGCAGCGGGGTGTGCGCACAGCGTAGCGGTGGGGCGCGGTGGAGAGGTGTGGACGTTCGGGCACGGATCGGCAGGGCAGCTGGGGAGACCTCTGGCTTCTGCTGGCAGTGCTGGTGGTGCTGCTGGTGGTGCGGTTGCTGCTGCAGCTGCTGCTGGCTATGCTGGTTTTGCCGCTGCTGCTGCTGCTGCTGCTGCTGTTGGTGGGTTTGCTGGTCTTGCAAACGATGTGACAACCACATTAACAACAACTGCAACGGGGGCTGTGACTGTGACTTTAAGGAGTGGGATGGAAAGAGGACCGGTGGGGAGTGGTGATGCGTCGGCGGAGCCTTCCTGGAAGCCACAGATTGTGAGGTGAGGGCTTGTCGCATGGGTACTCATGCGGTATGTGCAGGTTGAGTGTGATGAAGTGAGGCAGGTTGTGATATAAGAGGGGTTATCATAAACGACATAACATCGAGTGTAGTGTGTGACACGATATGAGCGCATGTAATAAGTAAAACATAAGGGATCAACTGTAACGCATCACAATATGACATCACTGTAACTCCAAAGATGACACATTGTATGTGTGCAGTGCCTTGCATGTGAGAGAGCGGTACTACACTCAAACTGTTGTTATACATATCAACTTCTTCCCTCTACTGCACACAGATCGTTGCTAGGAGTACGGATGGTGCAGGCGGCAGCAGGCGGGGCGAGGACCATGCTGGGTCAGGCACAGGAGCCGTGTGTCACGACCCCATGCTCTCTGTCCCATTGGCCCCCTCTTATCACTTGCATCTCACAGGTCCCTGCTAGGCGTCCGCGTGGTGCAGGCAGCAGCAGGCAGGGCGAGGACCATACTAGTCTCGGACACAGGCTCAGTGTATCACGGCCCCATGCGTTCTGACTTTTGAGTCAACTCAAAAGTCAACTGCCCCCCATGCGTTCTATTATTTTTGCCCGCTCCTTTCCTCTGCCATGCGCTCTACTTCCTCTCCTCTCCTTTGCAGGTCCCTGCTAGGCGTCCGCGTGGTGCAGGTGGCAGCAGGCAGGGCGAGGACCATGCTGGTGGGACACAGGCTCGGTGCATCACGGCCCCATGCTCTCTATTCCCCCCTTCCTTTCCTCCCCCATGCTCTCTATTCCCCCCTTCCTTTCCTCCCCCATGCGATCTCGACTTCCTATCCTCTCATTCTCAGGTCGTTGCTGGGAGTGCGCGTGGTGCAGGCGGCAGCAGGCCGGGCGAGGACAATGCTGGTCTCGGACACAGGCTCGGTGTATCACTTCGGCAGGGACTGCTTCGGCGACCAGGAATACTCCCTCACCTCCCCCGAGCCTGTCACTGAGCCTCGGCTCGTGGAGTCGCTTCGGCACATTCAAGTTGTTCAGGTGAGGCGCCTTAAAGAACAGTTCATGTTTACGACCCACTCTTTACACAATTTGCCATGCTCTGGTTCTGAGGCTTCTCAAAGTGACTTTTGATTCGACTCAAAAGTCACCCAGTTACGTACGTTATCATGACCCACTCATTACACACTTTGCCATGCTCTGGTCCTGAGGCTTCTCGAAGTGACTTTTGATTCGACTCAAAAGTCACCCAGTTGCGTACGTTATCATGACCCACTCATTACACACTTTGCCATGCTCTGGTCCTGAGACTTATCACAGCTTCAACCTTGATTTTGCTGTACAACTCATTCACACCGCTTTGCATCTCTTCCACATCCCTTCACACCCCTTCACATCCCTTTGCATCTGTACCTCCCTCATTCACAGCCCACTCTCTGCTTTCACCCCTTCGCCCGTGCAGGTCGCCCTGGGGAATCTCTTCACAGCAGTGCTCTCAGCAGAAGGCCGTGCGTTCACTCTCTCTTGGGGTGGACGGGGGGCCTTTTGAGTCGACTCAAAAGTTAGCAGTGCTCTCTGCCCTCTTTCAAAGCCCCTCTCTCTGCTTCCCACCCCTTCCCCACTGCAGGTCGCGTTGGGGAACTTCTTCACAGCAGTACTCTCAGCTGAAGGCTGCGTCTTCACTCTCTCTTGGGGCAGCCGGGGGGACTTTTGAGTGCCCTCTGCCCTCTTTCAATGCCCCTCTCTCTGCTTCCCACCCCTTCACCCTTACAGGTCGCCCTGGGGAATTTCTTCACAGCAGTGCTCTCAGCGGAAGGCCGCGTCTTCACTCTCTCGTGGGGCGGCCGGGGGGACGGCAGACGTACCACCATCGCTGCTGCTGCTGCTGCTGCTGCTGCCGCTGCTCCTCATTCGCAGCCCTCTTTTCATACCCCTATCCCTGCTTTCACCCCTTCTGCCGTGCAGGTCGCGTTGGGGAATTTCTTCACAGCAGTGCTCTCAGCGGAAGGCCGCGTCTTCACTCTCTCTTGGGGCGGCCGGGGGGATGGCAGACGCACCACCATCACTGCTGCTGCTGCTGCTGCTGCTGCTGCTGCCACTGCCGCTGCTGCTGCCGCAGCTCCTGCTGCTGCTGCTGCCGCTTTCCCTGTTGCTGCTGTTTCCGCGAATTCTGATGCTGATGGTGATGCGAGCCAGGGCTTTAATAATGCTGTGGCAGCAGGCAGTGAGATCCGAGGCGAGAGGCTCGGGCACGCCACCGACCCTGCGGATACCGTGCCTCGGCAGCTGGCCGGGCCTGGGATGAGAGCCGTGCTTGGGCTGGGTGGAGGGGGGAGGGGAGGGGGTTGTGCGGGGAGGAAGGGGAGATTGGGGGGGAAGGCGGGAAAGGGCGTGGGAATGAAAGGAAAGGGGTTGGCAGGATGTTGTGGAGTCACGGGGTGCAGTAGTGTGGGAAGTGGTGATGGTGCAAGTGGTGATGGTGCAAGTGGTGATGGTGCAAGTGGTGATGGTGCTAGTGGTGCTGGTGCTGCTGGTGCTGGTAGTGCTGGCTGTGGCAGCTGCAAGAGTGGTGAAACACGTACGGAGATGGAGAATTTGGAGGCGGAAGGGGGAGAGGAGTGGGAAGAAGAAGAGGAGGAGGAGGAGGAGGAGGGCGGGATAGTGTCTCTCCCAGTGGTGCAGATAGCAGGGGGACACTGCTACCTGCTGGGACTGACTTGTGCCAAGGAACCTCACGGCAGGTGAGGCTAGTGATACTCCCAGTAGTGTGGTGGATGTAGTGTGGTTTGATGTGGTGTGGTGGGACAAGTGGTGCATATAGCAGGGGGGCAATGCTACTTACGGCAAGTGTGCCCCGTGATACGCCCAGTGGTGTGGTGTGGTGTGGTGTGGTGTGGTGAGCCGTGTACAGATGGTATTGGCCATGCCATGGCACAGAACGGTGCAGATAGCAAGCAAGAGAGGCACTGCCACTTGCTCGGGTTGACTTATTACACTACACTAGCATGGGAAGCTGGTAGTTTTCGTTGAAAAGTTAGGCTATGTCACACACCCGTTTCCTTCCTCCTCTCTCTCCCCCCTCCTTTCCTCAGGTCGGTCTGGTCCATAGGTTGTGGTCTGGGCGGCAAGCTGGGCCACGGCACAAAGTACGACGAACGCCGCCCGAAAGAGATCTCGCACTTCAAAACCCTAGAGTTCGCCCCCACAGCCGTGGCTGCGGGCGCGTGGCATGCTGCTGCTGTCGCTGCTGACGGGAGAGTCGCCACGTGGGGGTGGGGCAGGCACGGGTGTCTAGGGCATGGGAAGGACCAGTGTGAAACGCTGCCCAGGGTTATTGAGAGCTTGTGTAAAACGGAGGAGGAGGGGTGTATGAGTAGTGGGGTGAGTGGAAGGGGTGGTGTTGGCGCTGGTGCTAATGATGCTGCTGGTTCTGGTGGTGCTGCCTCTACCTCTGCTTCTGCTGCTTCTCCATCTGCTGCTGCTGTTTCTCCATCTGGAGCTGGGGCGGGTTTCAGCAAGGATGACTCGCACGGTTCACGTGGCAAGCTCCGTCCAGCTGTGAAAGCATGCCACGTGGCAGCAGGGGATTACACGACGTTTGTGGTGGGGGAGGGCGGCGAGGTGTGGTCGTTTGGGAGCGCGAAGAGCGCGTGTTTGGGGCATGGCGGCGGGTGGGAGAGGGAGGAGGAGGAGGAAGGGGAGGAGATTGACGATGCTGATCTTCACGACATCGTGGTGAGTAGTTGTTTTAGGGTCATGGGGACAAATACATGTGTGGTTTTATTATGAAGACGAGGTGTGGTGGTCGTTTGGGAGCGCTGAGGTTACGTGTTTGGGGAATGGGGGTGGGGGGGGAGAGTTTTTTGAGACGTCTCAAAAATCTTCTTTATACAAGAGGGAGGAGGAGGAGGAGGAAGGCGAGGAGATAGACAATGCTGATCTTCACGACATCGTGGTGGTCTGGCGAGGCGAGGTGTGGTGGTCTTCTTTCTTCTTTCTTCTTTCTTTTTTCTTTTGAAGCCTTTTTGGCACGTCTTGTTGCCTCCAACACGTTTCAGCTCCACCCAGAAATGACTGTTTGCCCTGTTTTCTATGTGGAATGTGCTTGTGCTGATAAGGGCTAAGATTCTATCAATTCATGCTTCATCACCCGCGCCCCCTCACCCCCCCCACCGCACCACACACAATGACCTCTTCTTTCATCCCTTTCCTTCTCACCCCACACATCCACACTCCGCACACCCTCACCAACTGCGGCAGCACCGGCGGCGCTATCGGGATGTGATGCAGCCGAGGCGGGTGTCTCTGCTGGAAGAGCGAGCTACCCACCCACCTGCTTCTCTTACCCCTCACTCCCACTTCATCCCCCTCTTTTTCCCCAACCCTCATCAGTTGCGGCAGCACCGGCGGCGCTATCGGGATGTGATGCAGCCGCGGCGGGTGTCTCTGCTGGAAGAGCGAGCTACCCACCCACCTGCTTCTCTTACCCCTCTTGCTCTTCCCTCTCCCTTACACTGCCCACTCCCCCCACATTCTCCCAGTTGCGGCAGCACCGGAGGCGCAACCGGGATGTGATGCAGCCCCGGCGAGTGTCTCTGCTGGAGGAGCGAGCTGCCCACCCCCCTGCTCCTCTGCCCCCTCCTGCACCTGCTGCTGCTCCTGCTGCTAGTCCTGCTGTTGATGCTGCTGATGCTTCTGCAGCACTCCAGGCTTCTGCCAACCCGCTTGTTCCTGCTTCTGCTGCCACCCCTCCTGATGCTGCAAGTCCTGCTGCGGCCACTGGTGCTGCCGCCACACAGCTAGGCCGGGGACCTGCCGGTGCAAGGGGCAGCGTGAGAGGGCGGTTTACGTGGGGTAGTCTGCCCGCTTCTGCCACTGCAGGACGAGGGAGAGAATCTGCAACAACTCCATATGCTGCTGCTGATGCCACCACTACTTCTGCTAATAATACTGCTGCTAATACTACTACTGCTGCTGCTGCTTTTGCTGCTGTTGCTGATGTTACTGGTCCTGCTGATCACGTCATTTCTATATCACCGGTAATCACCAGCAGCGCTGACAGTGGGAGTGGGAGTGGCAGTGGCAGCGGTGACGCTATGGCTGTGAGTTTGAGTGAGTGGATGAGCAGTATAGCCTGCAGCAGCAACTCTGGCCCGGATAGCCCCTTCGGCAACAGCAGCAGCAACACTAACAGCAACAGCAACAGCAGCAACAGCAACGGAAATGGCAACAGGAGCACCAGCGACGCTGCAGCCGGTAGCAGCAGCAGGAGAGGTACAGTGGTGCAGATAAGTACATCGAATGCCGGCCACTTTGACGCTCACATGCTGGCACTGACCAGTGATGGCAGGGTGCTGGCATGTGGGGGCGGGAGTAAGGGGCAGCTGGGGGCGCCCCCTGCTGCAGGGGATACCTCGTTCCCCCAGTTCGTGAAGGGGCTGCTTCTGTGAGTGTCATTGCCTGGAAGAGTGGCGTTGACCTGCGTTGACTAGAGTTGACCAGGAACGGCAGGGCGCTGGCATGTGGGGGCGGGAGTAAGGGGCAGCTGGGGGCGCCCCCTGCTGCAGGGGATACCTCGTTCCCCCAGTTCGTTAAGGGGCTGCTACTGTGAGTGTCATTGGCTGGAAGAGTGGCGTTGACCTGCGTTGACTAGAGTTGACCAGGAACGGCAGGGTGCTGGCATGTGGGGGCGGGAGTAAGGGGCAGCTGGGGCCACCCCCTGCTGCAGGGGATACGTCCTTCCCTTAGTTTGTGAAAGGGCTGCTTCTGTGAGGGTCTTGGGCTGGATGAGTGCTGTTGACCAGCGTTGACCAACGTTGACCAACGATGGGTGTTGCTGACATCTGTTGCTGGCACTTTGTGCCAGCCAACAACATTGACCATCATTGACCGGCCTTGGACAGACGGAGATGGCAGGGGACAGGTGTGTAAGCAGTGCTGCACAGCCAGCCACAGGAGGTTCAGACGGACTTTTGAGTCGACTCAAAAGTCACCTGATTGCAGGGGACAGGTGTGTAAGCAGTGCTGCACAGGCAGCCACAGGAGGTTCAGGCAGAGAGCCTCTGTGAAGAGATGGTGGAGATGGTGTGGATTACGTGTGATATGGAGAATGAATGATAGGGAGGATGGGCGGCAAGGAGGATGGGCGGCAGGGAGGATGGGCGGCAGGGAGGATGGGCGGCAGGGAGGATGGGCGGCACGGAGGATGGGCGGCACGGAGGATGGGCGGCACGGTGGATATAAGACGGTACGGCGGTATGGTGTTGCATATAGGGTAGTAAGGTGGTGGTTGTCGCAGGGTTGGGGGGTACAGAGCAGTGGTAAAGATCATTTGAGAGGTGCAGGTATGTTCGTTTAGAGGGCTGGAGCACAGGGTGGTGGTTTAAAACGATGGGAGAGGTGAAGGTACCATACGCAACGCTTTAGAAGGTGGCGGGGACAACAGTTGGCAGGCGAGAGGTGGTTGTCAGAGGGTTGGGGTATGGGGCGGGGTGAAAAAAGGATGGGAGAGGTGGAGGTATGTAAGAGGTACGTAACACTTTGTATAGTTTGTGAGTTTGTACAGGAAGCAGAGGGATGGATGTGAAGACTCGAGACCCAAGAGCAAGGAGCTCTTGAGTGCGACTGGCGGCTCGTTGTCTCTATGTAGCGTGCACATTTTGGGGGTGATTGAACATGGACAAAATAGTTTAGCTGATCTAGGGGGGTGCCAATTTACTTTGGAGGGTCGAAGTTGGTACGGTAGTGGCAGGGTTATAGGAAGAAAACTGCCTGCATGATACCGTAAGACCTTGGGGATCTAACTTGTAAATATGTATTCGGTGGTAAATGCTTTTCTGTGGGCTAACAGGTCGTATCCTACCTGTGCCCATGGGAGTAGCCCCCCCCACCCCTCCTCAAGAATGCCTGCCATATCATGCTAAGCCATGGTGTGCTGGGCGAGGCGAGGCTAGGACAAGGCAAGTCAATCAAATTTAGCAAATATAGACATAGAGAAGCCATGAATCAGAAAGAGGGGAGCTTACAAAAGGTGCACACGAGGAGGTGTGTCCTCAGAATGGAGGCGTCGAGGTGTAACAACAAGACTTGTTGTTGGCAGGCCATAAAATGCGACCGGTTTCTCTTAGAAAAAATGTTTTTTTTTTTTTTTTCTTTCAGTCGGTGCTTTACATCCAATGGCCGTTATTCAATTGAACCCTTGATGCTGGTTAGCATATAACAGCAGTAAGAGCAACTTGATGTTTTTCTACTTGTATTAACAGCAAGCTCTATTGCATAACGTACTCGATTCTGGTCTAGGGATATGCAGTGCAGGTGATGAACCCACAATGATTTTCGGACTGGCTCGAGGATGTCGAGCCGCGATTCTGTGGGTTCGGGGCAGGTCGCGAAGGTACTTCTGAATGCGGTTTATAAAGGTGTTTCGCTTTTGAGAGCGGTCTGCTATAATATTCAATGGAAAACGTGTTGTCCACCCTCACCGCCACCCACATCGAACACCTTCCGCGAAATCGAGTCGCGAAACCATTGGACATTGGCATTGCGGGGAAATGCTCTGTGCCAGGAAGAAAAGACAGGAAAACAATCGTCGTGACATTCATCAAACCAACACGTCCCCAACACTGCAAGTGTTAGAGCACCGTGCTCAGAGGTAAAAATGCCTATTCTCAGCGCTTCTTATCAACATTCCTTCCTCCCTCGGTCGTCATCCATCCTGTTCGCACCTGTTTAAACTCCCGTTTCTGATCACTCCACGTCCGCATTTAACAGTATTCATATAATTATCTCGGTTGATCCCAAGAGCAACTCGCGCTGCATCTCCGCCATCTATTTTCCGTCTTGAAGATCCCCAGGCTCTCCAACAGCCAGTCGCAATGGCGAAACTCACGGGAAAATTCTCCCTGCTGCTCGTTGTCCTCTCACTCGTCTGCCTCTTGCCTCTCCCCATCACATCCGCCGGTGCGCCGCGCATCGCGCGCACGCCCAGCGCGCACAAAGAGCACCGCCGTCAGCGCCAACTGGACGAAATCGTCGGCCGTGGCGCCCGGCCGCGTGTGCACACGTTTGAAGATTCAAGCGCTCCAATCACATACGGAAGAGGGCCCGTGATGACCGGAAACCCATCCATAAACGTGTACATCATCTACTACGGCAGCTGGCCAGCAGGATCGGGGCAGAAAATAATCGAGAATTTTATCCGGTCGCTGAGCGCGGACTCGCAGCGGCAGGGGAATCCCGCGGATCCCAAGGTGAAGCGCTGGTGGGCGATCAGCGCGGCGTACACGCAGCAGGAAGAGGATGGCACAAAGAAGAACGTCAGCAACAAGGTGTGTTGCACATAAACGTTGCCACTACTCCCTCCCATAACTTTGCCACAACATCCCTCCCATAAGCCGCCTCGTTTCTCTCTATCAACTTAATGAAATGCAAATTCTTTTGGATTCGTTTCATTCCAGGTGCGCCTCGCCAGGACTGTTTTGTTAGGGTTGGTTCGCCCAACCACGGAACCTATGGCGAAAGTCTCTACGACGGCGGAATGACGGCGAAATGGAAGCGCGTGGATGATTCTAGGTGAAACGGTGGAAATCAGCCTACAGCGTGAGAAGCGGGAGAGAAATCGAGAAGGAACCAAAGAAATGGAGGAAGAGAGAAGGAGAAGCATCTGTTGGAGAATCGAGTTTCTGCCGCCCCAGCCCTTTGCACACAAGCAGCAGCAAGGGGGAATGTCGGCGATGAATCAGAGCTTCGGGAAGTACTTCGAAAGTTCCACCACCAATCAGATTTCAGCCGAAGACTCGATATAGTTCAAAGCTGCCTTCAAACCGAAGTGTTGGCAGTTTCTACAGGTTTCTACACATCAGAATCAGCTATAACAGAAATATCCAGAGTTTTCTTATTCATGCACCTCATGTGGCACTCAAAGTCACTCAAGGTCCATCCAATCTAGATTGTGCCCAAGTTACCAGGGAAGTTACATTGTCTATCAGCCTAGTTTGAGCTTTCAATCTGTCTTGTTTGTGATGCCTAGAGTTGTGCTTTAGTGGGCTTGTTAATCTTGAACATAGTGAAGTTTTACCTCATCCAGTCAATTCCAGCAGCCCTGCTAAGACTTTCCAGCCAAGTTTCCAGCCCTCCAGTAGTCACAGCTACTCTGTTTTACAAGTTGGTATCAGAGCTTGTCGTTTCGATCAACCTAGCCCACCACGTTCCTATCCTAGCACCATACGAACATGGCGGGAGACAATCCATCTGGTCCTGCACTCCAGCCAGCCGGAGGAGCTTCAGAGTCAACATCAGCAGCTACTGGATTAGTGGAAGCAGTTGCACCAGGCAGTCCTTCAACAACATACTCACCACTCACCTCCTTCATGCCTAAGCTTCACCTCCCCAAGTTCAACGGCAAAGATTTTCCAACATGGGCAACTCAGTTTGAGCTCACTGCATCCCTTCTGGATCTGTGGCCTTACTACACTGGGGAAGCAGCCAAACCAGCAGCAGATGCTTCAGAAGCTGAGAAACGACTTTACGAACGACGCAACAAGGAGGCCTTCCTCTACCTACTCAATAGCATTCAC